CCCAAACCCCAACACCAACCAAGCAATACTAAACCTATCAAGTCTAAGTAATCAACACTAAGTGTCCTAAAAACAAGTAAGAGAGTGAAGCCTATTACCTGAAATGGTAAGTCAGAAAACAATATGCATCTGCTCGAAGGAGACCTTTAATCAACGAATGAATAAATATCTGGAAAAGTATCTAGGTTTAGGGTTTAATGTTTAGGGATCAAGGTTTAAGGTTTAGGGTTTAGGGTTTGTTTTTAAAAAAAAAAATTATATAGCAATAGTTGCACCTAAAGTGGGTTGCCTACGTACCCAAATGAGATCAAACCATACGTAGTACTACTAAAACAAGCTATATTGTCCAAGTCAAGCTAACAGACTAGACTAGCCTAGGTAGTCTAAGTATCATGAAGACTATATAACAATGGTTGCACCCAAAGTAGGCTGCCTACGTACCCAATAGGAATCAAGTCATACGTAGTTCTACTAATTCAAACTATACAGTCCAAGTAAAGCTAACAGACTAGGCTAGGCCTAGTTAGTCTAAGTATCAAAGGCCAAAGGCAACATGCCTAAGGCATCAACACGAACCAAGCAATAAAGTCTTAGTAATCAACACTAAGTGTCCCAAAAAACAAGCGGCCTGCCTACGTACCGAAACGAGATCAAGCCATATGTAATTACGCTAAGCTATATAGTCCAAATCAAGCAAGCATACTAGACTAGCCTAGGTAGTCTAAGTATCAAAGGCCAAAGGCAACATGCCTAAGGTATTAACACCAACCAAACAATACTAAGTCTATCAAGTCTAAATAATCAACACTTAGTTTCCCAAAACACAAGTAGGGTGGTGAAGCCTATTACGTGAAATTGAAAGTCGGAAAACCATCTGCATCTACTCGAAGAAGATCTTTAATCAATGAAGGAATATATATCGGGAAAAGTGTCTGGCTTTAAGTTTTAGGGTTTTGTCTAAAACAAAATATATAGCAATAGTTGCACCTAAATTGGGTTACCTAAGTACCCAAATGGGATCAAGTCGTACGTAGTTCTACTAAAAAAAGCTATACAGTCCAAGTCAAGCTAACAGACTAGACTATCCTAGGTAGTCTAAGTATCAAGAAGACTATATAGTAATGGCTACACCCAAAGTGGGCTGCCTACGTACCTAAACGGGATCAAGTCATACGTAGTTCTGCTAATACAAGTTGTACAGTCCATGTCAAGCTAACAGACTAGGCTAGGCCTAGGTAGTCTAAGTATCAAAGGCCAAAGGCAACATGTCTAAGGCATCAACACCAACCAAGTAATACTAAGTCTATCAAATCTTAGTAATCAACACTAAGTGTCTCAAAAAACAACTAAGATGGTGAAGCCTATTACCTGAAATGGAAAGTCAAGAAACCATTTGCATCTGCTCGGAAGAGACCGTTAATCCACGAAGGGATATCTGTCGAGAGAAGTGTCTGGGTTGAGGGTTTAGGGTTTTTTTTTATATGGCTGGGCTCAAAGAACTGCTTACGTACCCAAACGGGATCAAGCCATACGTAGTTCTAAAAAAGTTTGTGCGTACAAGGTCTAAAAGGATAAAAAGCAGTAAAAAGAAACTTATAAAAGCAAGTAAGAGCTAACGAAAGCGAAAGCACGGAAGGCTTGCTGCGTCAGCATGGTTTCTCGACTTTAAAACCTATATAGTTAGGGTTTCTGGTTCAGGGTTTAGGGTTTAGGGTTTTTTTTAAAAAAAAACTATATTGCAATGACTACATTCAAAGTGGGCTGCATACGTACCCAAACGGGATCAAGCCATACGTAGTTCCGTTAATACAAGTTATACATGCCAAGTCAAGTTAATAGACTAGACTATCCTAGCTAGTCTAAGTATAAAAGGCGAAAGACAACATGCCTAAGGCTCCAACACCAACCAAGCAATACTAAACCTATCAAGTCTAAGTAATCAACATTAAGTGTCCCAAAAAATAAGTAAGAAAGTGAAGCCTATTACCTTAAATGGAAAGTCAAGAAACCATCTCCATCTGCTTGAAGGAGACCTTTAATCGGCGAAGTAATATATGTTGGGAAAAGTGTCTGGGTTAAGGGTTTAGGGTTCAATGTTTAAGGTTTAAGGTTTTTTTTAAAAAAAAAAACTATATTGCAATGGTTGCACCCAAAGTGGGCTGCCTACGTACCCAAACGAGATCAAGCCATACGTAGTTCTGTTAATACAAGCTATACAGTCCAAGTCAAGCTAACAGACTAGACTACCCTAGGTAGTATAAGTATCAAAGGCCAAAGACAACATGCCTATGGCATTAACACTAACCAAGCAATACTAAGCATATCAAGTATTAGAAATCAACACTAAGTGTTTCAAAAAAACAAGTAAGAGGGTGAAGCCTATTACTTGAAATGAAAAGTCGAGAAACCATCTGCATCTGCTCGAATGAGACCTTTAATCAATGAAGGAATATATGCTGGGAAAAGTGACTAGGTTAAGGGTTTAGGGTGGGTTTAAGGTTTTGGGTTTAGGGTTTTTTAAAAAAAAAAAAAACTATATAACAATGGTTGCATATAAAGTAAGTTGCATACATACCCAAACGTAATCAAGCCATACGTAGTTCTACTAATAAAAGCTATATCGTCCAAGTCAAGCTAACAGACTATACTAGCCTAGGTAGTCCAAGTATCAAAGGTCAAAGACAACATGCCTAAGGCATCAACACCAACCAAGCAATACTAAACCTATCAAATGAACTATTCAACACTAAGTGTCCCAAAAAACAAGTTAGCGAGTGAAGCCTATTTCTTGAAATAGAAAGTCGGGAAACCATTTGCATATGCTCGAAAGAGACCTTAACTCAACGAAGGAATATCTGTCGGGAAAAGTTTCTGGGTTAAGGGTTAAAGGTTTAGGGTTTAAGGTTTAGGGTTCAAGGTTTAGGATTTTTTAAAAAATAAATTATATAGCAATGGCTGCACCCAAAGTGGGCTGCCTACGTACCCAAACGGGATCAAGCCATACGTAGTTCTATTCTGCTAAAACAAGCTATACAATCCAAGTCAAACTAACAGACTAGACTAGCCTAGGTAATTTAAGTATCAAAAAAAGTCAGCATGCCTAAGGCATCAACACCAACCAAGAATACTAAGTCTATCAAGTCTTAGTAATCTACTATAAGTGTCCAAAAAAACAAGTAAGAAGGTGAAGCCTATTACTTGAAATAGAAAGTCGGAAAACCATCTGCATCTGTTCGGAGGAGACCTTTAATCGAGAAAAAGGATATCTATCGCGAGAAGTGTATGGGTATTTTTTTTTTTTTTTTTTGCGAGAAGTGTATGGGTTTTTTTTTTTTTTTTTGTGTATGGGTTTAAGGTTTAGGGTTTAGGGTTCAGGGTTTAAGGTTTTGGGTTTAGGGTTTTTAAAAAAAAACTATATAGCAATGGCTAGAGTTGGCTGCCTACGTACCCAAACGGGATCAAGCCACACGTAGTTCTGTTGACATAAGGTATACATTCCAAGTAAGCTAATAGAATAGACTATCCCAGGTAGTCTAAGCATAAAAGGCCAAAGGCAACATGCCTAAGGCACCAACACCAACCAAGCAATACTAAGTCTATCAAGTCTAAGTAATCAATACTGAGTGTCCCAAAAAAAAAGTAAGAGAGTGAAGCCTATTACCTGAAATGGTAAGTCGGAAAACCATCTGCATCTACTCGAAGGAGACCTTTACTCAACGAAGAAATATATGTCGGGAAAATGTCTGGGTTTAGGGTTTAAGGTTTAGGGTTCAAGGTTTAGGGTTTAAGGGCTTTTTTTTTTTAAATTTAGGATTTAAGGTTTAGGGTTCAAGGTTTAGGGTTTAGGGTTTAGGGTTTTTTCTTTAAAAAATCTATATAGCAATAGCTGCACCTAAATTGGGTTACCTACGTGCCCAAACGGTATCAAGTCGTATGTAGTTCTACTAAAACAAGTTATACAGTCCAAGTAGCCTAGGTAGTCTAAGTATCAAGAAGATTATATAGCAATGGCCGCACCCAAAGTGGGCTGGCTGCCTACGTACCCAAATGGGATCAAGCCATACGTAATTCTGCTGATACAAGCTATACAGTCCAAGTCAAACAATTAGACTATACTATCCTAGGTAGTCTAAGTATCAAAGGCAACATGCCTAAGGCCCCAACATCAACCAAACAATATTAAATCTATTAAATTTAAGTAATTAACACTAAGTATCCCAAAAATCAGAGGACGAAGCCTATTACCTAGAATATGTCACATACACGACCATATTCCACTAGGCATGCTAACTTTAGTTGTCCTAGAATTTCTTCCGACTTAAAATTGTATCTTAGTGTAATTCATAGGTTGTCGGACCACTTAATGCAAATTCCAACGGATATACACAATAGTAAATGGAGGAAATAATGTAAGATGTGAAATGCTAGAAAACTCTTGAATACAACCAAAAAAAAAAAAATCACACAAAGGCTATTTGCTGTCAAATGTTGTTTCATTGACAAGAAAAATTGTAAAGAAAGTAATAAATACATTCAATAAAAATTAAAAGCCAAATGCCATAGATCCCTTTTGATTTATTTGATTATTTCTATCATTTTCTCGTCAAAAAAAAAAAAAAAAAAAACTCAACAAAAACTTCTCATTTTTCCTTTTAAGTCAAGTCTTCATTGATTGGACCTTCTTTCCTTAATCTCATGGATTTTGTCAACAATATTGTGAATTGACAAAAGTGAACTTAATTTTAAGGCACGAACAACAGATTTTTGGAGATGTCAGGGCCAGCTCTGAACTATCGGGCTGGTTGGTTCGAGTCACAGGTTTGGACCGTCTTTCTTGAATGGCAACCGTATAAATATAATTGGACTGGGACAGTAATTCGTACGGTTGATTTCTTACGATCGTTTATAGCCCCAGCGATCGCACTTGATTGTGATTTTGTAACATGGCTTCTCAAATTGGTTAAGAGCCATGCTGATGAAAACGATGATCAATCCATCTCTTTTGGGATGACCTAAATAAACTAATATAATTTTTTATGCAACGTGCACTTCAGTTCGGCTGATTGATCAGTTAGGACTGCAAGAATCAATGTGACATGACATTCTGCCAAGCCAATTAATTAGAGAAACAAGTCATGCCATGCCATGCCATGCCATGCAAGCCAGGAAACAAAAATACCCTCTTTCCTCTATCCTGATCCAAAATTGCAGCCAGCCAGCAGCTTCATTCTTCTTAATATAATTTGCTGTGCCTGTGCCTGCCTGCCACATTCTGCCTATTCTGTAATTGCCTATTCTACTCTACCACACTACTACTACTACTACCCCCTTAGAAACTGCTGCTATTAATGTTGTCAATATCTCTATTGATCAAACCAAACCCTTTTCATATACAAGCCATGCCAATTATATCCTCTCTCCTGTTTCTTACACTTGATGGTGTAGTATTACCTGCCGCTATCATCCTAACAACCCCCACCCCTTAAAAGAATCAAGAAGGCAGCAGTATTGCCTGTCTCTGTCTCCTTGTGTGTTTCAGTTCCAACGCCAATGCTTGCCCGCCAATCAAGTAAGCCCACCAGGAAGCAACAGCAGCAGCAGGGAAGGCACCCAAGGCAAAGAAGAAGAGCAGATGATGATGATGATGAAGACCAACCACCTGGGAAAGTGAGAGTTCAAGAATCTTTAAGAGGCAACAATACTGGAAGTTCCAGGAAGAAAAGGGCTCTCGCTTCAGGCATCAATCCAAATAACCGTGACCATGATTACTGGTCCCACTCTACCCATGACTTTCTTTCCCAACTAGCCAAGGCACAATCCAGCAATGTGTGCTGAGATTATTCCTTTCTTGGAACTCCTCAACATGCAATGCTATAAGGCTTCCAGAGTTACGGACGACTTGGTGAACACAGAAAGCACAAACGGCGCCTCTTCTCCAGGGTGGATTGTGGTCGGCACTATAGTGTACCCCTTTGGGTCAGGATCCAACGCCATTTCACATGATATTTCCCGAGAATTGACATAATCAGTTCCGCCAACTGATTCATGCATGTAAATATTGTAGGCGGCACGGCGACCACGGGTCTTCAGAATCCTCATCCCTATGTAGAACATCATTGAATCATGGCTCGATTGATAGTTCCTGAAACCAGGTGTTGTTCTCGAGAAGCTCACTCCCTAGAGACAACCAGGCCACAATAGCTTCACGTTATAACAAAGACATAAAACATCCCCAAGTCCAATCATGATTCATAAGAATTTGAGTGAACCTGGGTTAAGGTAATGAAGACGTGAATCGGCAATGATGCATCGGGCCCAGTGGCTCGCAACCTAAACTGTGGATTTTGATGCCAAGTTTCGTAGTCTTGACAGCCACCAGCACTGTAGCCGCGCCACTGACTGTGAACAGAGTAACGCATCTCTGGAGGGTATACGCGGCAAACATATATTGATCTGAAATGTATTTGAAAGTCTTGCCAAGACATCCAAAATATGCCATCTTTGGCCTGTTCCAGATTTTCCAACATTAGATATTACAGAAATATACCAGGAAAGTACTCTCAAAAATGTTACAAAGAGCATCAGTTTACCAGTGGAGTATGCTTGAGCTTGTACTTCATCCTGTCTGTCCATTCAGGGGATGAATCAGACCAAGGGCCATTCCACTCAACTTCATTAGCCCATGGATTTCGGATCTGGACAAGTTTGTGGCCATCTACCTCGCGGACCTGAGCAGTTTATTACATGCAAAACAAGTGACAACAAATTTGAACCCTTTGCAAAGGAGCTAAATTGATTTTATACATATAAAAAAAAAAAAAAAAAAAAAAAAAAAAAGATCATAATAATATTGATCAATGCAAGATTTGAGTACCTGCAGTATCGAGTATGCATGCCCTTGCACAATACCAGAAGAGGAAATATGGACATCCGAACCTGAAGGGCTTCCAGCACCAAGCAAAAAGCCCTCTTGTTTGAAACGTAATATTTGAGACCAGAGTCTTCCACTTGCAAGGTCAATCTGGGATTGAGCACTTCTCATGTCAATCTCCTCCCCAGCACCTCCAGTCAGATCCACAAGAGCATCTTGAACAAGCCCACCTTCTAATGCTTCATATGATCCATGAAGCTTAGCATATGCTTTTTCCAGTAGTGATACCCACAATTCATTCGCCTTCTTGCTTGTGGCAAATGCAGGTCTCCCGGGGGATTCACATGGGATCCAATCATCTACAACAACTGGAACCCATTCTCCCTGAAAGTCAAAACAGACAAACATGAGGCCCACAGTGACGGTACCCAGTTATGCCAGGAACATCAAAATTAAAACTTCAGAACAGCAGCTGCAACATGGTTTTTATATTCAAAATCAATAAACCCCCCCTAAATTTTAAATCAACAATCAGCTTCATTAAAACATTACAAAAGAAATGAAAGAGAGAGCATTTCAGACCACACACTACAGCAGTAATCAGCCAACAAAGTGAGCCAAGCATGATTTAATATTGAACCACCTGAATGCAAAATCGAACTGTATAGATTCCTTCTTCGTTATATTCTGGAGTAATAATGACTTCTGATATGCGTGAAACCTCAGTCAGCACAGCAACCGCACTCAAAAACCAGCAATCCCCCAAACGGCCCTATTAAGGTTATGAATAGAGCAGGGGTATAAGCAGAAATACAAATTATAGCAGTAGCACATACTGCAAGAAAATGTTCCCTCAACCTGGATAAGGTAAACAGATGCAGTACAACATACAAATACAAATAACAAGCATTTCCGTACAAAGAAGGCAGGGTTAGTGAAGGTTATAATTTGTTGAACCTGGCAAACATCAGAAGGATTTGCTGTTCCAGAAAATAAGCAAGGGCTTAAATTCAGATGTTTTTCTTTGACTATTTCCATAGGCCTCATCCACTGGGAAACAACCTACCATGTACGAAGCCAAGACAAGACAGACATTACACTTGATATGCCAACATATAAAGTCCATAGCTTAGAAACAATATATACTTTAAAATTCACCTGTAACTTAGATGGTGGGTTGTCTGGATCAACAAATAATGAACGATCATGTGGGGGAAACTCTTGATCAGTAAAATGCGGTTCTCCTCTTGACAAGAGAGCTTCTTTAACAGCAAGTTCTACAGAGCGCATGCGTTGATTGATTTCCTCCTGACTCTCTACCCTTGCCTTCCGCAGCCTTCTAGCAAAAGAATCCACATCTAAAATAACCCCTTCACGATCAGATCTCCTCTTTCTCCCACTTGAATACTGGCCATCCCAATCTACCTCATCTCTATCATAGAGATCAACCTCAGCGGGATCACTCTCCCAGTCTTCAACCTTAAGTTAAATGGGCAAGTAAATAATCACTTTAATTGTGTACAGACTAAAACAACAAATTACTCACAAGGCAGTTCAAGTCAGAAGTAAAACGAAATACATACCCTTGGAGGAGAATCTGCCCATTGCCAGTTATCATCAGGGTGATCAATCAAGTTGTAATCCCCAAAACCCATGGCAGCTGGTAGAGCAGCAATTTCATCTTCACTTAAGCACCTTCCCCAAAGGAACACATCCATTACATGCATTTTAGATTCGGAACCTTCACTGTCTGACCTCCCAAATGCATCCAGATCCATCTGTGGTCTAACACCAATCCAAACATCTGTTCCTTGTTCCCATATCCCATTGCCCACATTAAGTGGAAGCCCAGTTTGATAACCATCATAGCCACCATCTATAAAACAAGTTGCCTCACCTAACTCAGCATCAATAGTCATGGTGACAATATGCCACCTGCAAGACAAAATTTTGGGATTCATAAAGCTTCTTTAAAAATATATATTAAGGAAAATCCAAGGAAAAGAGAGGTAGGGGTGCATTGGACAAGAATATATTTCTGTAAATCTATTAATCCACATGCTACTGTTCACCAAGAAAATGAGCACAAACCTTCCATCTGCAATACTAGACGAACTTATACTCCACTCCTTTCCAACAGTAGACTGTCTATCGCCTTTCGTAATTAGGCGGAGGCCAACTTGCCCAGCTTCAATACCTTGTTCAGAACCAGCAACAAGAATCTCCCAGCAGATATTCCGTTGAAATTCAGTGCCCAGGAGACACACTGGTCCTGACTCAGGCTGGATCATCACTGCAATGGAGAGGCTAATTCTCTGGCTTTGGCATAAACTAAGATCAATCTCACCACAGTGTCTGCCACTCGTTGTCGGCTCGTCATCAAGAACACATACAGCCCCAGGAAGTCCAGTCTGCAACAGGACAACAATGGTCAGCATCACATCGCCTGGTGTTTCTAAAGACAAATGTCCTACACAAGGTCAATCATGGAATCAAACCACCCCAAACACTTCCAATGGCCTCTAGTGAGCAAACAATTATGCCCATAACTACCTCAATAAAATATAAGCCTAAAATAATAGAATGTTGATCATTTAAACTATCACCAACAATTATTAGAATTATCAGTCACCTGCAAGGCCCGTTGTGATAACTGAGCTGCACGTATTCTTCGAGCAATACTTGACACTCTCTCCCGTGCAAATGAATCATCCAGTACAGAATCTCCCCCTACAGCACGAACAGCAGCAGCCATGGCTGCTGCCTCCCTGCTGCCAGCATTAGGAATAGAAGATAGAAGAGAAGCCTCAATCTCCTTCCATTTGCGTTCCTCCTTCTCCAGGAGAGCTTTCCTCCTTTCTTTTCCCCTTCCTTCCTCTTCACGCCTCTGCATCAAAGCCTCTTCTTCCATCTCCTTTTCTCTTATGTAACTAAAATCATTAAAAAGAAAATTGTCAAAAATCTGTCAAATGCAAAACACAGTTTATATCTGGAACCATCTAACCTCTCTTGAATGATCTCAAATTGTCTACGGTCCTCTGGCATCCACTTCTTAATTTTTCTTGCACTCAGATCCGAAAATCCTATGCTATCTAAGAACAATCTCAAGCGAACCTCGTCCTGGGTGGGAAAGAGAAAGTAGAGAGAAGTTGGAAATGATTGAGTAAAATTAATTATTAACAGATCCATAGTCAGCAAAATGCCTTGTTACCTGCACCCTTTCAGCCTTAGCCGTCAAACCAAGCAGAAGAAGTAAATAACCACCAAACCTATCCCACATGTAAACCCATTCAGTATCAATAGCTTCTTCCAGTGCTAGAATTCTTGCATGAGCACACATTTCTCTCCTGTGACCTACATCACCAGAAACTTCACTATGTAGTATCCTCCAACATCTCAATCTGGAGAAAAAAGAACCTGCAGCAAGTTCTTCATTTCTCAAACGATCTCTTAATTTCATGACATCAGCCCTGGGGAGCACAAAATTCCCTGCTCTATCCCGTGCAATAGTAGGATCGCCAACCAGAAGTGCAGCTGAGCTGGCAGACCTTTGAGGAGCAGAATATGTTCCAGATAAAGCATTTCTGGTCTGCATGGATTAAGTCACAACTTTTAGATCCGATGAAGCAGACAATATATTAACAACAAAAACCCCAGTTGTCAGTTTTTGTTTTTTTTTTTTTTATAGCTCTATATAATCTCTTTGCCAAAATTACTGGTGTATCACATAGAAAAAATGTTTGCTCATGCAGGAGATTGATAATATTATTACAGAGTACACAAAAAATGAAAGAGGACAACCAGAAGAAACTTGTATGACATGTTCATAATACATAATCTGATACAAAGGAATTGCATGGAATAAAACATATAGGCATAGATAGAGAGAAGACACAGGAAAATCACCGCATAACAAAGATGATAAGGAACAAAACAAAGGTAAGCCTTAAGGTTTCCTTCATTGAAATGAAAATCAGAGAAAAATTAACACATCGTAATGTATTCACCTTGGTCGCAGATCTGGAAATTGCCTGTACTACAGTTTCCTTACTTAGGAAGTGCACAGCATCTTCTACCATCTAAAACAACCAGAGAGTTAGAGAGGAATAATACTGAAATTACTATGAAGGCAGACTTATTAAGATCTACAAGATAGTTATAGCCACAAATGAGCTCATAACATGATAAAACCTCTAGTGTTAAGCATGAACGCGATACAGCAAAGCCAAATGACACAACAAGTGTAATTGCTGACACAGCAGCACCAGCGAAAGGGGGGTAAATCTTCAAACTGGCAACAACACCCCAGCCTTCAGTTGCCAATGCAATCCCATAAAGCACAAGAAATGCAGCACTGCACAGAAAATGCAAGAATAACTATGCTTAGAAATTATGAAGTTTTTACAGGGGCAGTATGAGTTAATAAAAGCAAAATTTTAATGGCCTAAAGAACTAAAGATAGAAAAAATTGTAATACAAATAATGGAAGGTAACAAACCTGACATTTTTTCCACAATCTGCATGAGCATCATAAACGTATACAGGCAAAACCCTTGGAGAATAAACTACTATAGGAGGAGAAAGAAGCACCTGCGATGCCCAATGCAACAAATATGACATAGCACAATGAGAAAAGGGTGACTGACTTTTCTCTGAAGCCTAGGCTGATTAAAGTAGCATATTGAGGTGGGAATGCAGATGGTACTCACAGTTAGAGCCCTCCCAGCCAACAGAAAAAGAAATGAGAAGTAGCCAACAGAAGCACCAACAAAAGCTTTATCTGGAAAATGCAAACAGAACAAGAAATCATTTCTTGATTGGTCACAAGAAAACAGATGTGATTTTGGATTAGTAGTGATAGGAGATGCAATGCCAAATATCTTGCATTGGATCACTTGGAGAGATGGTGAGGAATCCATTTCTTACCTTGAAACCAGCCAACAAAGAATGCCGCTAGAGCCAAAAGAAATGCAAGGAAGCATACAAATAACATCTGAAACCGTGTCAAGTAAAAATTGTTTGAAGCCCAATAATGAATGACACCAATGGCCAGGACCAGAAGAAGAACAACTAAAAGGAATGCTGCACCAATCTGCAGCATCAATAAGAATCAACTGAGCAAGTACAATGTGGAAGTAACAAAAAGCAGACTCCAAGATAAAGGTTGCTCACCGTCCATGGATCAATAATAACTGTAATTGCTGATATTGCACTCAGCAACAGAACAAGACCAATAACAATAAATATATAAGCACCCCGAGAAAGTTTCCAGTTATCATCTTTCCTGCAAGGAAAAATTTTAATTTAAGAACCCCAGCCAGGATATCCAACTGCCTGCATCATCGCATGACTATAAAATTGCATACCATTTGAGCAAACCAGTGCATAGGGACAATATTGCAGGTATACAAATCAATGGGAGCAGTGCAGCAAGAAAATCAGTCTTTGTCGGAATCTGGTCAGGCCTTGAACTCACAACTTTCATGTATGATGCCCCGCAAAATGACACAAGGATGGCTAGAAAGTATAGTAATCAAACAAAAGTATATGACAAGAAATTAGAACAGAAACATTTTGCAGTCCAGATATAAGACTTGCAACAAGACGAAAATAATCTTTACCTGAAAAAATTCCAATACAAACAGCAGATGAGAGAGAAAACCGATAAGTACCAAACCAAGAGACTATCGGCAACACACCAGTAACTACAAGTGCAATTGCAGCAGCCATTGCCCAACCAACATATACAGATGATGCATAGGGAGATGAAACATTTTTCTGATCCCCAGTCCATCCTCTGTACCTTAAATCATCTAGAGGTTTTGAAGATATGATTCCACCAAGAGCCAATAGAGAACCAACAAATAAGGCTATACATATGATAAGAACAGCCCCCTGGAAATAAAGTGAATAGCCCCATAAGTAACAAGTAGAGATTCAAAGAGAGACAAATCCAACACCAGGAAAGCTTTCAACCACAAAGCACATAAAATTTAAGAAGCTACTCACAAACCAAATAAAAAACTGCCATACATCATCATCATAATCATTATTATTATTATTATTATTATTATTATTATTATTATTATTATTATTATTAAGATATAACAGTACAATTTCTATAATATATCCCATTATTCCAGGTGGCTTATACCAAAGGATTAGATTGCAACTGCTACTAGAGTTCCGTGCATGAAGCTCAGGAGAAATGAGTAGCTAAATAAACTTCCAGAAAACTGTTCAGTCATCCAATGTGAACCATCTAACTGAGATAAGAATCTGATTAAAAAAGATAATTCTTATGCTCTAATAGAACAACACTAAATTACATGCTCAGTTTCAAGTGAGTTTAGACAACAAATAACAAACTGGATTAGACAGCTCTCCAAGGTGAACAGCTAGAAGATAGGGATAATTGTAATACCCCGTAAAATAATCGCCGAAAGTTTGCCGGAGTCGGACAATTTCATTTTGGGCATGATTTATTTTGGTCTTTTAGTGTAATAAATTAAAGAGTTGGGTTTAAATTAAAAGTAAAAATTGAGTTTGGGCCAAAGTAGAATAAAATAATTAATAAAGGACTAAGTATGTTATGTTAAATAAAAGAATAAAAAAATAAAAAATAAAAAAAAGAGCAGCAGCAGCAGCCAGCACGCCCGCCACGCCGCCGCCGCCAGCCCCTTTTTCCTTAAGGATTCTTCTTCTCCAAAATTCTTCCTTTTGGTCTCTTCTCTTGAGGTAAGTGGGATTTATCTTAGATAGATTCATATGTTCTAATCCTAAACCCCTTCTATTGATATCTTTTTTCAATATTCTTGCCAAATGGGTTTGCCCTAAAGGTATTAGGTTTTGCCAATTTCTTCTGGAAAGTTGATTATAATGTTTATGTGAAGATTATTATTGGATTTTAAATTGAAAAGCGTAGAATTTATGGGATGGGTTTGAAACCCTATTTTTGCCCTAACCTAGTTATGGTTTTTGGAAAAAGATTTACGACTATATTTAAATATTATGATTTTTGGGGTTAGACCATGCCTATTGTGATTGAAATATTTTTCGAATGTTTATTTGGCGAAATAAAGTGTGTTTATGATGAACTTGTTGGGTCTAATATTCTACTTTGCATGGTTAAATGTTGACAATTGGAATGTTTTGAGTTTAAGACACTCTTTTTTAAATTTGCCTAAGAGCATGTTGAGTATTTGGTCAAATTGGTAATTAAACTACCCGTCGAGTCCGATCAACTCGTCGATTGTTTGGATGATAAGGCATAGCCTTCCACCTCTGTGCTTTGCAAACACGTGAGGGTATATTGGTATTTTAGGATAACTAACTAACCTTGAACTAGATCCCGAATGGGCTAGGTCGAGGGATCGAGATGACGGGTTCCCTTTTAGGGTGATTCCGAGGTGCCCGTCATTCACGATGAAAGGTCTTTAGACCGTCATCCGTGATGGAGGATTGGATTGCGTACAATCCCCTCTTGGTATGTTATATTGGAGACTAGAGGGTTGTGGGCCGTATGGCGCCCCTCGCCAACTAATAATAAATTGATTTACGTGTACTTTGGATTTCGAACCCTTATGTACACATTGTGGAGTTTCCTTTTAGGGTTATGACCCTATGTTTGTTATGTGAAATTATGTGACATGTCATACGAAGTAATAAGGTTGGAAAACCGGGTCGAGCCGGCCCTGATTAAGGCCTAGTGGAGTTTTCTTCGTGATATGCTCATCGCTATTATTTGAGAATGAAAATGAGGTATAAGGGAGGCGCTAAAAGACCCGTGTGTGTGAGTTCCCCTTATGTGATATGTGTCATTTTATTCGACTATCTTCTTCAAATGATTTTGTGGCATTATATCGTATTAATTTATCTTCGATTAATTGCGCTTACTCAACCGTTGTGTTGACCCCCTTCTTACGATTCTTTTTGTAGGTGATCATGCTTCCGTTATGCCTAAGTGATGCATTCACGTCATATGACCCATCGGGGGAAATGAGAACTACCTTACCGTCTAAAATGTTTTGAAATTCATTGATTGTGTTTAAAGACTAATGCAATTTGAACTATTTCAAATTTATGCTTTTAAATTGAACTTTATTTACTTAATTGATAAACTAGTGCGTTTTAATTCTAAGTTCCTATTAGTTGTTGGTATTTATTATTTAAGCCTTAGCGCCACAACGTAGGACTCGTTGATTGATGAACGAGCCTTCGATGTGGCGTGGCGGTGACGCTCCGGTTTGAGCCGGCCGGGGTGTTACAATAATCTTCACATTCTACAGAAAAATGCATTACGAACCAGCTTGGAGCATATCATAGAGAAATTAATGGCATATTTACAATCACTATGATACCTATTATATTATTGATGACTAACGACCTTCAGGAATCTCTATTAAGTAAAAATTTTACCTCCTTCCTTACAGTAACAAGGTTTCCAGCCTGCCGAGTATTACCACTATCTGAAGCCCAAAACTTGTAACCATTGTGAATCCACATAGGAATGCCAACAGAAAGGCATGCCACCATAAGAGGTACTGTCAAAGACAAACCCAGAAGAACAGACGACTTGCTGGAGAAATATATGACAATCAAAATAATTATTCCATAGACAGATAGCAATGCAGTCTAAGATAATAAGCAAGATTTAATGAACTATACCTCAAAAAGGAGAGCAACAATCCGACAGAAGTGCTCACTAACCAAGCAACAAAGCCATACTGCATAATGCAAAAGACGAAAATATATCCTTGTAAACCAATGGTACATAACTCAACAAAAAATGAGAAGAATACAATATTCATATATTTTGGAAACATTAAAGATGTTTCAACAAAACTAACAAAACAACTAGGGATCAAGGGAAACATTAAGACATTAAATTAGATTTCTATTTAAGCTAAACGAAAACATACTTTCAGACACATGATACAAAAGAAATTATTTGACAACCACACAAATATATATATATATATACACACACATCACATCCATTGACATACTTGATATAAATAAGGCACTAAGGAAAAGGGTATGACTCGCGGCCATACACATCCTCTTAAAGACAAAAAGATTATGTTTATGTATATTGGTCACGATGCAAAAGAAATTTACAATAAAGATCTACCAGATTATAAGATATCTGAGACAAATGAAAAATTAAGTATAACAATCCACATTAAATTTTCCATAGTGGTTGCATTTGTACCTTCCTAGGTTTTGAAGTCATAGACAATTCTTCAGACTGAAGGGACCTAAGGAAAGCCATGATTGACCAGACAACAGGTGACAATAACAGCACCGCTATTCCAAATTCAAACTGGAGAAGGAAGATAGCAACTTTTAGTGAGAATCAAGGCAAACAAAAGCAGGATGCAATATCTTTCAAAGACAATAGTGGCAAATACCTGTTGATGTGTGCCATTTATAAGATTAATTGCATCTGGACGAAAAATGGCCACAATGGTGGTCTCCAAGCTAAAGACAAAACTGAAAAGAAGCCATGACCGCTCTGGAGTACCAGCTATATAGTGCAAGACTAGTCTACACAGTTGTAACCATTTCTCCAAACCGCGACGCCTTAGTTCTTCTGAAAATGAAATTTGATTAGGTGGCATATTGTCACCACTATTTGAGTCTATGATGTTCAAGTTGGTGTTGTCACGATGATCTCTATCTGCATCCAAACTACTTCTTTGCAATAATGCAAGGATCATAGGATCTAATCCATTCTCCTTCAACATCACAGCAAAATTTGGATCCAGTCCTTTATCTTCCAGTAAATTTGTCAGTTCAAGCTCCCCATGTCTTGCTCTTCTTTTTAACATGGATGTAATCCTTGGATCACTTAACTTCTCTTGAAATGCAAGGGCCAAATTCAAGTCCAATGGTTGACTTATAGAATTAGATGCACTAGATTCACACCCTTGGCTTTCCATGCCACTACTAGAACAAGCTATCAAAGAGTTGTTGTGTTCAAAACTTTTATCAATGTATGAAGGCCCAGCATCAGTTTCTTGGACCACAGAGCGACAAGAACTGCTATGCAATACAAAACTTGGCCTTCCACTATCCATTCCCTTCTCACTATGAACCCCTTCCATGTTATTCCAGCTGGTAAGATCGCCCATGCAAGGTGCAGTACCATTACCAAGGTTCGCAGCATCTGCACTGCTGCTCCGTTTTACACTTGAGCCACAGCCTTCAGATGAGCTGGATGAACTGTTTTGCTCTTTTTTACGGAATCCTTCTCTAAGACGAATTACAGTACTCTCCAAGGCATCTCTTCTTGCAGCTGAAGCATTAGTGACAGACAAATGACGAGAAACAGCAGCTCCAAGCAACACAGATGCCACAAGAGCATAGCAGATGCAGTGACCCAGGTACCTGTAACAAATAAACATTCTAAATTTTGACAGACAAGATCAAATAAACAGGAAAAATACTAGTATACAATTTTCTGCCATAAGGGATGAAACTTACCAGAAATGAACCCCAAAACATATCAGGAAGACACGACAAGCCCCAGCAACAACCAGTGCAGTAACACGACTTTTCAGAAGCTTAAACCCATAGAGGCACGTTCCAACATTCCAGTCTAGCAAAAAAATATGTATATATAGATTTAGATAACTATAAAAATGCACGCTAATAACTTGGATACAGAAACTAAAGCATTCATGGGAGTACCAAGAATAATTATTGCAGCTGATGTAATTGCTCCAAGCCAATGTGATTCTTTTGCTGTCAGGCCATACAAGATTGAATATACAAGCAGAACAAGAAGAGAACCAAAATAGAGAAGCCCAAGATGTACAGCCCTGTAGGTGTCAAATACAAGGCCACAAGGAGAAAAACTCAGAGAAAGTTTGCATAAAAAGGATAACCATAGCTGCATACCATTGACTCATTCTAATCAAAAACAGGGATAATGTGAAAGAAAAAGCAGACGCTAAATACTTGGAAAAACCACTTGCCTTCTAGATTGTTGAGGGTACAACTCATTCGGATCTGGTGGTTCTGGTAAGCAAGCCACAGGACCCGCTTCAATACAGTCAGAGTAAGCAAACTTGTATGCCCTTCTCACATATTCATCAATGTCAACACCATTGCCTGCCATAATCACACAAAAAAGGATAAGCACTATTATAGACTAATGTAGAAAGAAAAACAATGCACCACTTACCATTGAATACCATCCTACAAATGAAGAGCATGTTGATAGCTAGGGCAATTGCAGACACACCAAAGAAAAATCCAGAAGGTGAATACTGCTGTGATGCCTTGGCACCCGCAGTAACATATACAGCACAAAGTTCATATGCACAAAGTAACCCAACAGCTAGAAGAAGAAGAACTGCAACGGCTCCTGCAAAGTAGTGCCATGTTATTAGATACAATGGGTACATGCAGGTATTTAGGAGTAACAGAAAGTTCAACCCTGTTTCTCTATTACTGTCAAAGACAAAATTATAATTTCATGTCTCCTGAGTGACATTTAGAGATGACAAGAAGCATGACTCATTAGTTAGTTGAATATAGACCTCCTATTCATGAAATATTTAGAGAAAAACTTCCCTATTTTTGCGACACCCAAGAATTTATGCTAGTCCGACATCTTGTACAATGAATCCCAAACTTGTAACTGTTTTATGCAGTTCCATAAAGTGAACATCACAAATCAAGTCAGTTTAGATCAGTATAAATGACTTATTACTTCAGACTCTCGAATAAAGATAGTAAAGATAGTTCACAAATGCTTTTGTTAATCATTTACAGGAAATTGAAAGCATTCAGATAGAGTTGCAGAAAATACGAGAAAATATATCCTTCCTGCAGCACTAAGTTTAGGTCTCAAGTAAGTTTTATATCTTAAGTAACTCGTCAACAGAATAAGAGAGAACAAAACTGATCCACCAACAAATGCTGATGGGCAATATTAAGTGATTAGAGATGGAGTAATTCCCAAAAATAATACAGCTCCTCGTTCCATCAATCACGACTACTTTTCAGTTACAAATGGTGCAATGTCGCATCCACCTTAATAAGCTTATGTGGAATTAATCTGAGGGAACCGACCAAAATGAACCATTAGAATCTTTAGCTCTATATACTCTAATTAGAAAATTGGTTCGTTAAAACAAAATGGAATTGAATGCACAACAAAAGAAATGCAGAAACAATATCTCATTTCATTATGTGCGGAGATGCATACTTGAGCTTTGCCATTGTGTTCTCCACCAGAGCATTACTGAATAGAATGCCAAAAGTAACGCAACTCCAGCCATTATAACAGCCAGACCAATTATGTCTCGGCCTAAAATCAGTATCAACCAACAGCCCCATACGCTAAGCACCACAACAGGAGAGACAACAATCATCCAAGCACAGAGGGAAAGAAGATAAGATAATATTCCCAGCTGAGTTCCTTGCAAGAAATCGGGCCATTTTCTAGCAAATATCCAACTGAATAGAAAATAGCAAAGACAAATTAGTCCGATTTAAAATTTCTGCATCAAACTCTCAATAAGATATGTTGAGATACATCATTTCCCAGAAAAGTAAACCACTTGTAATGAGATATCAAGTTTTCTGCTTTTTGGAAAAATTGCTCAGAGTTTCTTAATAAGAATTCATTTTCGCAAGACGCCAAAACAGGTTATATTAGGCAAAGGGGGTCTGAAAGGAGTTCATTCTTCACATATGATACCAGCTTATTGATCTAACTAGTATCCTAAGACTGGACATCCAATGAAAATTTTCTTCTCCAGTTTAAATTGAAACACCAAAAAAAAATTCCCAACTTCATACGACATCTGGCAACCAACAGAGAATTGATCCTATTCATACACAACACAGCCAACATGCAATATAGGCAGCAACTGAAACATGCATAAGAGAATATAATAGCTATAAAAAAATGTCAAAAGGTTTAAACAAGGGAGTCTAGAGTAGAACAATTGTCAGGAAAAATTTCATATAATAAGTATTGAATTCTCGTGGCCAATATGATATCTAGCTAGGGGCATGGAATCATATGATTAAAAATTCTAGTCTGCAATTAATTTCAAATAGCATTTTCACTTGTAGCCATGTTTCTAGATATAAATACTTACCAAAAACAGCATGACATCGTGCGTTACATCCTTAATTTTATTTCTATGAATGCCACAGATGATTTATGACACCGTGTGTTCCATCCTTAATGAATACTACATGTCAATTAATAATGGATAATACATAATCGAAAAAGTAGCAAATATAAAGTGCTTCATGATCCACTCCAATGTAATACAAGCTATAAAGTTTATTAATCCAATTGAAAATTACCACTTTCGCTAATCAAATTGTTGTCATGACTAATATCAATTACACATGGACAGCAAGAACACCCATTTTGCTAATTTCATGACTGCTCTTGTTGTCATTAAACATACTGAATTAGTAATGTCAAGTCTTCATCATATGACTGGAATCAAGAAAAATCTAATAAAACATTAATGCAAATAGTACACAACAAAGAAACAAAGTAATAGGCTCCAAAAAACCCCCAAGATAACATTAATAATAACTTACAATTACAAACAACACATGGGAATAACAAGTTGACAAAGTATACCAAGAAGTTACCTGTAAATGCGCCAAGGACGCCAATTCACCAACCAGAGTATCACAAAAGAAGCTGTACCCAAAACAGTGAAAAGCGTCCCAGATATTAAGCATGCCAGGATCAAACGACGCTCCTCTTCCATTTCTCCTCTGCCTCTCGACTACAGCCGCTACATATATACATATACATCGAAAATATAAAACAATTACCAAAAAGAAATCAACAGAAGCCATCAATCCGTCAAAAAAGAGAGAGAGAGAGAGAGAGCCTGAACCGCATGAAATGAAATTTGTTAATAGTTCATACGGAATTAGCAGTGAAAGGGGGTGGGGAGCTTCAAATTTCAACAAGTTAAAAAGAAAGAAAAGAATCTAACTTTGAGGGATGAACGAGAGGCTTACCAACTAGTTCTGCGGAAATTGGGGCATTTCTCTTAGGATTTGAGGAAAAAGTATACAGTACTTGCAAGGAATGTCGGTCGTCACCATATCAACAAGAAGAAAGCTAGGGTTTTTGCCCAGTCTCCTCTCTCCACCACAACATCTAGGGGGAAGGGGGTGGAAAATTGACTGCGGAGATGGAGAGTTGAGGTAAAGAGGGACGAGTTGCTAGCACTAATTTGACAACAGGGGTTAGTGAAATGTGAGGAAGTGCGGGGAAGGAAGAGGGAGGAGAAGGGCAGTGCAGGGCAAGTCAAGACAAGAGAACAGGGGGCAGGGCTTTAGGTGTTCTAGAGAGAGAAAGAGTGTGTGGAGAAGAAAGAGTAAAGTGTGCGAGTTTCGGTACTAAAATAATACTCCCTCCTCCTCATCTGGTGTTCATCTTTTCATTTTTATTCGTATCAAATGTATATTTTAAGTTTATTTTAAAAATTTTAATTTATAATATTTTAAATTTTTAATAATAGTAATAAATTATTTTTATTAATATATTATTAATTATTTATTAATTATATTTTTTAAAATTTTCGTGTCTATGAAAAAATGGACAAAATATGTGAGACGAAACAAGTAATATTTCTCCTTTCCATTTTTTAAATCTATTTTATTTATTGTGCGCGAGTCTGTGTGTATGACTGTATGTCTGTGGTTGTAAATATGTAAAGTAACAGCTGGGAATTTTGTCCGAGAGCGCTGTTAGGCGGAAGCACGTCATGGGGAAGCGCGTGTGAACGACGAACCAATCATGTGTGGAGTGAAGGTCGAAGTGCGAGTGGGTAAATGAAATTCTGTATTAGGACATGAGTCTGATTTGCGCTCTTTTAAATTAATCAATTACATTACGGGGACGGACGGACTGCCGGACTGACCGTCCGTTTGTGACTGTGACTGCGACTGCGAGGGAGAAACATCTTACATCCTTTGCTTTGGTATTTCATTACCGATAATGGTTACTCAATAATTTCCTATTACCAGTACTAGTAATTAGTATAATCCCATCTCTTATACTGCTATGAATAATATACGGCTTAATTTTATATTATACTGTATACTGATATGATAAAATATTATTTGTACCCAATTATATCAATTTTCGAGATAGTGAGATCTACCATATAAAAGGTTTTATATCTATATAATATCAAAGTTAATATACCAAAACTAATAATATACTGCAAAATCTAAAATAAAATAAAAACATTAAAAATTATCATAATTAAAATTAACATTATAAATTTGTTAATACTTTTATTTATCTTATTTTATTTTAATTCCAATATTTAGGGCATGTTTTGAATTAGCTGGTTAACTGATTCAATTAGCTGGTTTGACTAACTGATTCGATTAGGTGTTTGTATTATAATATTTGGTAAAACAATTGCTTGATATTAACTGTTTATATGTAAAATGCTTTTTGACTGATTAAAATCTTTAAAAGTTATTTGTCAAAGACCCCCTTAACTATCTTATTATATCCGATATTTCGAAATATATCTAATGTAGTAAATATCTGAATTACTATACATTCCAGTATAAGTCTGACACAGGTCCGGCCTAACGAGTACGACCCAACTCAAGTCTAAAACATATCCAAGAGTACAACACAAATTAGTACTAGAAAGCTCGAAACAGGCCCAATGGATTTTATTAGACTTTTTTTTTATTTTATAAATGTAGAAAATATATAAATATTTATGCAGAGATAAATTTTATTAATTATTAGATAGATTTTTACAAATTTAATTGAATTATTTATAATTTATATAAATTTAATAGAATTGTAAATAGTTTTTTTATTAGTTTATATAATTATATAAATTTATATAAAACACAAGTTCTATAAATATAATATATTTATAATTAAGGTTATTATATATTATTATATTTTTAGAAAATAAATTAATATAATAAATAATACTGTATTTTTAAATTTTTTATTTATATAGTACTATATGATTATGTATCCTATTTCATAACATACATAATTAACGGTTTGATTTTTATTTCAATGTATTTTTTCAAATACTAAATATTTTTTTAATTTTTTATCTTTCCAAATTTTTGTGTATATTTTTTATATAAAATATTTTATAATTTTAAAAAATATCATTTTATTTTTAGTAGAAAAGTATTTTGATGTTTATTTATTTATTTATAATAATATTTTTTATATAATAGAACTTCTTATATATATATTTTTTTTAAATGATATCTTTTCAAATTCTCACTTAAATTTAGAAAATCGAACAAAAAATACAATAACAATTTTTATTATTTTTTTAATTTTTTCGTTCAAACAAACAATATTATTATTGAAATAATTTAAATTTTTTATAATAAAATGAATTAATATAAGATTCAACGGTTACGACTAGTATTTTAAATATAAAAGTCATCGCCCGCCAGCCAACCACTTTAGGCGACTGCGTCTTCCCAGTCGTCATCACGCATCTTCATTTTCTCTCTCAGCTACTGACCGTCGGATTTATTTATTTGTTGTAAGATATAATTGAAAATCCAATGATAGGCATGCCCGAATTCCCAAGTCAAGAAAGCTCTGGATAAAGCAACATTTCTTATAGCCATGTGTTGCGTTGCGCCAGGGCGGGGCCGTGTGATAATGTGATAAAATTAGTTAATACTCCCTTGACAAATTTCTATTGTTTTAAACTATATTTAAACGATTTTTTTTAAATGATTGTCTTTTTGTTATAAATTGATAAATTTATCTTAATCGTATGGTAGTGATGAAAAATAATAAATAAATTAAGGGTAAAAATATAAAATTTATGTAAAAAAAAAATAAGGACAATAATTGTTGAACGTCCCAGATAAAAAAAAGTAGGACGGAGTGAGTATATTATTAGTAGTAGTACAAGTATAAACAAACAGCTGTATATGCATGTATGTATGTATCTGTGTGCATCTCTTCTCATAATCTCATTTCGTTTCATATCTGTTCCCCGACCCTTTTATTCATCTGCTCTGCTGCACTTCATAGCGGCGGGAGGGAGAAGATGATGAATTGATGATGATGGTGGTGGTGATGATTTCTCTGTTTCTGATTGCAATCATTGTTCTCGTGGTCGTCGTCGTCTTCTTCGTGGCCACGAGTACAGCAAGGAAGCAGCAGCAGCACTCGCCAGCGTCACGCAAGAATCTATTGCCCTTGCCCTTGCCCCCCGGCAGCTATGGCTGGCCTATTCTCGGGGAAACTCTGGAATTCATCCGCGCCCGCAACCAGGGATTCCCAGGCTGCAATAAGTTCGTCCGGGTTAGAATGGAGAGATACAAGTCGGAAGTGATCAAGACTTCGCTGATGGGGGAGAGGGTGGCGGTGCTGGGCGGCCCCGCCGGGAACAAGTTCCTCTTCAGCAACGAGCATAAGCTGGTGACTCTGTGGTGGCCTGCTTCCGTTAGCAGGCTGCTCGGGGAGTGCATATCCACCTCCCCGGGGGCTCGGGGCATGCGGATGAGGAAGATGGCTTCCCACTTCTTCAGCCCCGACGCCTTCAACAAGCTCGCCTACATCGACACCATGGGCCGGGTCACCAGGCGGCACCTCTGCGCCCACTGGCAGGGCAGGAGCCAACTGGTGGTCTACCCGGCAGTGAAGCTGTTCACTTTCGAGCTGGCCTGCCGGCTGTTCATGAGCATCCAGGACCCAGACCGAATCCAGAGGCTCGAGGCCCTCTTCAGGGCTTTTACCCGCGGGGTCATCTCCATCCCTCTCTACCTCCCCGGGACAAAATTTTACAAGGCGGTGAGGGCCACGGCGAAGATCAAGGAGGAACTGGCCGCGATAGTCAGAGAGAGGAAGAAGGCGCTGCTGGAGCAGGAGCAGGGGCCGAACGATCTGCTATCGCATCTGCTCGTCAGCCCCGACGAGGAAGGCAGGTACATGTCGGAGTCAGTTATCGTGAATAATATACTGCTGATGCTGTTTGCGGGGCACGACACCTCCAGTTCCGCCCTCACCATGGTGATCAAGGTGTTGGCAGAGCATCCTCACGTGTACAAGAGAGTGTTGGCAGGTACGTATGGTCCATCTACCATACTCTCTGTCTAGTCTATTGCTGTGGATCAAGTGTGTAATGATACTAATAACAATAACAACAACAACAATAGAACAGAATGAAATCACAAAGGCAAAAGGAGGACAAGAACCAAGCAGTCTTCTTCTGCAGTGGGAGGACATACAGAAGATGAGGTACACATGGAATGTGGTGTGCGAGACTATCAGACTGTGGCCGCCCGTCGGAGGTGCTTTCAGGGAAGCTTTGACTGATATCAGCTACGGAGGCTACCGCATCCCCAAAGGATGGAAGGTAATGCACGTAACGTAATGTAATGCCTCTACTATTATTATTTTTGTTATTAGTATTAGCACTACTACTCATGCAGTCATGCTACGCTACGGTACCAAATGCCATGCAATGCAATGCATGCGGTTAGTTAGTAGTGCTATGTACTCTATGTGGGCATGGAATATATATAGATGTGGAATGTTGAATAGATAGATAGATAGATCAATCCCCATCTCGACCAATTCTTACCCTCTCAGTGTATCTTATCTTTGATGTGCAGTTCTACTGGAGCTCACCAGTGACGCATGAGGATTCCAAGTTGTTTGCGGACAGCAGCAGGTTTGATCCTTCAAGATTTGAAGAGGAGGCGCAGAGGAATGGTGGGAATTCTTCTTCCGCTCCTCCTCCATACGCTTACGTTCCGTTTGGAGGAGGGCCTCGGATGTGCTTGGGAAAGGAGTTTGCTCGGTTGGAGATGCTGGTGTTTCTCCACAACGTGGTGCCCAGATTCAGATGGAGCTTGGTGGATCCGCACGAGAAGATATTGTGTGACCCCATCCCGGCCCCGGAGAAGGGCCTCCCAATCCGCCTCCACCCAGCTGCCATTGCCAACAACAACAAACAACATATGATGAATTAGACAATATAATAGTAGCGAATACAAGACATATAGATCATCCATCCATTCCTCCCCACACACGTACGTGAACAACACCCACCTCCAACATACACCAGTTTGTTTATCCATCTGCATTTATCTTCCAGGTAGTTTATCACTTTAACTAGCACATGCATAATCATATTTAAAGTTCATTAATCCTTAAAATAACTAAAAACGCATACTTCATAAGGGGAAGTAAGTCACAATTAAGGTCCCCGGGCAGCGCTGGGCTTCACAGGCAAGCTGCAATAAAAAATAAACCAGAAAACCAATCCAGCAATGTCTAGTGAGCACTTAATAGCCAAACAAAAACTCTCAAAAATTACTTGACAAATGAGAGGGCAATATGAGAGAAGAAAAAAGAAAATATGCATAACAAGAAGCCATATTTTCTGGGTTTGCCTGCTTGACGCCCCAGTACTTGAGGCCTATAAATTTTTTAGCAGAAATAGCATCTTAGAAATAGTAGATACAACACCAAGCGTAAAAATAATCATAAACATCAGGACGAGCGTACATTAATAAGAAGATTCATCATAGTTGCAGCTGGTATCCATAAAGAAAAAACAAACACTACATGAGGAAATCATTATGCACTGATGGAGGGAGGATGCGCCTACCAGGTTGTGCAAATCAGTATGAGTAAAAATATAATACTACCATTATGAAACCCCATAGTAATGTAACATGGCCAGCTTGAGATGTAATCCGATGCCTACAAACCAAGTCTTTTTGGTCTCAGATAAGTGGAGGAGCCTTTTTTCAGCCCTGGCATGGAAACTTGTTGCTGCTCCTTGGCCTTTCTAATCCTTTCCTTCTCATCCCTCTCTCTCCCCCTCTCCTCTTGAACTTTCCTCAGGTTCTCCATCTCTTCCTCCATGGCTGTTTTCTCTTGTTTCTGCTTCTTCTTGTGCTCCAACATGGATGTATCAGATTCCTTGACAGAGAAAAACATCGGCCCCAGCTCAGCAAGCCATTGGGGCTCCACTGCCGTGGTGCACTGCATATACTCTTTGGTGGTCAAGATCAACTCGTGATAAACAACATAATCTGGAGTATACCCCAACCCATACAGAGCACTGCTTGGATGCAAATGGCATGGCATTCCATTCCTACAGTTAACATACTCCCCAACCCCTTTCAGCCGTGCAGAATTATGAAAATAGGCCGAGCATATGGCCATTCGCACAACATCCCAGTCAGGGCCACATGAAGTCAATGGAATCTTGAGAGTTTTTAGAATGTCCAGTAACTGGGACCTCACCTCTCTAGCTTTGCGTAACCCCTTGACATGTAGATAATGGTCGTTACACCAATCACCCCGGTATTGATTAGCTTTCCACTGCTGGTACACATTCAGAAGGGTAAGGTGATCAGACTCTGGTACAAAGAATTTTTCTCGGGCAGCATCACTTTCCTCTACCCTATCCTTGGGTCTAAAGAAAACAGATGGCACTGAAAGCATGGAGACGATAGTCAAAACCTCATTTATGCATCCCAGTTGCTCACCCATTAAAAGCATCTTAGCCAGGGGAGGATCAAGGGGAAACTCCACCATCTTCCAGCCTAGATCAGTCAAATCCCCCACATTGTTCAAAGCAGCCAAAACCCAGAGCTGGTACATGGAATTGAGAATGTTTTCTTGGGGAGGGGGATCCATGAAGTCAAAATCCAGTAAATTGTCAATCTTCAGAGACTTAAGCAAAAGTACAACATTGCCAAGGTTGGTCCGTTGAATTTCTGGCACAGGACTTGGAAGCATTTCATTTAAATATGCACTTTCTGTATATAGCCGATAACATGTCCCAGGACCAGTTCTTCCAGCACGTCCAGCTCGCTGGTCAGCAGCTGCACGACTCACAGGAAACACTTGGAGGGCATCCATTCCCATGCGGGGGTTATAAACTTTTATCTTTCCATATCCTGTATCAATGACATAGAAGATTCCATCAACAGTCAAAGATGTCTCAGCAATATTGGTAGCGACTATACACTTGCGAGCTCCATCTTCAGCCTTCTGAAATATTTTCGCTTGCAAATCAGCTGGAAGCTGTGAGTATATGGGAAGAATTAACAGCTTTGGAGCTTCCTTTTTTGATGCAATCAGCTGCTCCATACGCTCAGAGAGTGCATAACAGGTTGCTTCAATCTCATCTTGACCAGTCATAAATATGAGTATATCGCCTGGTGCACTGGTAATGTGGATAGTCATGGCCTGCTTCACTGCAGCTTCAACATAGTCTTCACAAGGTGTCTTACTATATAAGATTTGAACTGGAAAAGTTCTTCCAGGAATGTGAAATATAGGTACACTGCAAGGATTAGCAAATCATGTGAAGTGGGGAAAACAAGGTGATAAGTCAGTCATCTCCAGAGTGGACTACTACCTGAATGCAAATATGCTTACCTCCCAAAAAAATTTGAAAATTTCTGAGCATTAAGGGTAGCAGAGGTCACAATGAGCTTGAAATCGCGTCGTCTAGCAACTACTTTCTTCAGAATGCCAAATAGCACATCTGTGCTTAAAGATCGCTCATGTGCTTCATCCATTACAATGACACTGCATGATAATGAAATAAATACATATAAATACTTATATAATGCACATAAACCATCTGAACACCTTAGGTTCTAACACGCTTAACACCTCACATCATCCAAGCTAGAAGATACATACCGATACTTTTCCAGGTCAGAATCTTTGAGTGTCTCCCTTAGAAGCACACCATCAGTCATGTACTGCAAAGGAAGAAAATTAATAAATATTCAAAACTTAACAAGAAGCAATATGGAAATTAAGAGATGTCAGGTTAAGCTGCTATGATGTATAAACATGTTATTAGTCCTGCTTCTAAACAGCAACACATCACAGTTTACTAACATAAGGTATCCTATCAAGAAATCAATGCCTAAAGTACAAATGAAGCTTGTGCCAATTCATTAATTATGATTAGAAGCATCATAAAAAAGCAAACACTAGGTTGTAACATATCATCAATGGAAATCTCAATGAATTCAGGATTGAGGAACGTTGATAATCTTCTAAAGTCATTACCTTGATAACGGTGCTGGGTCCTGTCACATCCTCAAAACGAATGGCATATCCAACCTTATCACCAAGTTCTGTTTCCATCTCCTCACTAACTCGTTTGGCAACACTCATAGCAGCTACACGTCTTGGCTGAGTACAACCAACAATGCCATTGGTTGTGTAGCCATCTTCGTTTAGATACTGCCAACGACCACACATCAAGGAAGTGAAAAGGATTTGAATTAGGATGACATAGATTAAAGTTCTGAACCCTACTTAGGAATGACTAAAACAAGTACAGCCAGACAAATAAAAAAATAACAATTTTCCGCAAACCTGAGTCAGTTGTGTTGTTTTCCCTGAACCAGTTTCACCTACAACCACCACCACCTGGTTCTCACGGATCACCTGCATTTGAAATAGCCGAGATTAAGCAAAAAGGAATCCAAAAATGACTAAATTTTACATTAGTTGCCTTCTCATTTAGTCAATGAAAACAGCAGCAGCAGGATAAGCAGGTGTTCTTAACCAGTAATAGTATGGACCCAGATTTTATTTTGCTTGTTTGATTATGCATTTAACCAGGAAAACCTTTTCTCAAAGAGATTCAACAATTATTTAACTGAATAAGAACCAACCCCTCTTGCTTCTACTTTCTATTCTCCAAAAGAGGTGAACTATCAGCAGACGCATTTTCTAAAAGAAACAAACACTCAGCAATGGTATAAGATAAGAAATTTTTTATTATTTAAGCATATGAGACCCTAAAGTGACATGTCACTGAACAGAATCTTCTTCAATTACAGGTTTATCCTTCTGCAGTTATCCCTAAAAAACAATGAGATTACTCTTCCAGCACAGCAAAATACTATATTGTAATTCCTAACATTAAGCAGGCCATTACAAGGAAAAAACAAGTAAAGAGTGCCAAACCTGCAGTAACTCCTCTCGTACAGAAAAAATAGGCAAATATTGTCGCTGTTGGGCTATTGTTTTCGATTTAGCAAAATCACTCACTGCATCACCCTTCTTTAAATGCTGTGAAAATTTGGCATCCACTTTGAAATCAACTTCTCCTTCGTCGCCCACTACAGCAGTATCTGCATCAATCTAGTAACCACGTATAAATGGTTCAGAAATATTCTTTTTAGTGTTTTTCAAAAGGAAAAGGCAAATTTGTTCCTCAAAATAACTGATTCTAGCCTCGAATGCAGCATACCTGTTCTGCGGTCTTCTCAACCCCAAGGATTTCACCTAACTTGGAACCAGCAAGCTCCCAAAATCTTTGGCGTGACTTGTTCATGCTCTGCTTTTCACGAATTTCCCTAACCAAATTAGAGCCCTTACGTGCTATAATTGCCATATCTGATGTAGGATCTTTCAATGGCATGATAGGCTCGGCTTGCTTTGTGAAAACAATTCTACCATCAAGAAAAGGAGGTTTTGTATCTGTTACAAGAGATAATGAAAAGGTAAGGACCTAAATTACTTAAATCCGGGGGCAATATCACCACTGGAGTTTACCATGCACAAGAAGAATAACTTTTCGTTCATCTTCATCATCAAATTCTGTCTGCACCTCAGTTCCTCTGACAGCTCCTGATCTTAGAAGTTGGCGATCCTCCCATTGAGCATTATCAGCTGTTAGTTGTGATAATTTTTTGCTCTGTGCAAGAGTCATCTTGCTTCCATCTCTTCTGACCTACATAAAGATTGAAATTGTTTGAGGAAGACAAAAATAAATAACGGTAATCTAAATTTTGAATGATTAAAAAATAAAACGGTACTTCGTAACAACATGAACCATACTCACAACAAACCACATTTATATAGCAGGAAGAACATTCAAGGAGGCATATCCAGCAAATAAAAGACTATGCAGCTATTCAAAGGATAGAACTCTTGTAGTTGAGAGACACCCAAGCCTAACATGAATGTTCGGAGCAAAACCAAACATAAAAGGCCACAAGTTCACCAAATAACCTCCTGATATAATAGATTGATGTTTGCTGTAATGAAATTAACTACTTAGCAACCTATACAGATTTTATGAGTATGACAGCTTTTGCTTCAGAAAAGGGTGGATCCTAAACCCCAAAAGTCAGTACAATTTTTCATTTGTCTAGGGCTGACAAAATATAGCTTCCCTTGCAAGTTATAACAAGGTTCAATATTAGCAAAGTGTTGCTAGCTAAGTATATAAACCTCATAAAGCTGAATCCATATGTAAGCATACCAATTTCTTAGGCAACTCTGCTTCTTTCTTCTGAAAAGATGCCTCGTCACCAAGAAAAAAAGAGGAGCTATCAGTATCATACATGGTGCTGCCTTCTTCCCTATCATACCTGCAACAAGCGGATGGATATCCATGCATTATAAGGAGAAACCTAGACTAGCCAGAAAACACATTCATGCAACCATCAAACAGCCAAAGTCAATCCGATAGACAGACTTTTATTGCAGTAACTATCAGATTTTGACCTATGCATTTAATCATTTTCTAGCATAATGAGAATTCTTTCATTACTGTACAGATTGATGTGCTTTTTAGTACCATAATTTTCAACCAAATGTTATAAGATAACCTTATGTCAAACCTTCCAAAGTAAACAGACCCGGAAAGTATAATAAATATGTATTCATATTTAATCTTCCCTTTTTGCATTCATGCAAAATACTGTCAATTAGCTAGGCAGGTTCCAAGCAAAGAATAGACACTAACCGACTATAAAATTTAACACAAATAAAATCTGATGAAATTACCAGGCGCGATCAGAATTGTACTCCATCTCTATACGCATACTTTCTGATAACTCATTCTGATCTGCGAATGTGTTTTCTGGGCCATCTTCTTTCTCCTATCACCAACAAGTAGGATGGATAGGTGAGGCACAGAGAGGGAGTTAAGCGTATTTTACAAAATTACTTGCATAAAAATTGCATTTAAAAACTATAGAAACTACAACCTCAACCAATCGCAGCTCATCTGAGACATATGTGATCTGGTTCGACTTCCGACCATATCGGGATCCTGCAGACCTTACAGACGATCCAGATGCCCGAATAGGAGTGGGGGATGGGGCAATGCTATCCCAAGGAGATGCTGCAGCTTCAGTGCAATATATTTATTAGTTATCAAAGATCGTGGCAGAAGGTTGACTAAATCAAAAGAAAAGGGAAAGACAATTTAACTTCAATTTTTTTTTTTGCCCCAAACAGGCATAGCAAACAGGAGAAGTCTTACCAGAAGAACTTGGGGTACGTCCTCCCATCCATGGAGAAACAAGCCTAGCATCAGGAGAGGCCCCAACATACATGGGTGATCGAAAATGTTGATGATTTCTGCTACTTGAGGTGTGACCATCACGACGAGGGGTATCTTCCCATTCCCATTGCCCATCATCCCATCCAGATCTGCCTACAAAGTCATGATAGATAATGAATTAGAAGGAGGTTATGTTAGCACAAAACATTATTACGGAAGATAAATTGGATCACATTTACTCATCTACACAAAATTCCAAGGCTCACAGCCCAGTAGAGTTATGGAAGATTTAAAGCATTTAACTTGGTTAAACTAAAGAAATTGACATACTTGGAGAGGTCGTAGATGAATCATATCTGCTTCTCTTCCCCCCATATTCTCCACTTCTCTTTCTTTCTTCAGCATTAGACTCCCTTGGGGTCCTCCCCTCCCTCTCAGAGCCATGTCTGTTCCTCGTATCTCTACTTGAGCTTCTATACTGCTCCCTACGCTTGCTTCTACTTCTATCACGGTCAACATTGTCAGAACCAGAGATCCTGTCCCTAGACCTTCCAGTAGACACGGTTGAAACCTAAGTAATGAGAAAAAAGGCTTAGATAACAATACAACAAAATCTAACCAGACAGCCATGGAGTTTCCAATCTGCAAGAAATCCATCTGATCTAAACAAGTCAACCATGCATATTCCAATCTGGAGGAAATCTATCAATTGTTCCAACTAGAACTGCCAAAACTAGCTACAAAATATAATCTCAGCTTCTTTTCGGCTTCATACTAGATTATTAATAACTTTGCTGAGGAGCATATACACATATCAGTTTTGGAAATCACAGTCCTGATATCACATATGAAAACTCGCAAAAATAAAGGTTGGATTACATAAATGCATGTGGCATAACCACATAAGAACTAAGAAATGAGATTAATCATTAAAATCAAATCACCATGTCAAGATACTTTCTGAAAGAATCACAAAAATGTATACACACCCTTGTATCTTTATCTGCATGTTGTGGAGGAAGTGCCTCGATAGTTTTCAGTTCTGTTACAATACTGCCTGAAGAACACATGGAAATGAATGAATTCAGAAATTCGAAATGGAAGTAAACAGAAATGACAATCCATTAGTTGCTAGTTAACTAGAATAGTTTAGAATCTAGTTCCTCCCTTATCATGCTTCATTCACACCTTGCAAACACATGGAATCAACAACATGAAAATAGAGCAAAGGAAGCAAAATATTCACCAGAGCATGATATGTAGACACCACAATATAAAGAGTACCTAAATTTGATCCCTCAGTTGAAGACAACTCACGATACTGCCTTTTCATATAATTGCTTAGGCCAGTATATCCATCATTATATGCTTGATCAATCCCTGATTGAGTAAGACTTTCCTCCTCTTCATCAAGAGAAGCTACAACGGAAGCAACTCTTTCTTTAGGAACCTTAAATGAACCCTCCAACTTTGATTCTACTCGCTTTGCATGTGCAAGGACATCAAGCCCTGTCAAATAAAAAATTATAATGTAAGGCTGAAGCAAGAATCACCAGGTACTCACTTCCTAATTTGCAAATCTTATTTTTAAGAAATGCAAGAGCCACACGGAAGTTGAGAAAGGGGTGTCTAGGCTCTTAGAAGTGATTCATCAATGGTGATAGCCCTCAAATTGGGATAGGAGAAATATTCTAACTGTTCAAAAAGTTTAAAACTGAAAAGAAAGATTTAAAAAGTACAAAGATAACAAGCAAAAACCAAAAAACAGAAAGATTAAATGAGTTAAAATCTTTGAATGGTTCAAGGTACATTATACATGCTACATGCTACGTGAAAACAACAAAAGGGTCCCTAAGAGATGATCTAGTAGTGTAGGGGTGGACTCATGGCCGTTGGGTCATGATTTTAAACACCTGATGCCTCTAAGTCTTGTCTACCACATATAGTTCGTCTAGTGTGACTTGCTTTTTTCGGACTTACTTTGCAAACTATTAGGTCCGGTTGAGAGTTTACCTACAGCGCATTCGAAAAGTAGCGGCAGCTTCCCCCGTCACAAAAAAAAAGACACTTATGACCAAAATTTAGTTTCTTACATGGAAATAACAAAAGTTCTGTAGAGCAAATGATGAGATAGGAGAAGAAGATCATGACAGTCTGCATTTAATTTTTTTACAATTGATCTTAAAATATGCTAACTGTATTAAGGAGAACATGCAAAAAAGATCAACTACAATTTTTTGTGAAACTTACATGACTTCCGAACTGAAACATACACAAATATACACAATAAAAAGTAAAGTCTTGTGCAAAAGCTTATGCCAATCAATTATTTGAACCCATGCATATCATACCCAAATTTGATTTTCTCTCAGGAAGCCTGAACATAACTCTGTCGTTCCCAGGTACAAACAACCCCCCAACACTGGATTCTTCGGGTCCCAATGTATCTGTCATCTTATTTGGATCAAATGGCCCAGAATCCGTGTTTGTCTAAAAATCAAAAAAGAAAATAAGAAAATAAAAAAGAAAAGAAAAGAAAAACATATATCTTTGTGAACGAGAACTATGAAATAGAATGAGACACTAACCTTCATCTTAATGTTTCCTCCAAAGAAGATGAATAGCTAACACTGCCTAACTAGAAAAAAAGAAGTTCATCCCACTTAAAGGACAAGAGTGAAGCCAGACGAACAGCTACATATCATATCATGAGTAGAATACCAGCCTTTATCTTGATGCTTGATTCTTTTAGAGGTTACTTTGTTGATGCTGGAAAATAAAGAAGAGAGGAAGAGGACCCATCAGGTCCGCGAGTAACATCAGGTCTGCAAGTAACATGGAGTGCACATAAATAAATGAGTGTGTTCTTTTATCAAATTTCTACTATTAATTAAATTGCTCCATAAAACATCAAATTAAACATCTATTTCTTTTTTTTCTATATTATAATAAAAATCAATTTTACATTAAAAACATAACAGGTGTGTTTGTTTGGGAGATTCTCCCCCAAATACACTATTCATCTCATTCCCCCCCAAAACATCAAATCAAATTCCTATTTTTTATTTTTTATATTATACTAAAAATCAATTTTACATTCAAAACATCACATCAACACCTATTTATATCAGGTAATACAACTATTCAAATTCAAAATTTTTACTATTCAAATCCCAACTCAAAATTCAAACCCCAAACAAACACACCCAACATCAACACCTAGCACCATACCACTATTCCAATTCAAAATTTTTACCTTTCAATCTCAGATCCTAAATCCAAACCCCAAACAAACACACCAGAAATTAACATTCCAGGTGAAGCTAATGTCGAATGCTTCCTTGTACACCTCTGACCTTATAGCCAATGGTTTAAACACTAACAAAATTAACTGGCAGTTTATCAACGAAACAGTGAGATGGCAAATATTATGGTTGTATTCTTTTGAAAGATTTTGCCAAATTTCTCCTATAGATCTTTTTCAGAAAAAAAAAAAAAAAAAAAAAAAATCATATCAAAGACTTACTTTTACTCTTCATATCCCAAACCCAAAATCCAAACCTCATACAAACACACCTTAATGTCTTTCTTACAGGAGAACAAACTAACATGCAGAGCAATTTCAAATAAGGGCAAAATCAAAACCACAGAAAAGAAGAAGTTGGAATCTTTGAAACGGAATCACAAATAGGACAACAAACACAGACAATAAATAGCCCCAAACTCCTTCAAAGCAGAATCCGATGCCTTATTTCTTCCAGAAACACAGAGAACATAAACAACCCCAAATTATTCTAATCGCATAAGAAGGATTTCACTTGAATGAAAAACAAAAATTACCTGTAGCAGGAGGCGGCGGCTGGAGAAGAAGAAGAAGACGACAGTAGTAAATCCTCTACCCTGTCTTGGAGGACGACGACGGCTACCGGAGAGGAAAGGGACGGTTCAGCTTTTGGACTCCAATGACTATGATGGGAGATCAGATCGATCGCTGGGTAATGTCGAGAGGATGAAGAAGAAGGGAGGAGAAAAGAAAGAACTGACGGAGGGGAGGTGTATAAGGGTTTTGTTTTGCAATAAGATTTTTTATTTATTTTTAATAATTTAATTCTAATTTTTTTAAAAAATATATTGTCTCCATCCCACCATAATTATATATATTTTAAATTACATATCTTTTAAAAAATTAATTTATATTAATTATAAATAAACAAAAAAATTATTTAATTTATTTGTATAATAAAAAATTTTATTTTTATAAAATAATATTCATATTACATATATTTTTTAATTTCTATATAATTTTTAAATATTTAAACATATATTTAAATTTTTTTAATTATATATATTAAATTTACTTTAAAATTATAAATATTATTAATTACATAAAAAAATATAATAATATTGTAAGTCATTATTATTAATTAATTAAATATTTTTACTTTAAATACAATTTTTATAGTTAAATGGAGTACAATAATATTTGAAATATATCAAAAACTCCAAAAATCTTATATATTTTTAAAAAAATATTTCACTTTTTAAAAAATATTTATTATACTATACTACTTTTTAATCAATAAAATTATCAAAAAGAATATTTGAACACAAATCAAACTTATAATTATAGAGATATAAAAAAGGCTTGGATCATATATTAAACAAATTATAGCCTTTAATTTTGTATTAATAATTTAAAATCAAATATTATTATTACGATTAAGAGTTATGATTAATTAAAATTTATTATACTGAATTTCAGCATGTAATCTACTTGATATAAAAATTCAAATTCATCATAAAATTTAAATTTAATTCAAACTCACATTCAATTTCGCGTTTGACCATTAGTTAATATGTTTTAACTAACGTTAGCTATTAGTTGATTTAATAAGCGAGTTTAACTATATTCACTTATTTAATTCAATAATAATATTTAATTTTTTTCATTTTAATTTAAATTTTTTGAGAATTTTTATTATTAATTATTTAAAATTATAAAAATGTTATAAAATATTTATTTCTATTTTTTAGAGTTGTGAAAAAATATTTTTACTAAAGTACAATAATAATTTATTATCGAAATTGTATAAAATATAAAATAATAATTTTTCCTATATATTTTTTATTATGTTAATTATTGTTTATTAATTTTAATGTAAAAATTATATAATAAGAATATATAAATAAATTAATAATATTTTTTCTTTTTAGTATTTGATTTAATTTTAATAAATTTATATATTTTACAAATAAAATAATTTATATATAATAATTAATAATAATAATAATTTTTAAATTACAAAAATAAATTATAATTTAATAAATAAAATATGTTTAAATAATTAATAATTTATATATATGAAATAAATAAATAATTTCTAAGGATGAATAAGAAATAAATAAAATTAAAATAAAAAATTATTCAAAAAATTATTTTTCAAACACCCCTAAATATTTATTTTGAAATTTTTTATATTAATTTGAAAATTAATTTTTAAACTTAAATAATAGGATTAATATTTATTTTTTGTGTAAATATAATGTATTTATTTTTTATTTTATAAAAATATCAAATTTAAAAATAAAGTAATTATAAATACTATTAAAATACCCAAGAATAAAAATATCAAATTATACTACTTCGTACATTTGATTAGCAATACAATTTTAAGATTATGATATTTAATTAGTTAATAATACCAAATTATAATATTATTTTATTATTTTTATATAATATTTTTCTGTTTCACGTAAATATTCAATTTTTTATATTTCACATATAATTTATCCTTTCAGTTTTTTTAAATATAATTATACACTTTAATTAAATTTTTAAATTCATAAATTATATATTTTTTATTTTAATTAAATTATTTGATCATTTTAATATAAATTTATAATTTTTTTTATTAATACATTTCTTAATTACTTGTTCAATATCCAAAACTGAACATCTTATCTAAAGTAGATAATTTAAGCGGGATAGAGAAATAAGTATTATTAATAAATTTAAAATAAGAAATAATATGATGTGACTAAAACTTAAAATATATATTTAAATATTTTAAAAATTATATATTATAAAGTTAATTAATTTTATATTTGTAACTATGTATTAAATTAATAAATTTATTAAATATAAAAATATAATATTTTTATAAGATAAATTAAAATAAAAATAATATCAATTTATTAATGAACGAAGTATAATTATTTAAATTTAATTTTTTCTTTTTCAAATCAATATCCAACCCAAACAAAACACTCGTACTAGTATTTATTTATTTGAATAAAATTATTAATAAACAATTCATTATTGATTACTATTATTACAATTATACTATAGCTCTTGTGATATTTTTGTTTGTTTTAACAAAGAGAGAAGGAAAATTTCAGAATTCAGATCAGATCTCCGTTCTCAGTCCAGAGGAGAGGAGAGGAGAGGAGATAAAAAAGTGGGTTTAGCAGCTGACTGTTGAGTTGTGCGGTGAGTCGGAATCGGAGTCGGAGCTGGAGCTCAACCGGTAAGAAAGAAAGATGAGAGAGATCATCAGCATCCACATCGGACAGGCCGGCATTCAGGTGGGCAACTCCTGCTGGGAGCTCTACTGCCTCGAGCATGGCATTCACCCCGACGGCATCATGCCCAGGTACCTACCTCACCCCAACTCCAAACTCCAACTCCAACTCCCCTTTCTCACTACAACACTCCACCTACCCGCATCGCATCTCTCACTCCCTCCCCCTCCCTCCCCTTCTCAGCGACACTTCCGTCGGTGTGGCGCACGACGCCTTCAACACCTTCTTCAGCGAGACTGGCTCCGGAAAGCATGTCCCCAGAGCTATTTTTGTGGATCTCGAACCCACCGTCATCGACGAAATCCGGACCGGCAACTACCGCCAGCTCTTCCACCCCGAACAGCTCATATCCGGAAAGGAAGACGCTGCCAACAATTTCGCCAGAGGTCACTACACCGGTTAGTCTAGTCTAGTCTAGTCTCTTACTCTTACGCTTACATCAGATCTGGATCCGAGCGAGTCTCTCTCTGTTTGATGCTTATTTGCAAGATACATACATACGATGCAATACATTGTCGAATTGTGACGTCGTCTGGTGCTTGTTTGCAGTGGGGAAAGAGATTGTTGATCTGTGCCTCGACAGAGTGAGGAAGCTGGCCGACAACTGCACTGGATTGCAAGGGTTTTTGGTGTTCAATGCCGTCGGTGGCGGCACTGGATCTGGATTGGGATCTCTGCTCCTGGAGCGCCTGTCGGTGGACTATGGAAAGAAGTCCAAGCTTGGTTTCACCATCTATCCTTCACCGCAGGTGCCTTCCTGTTTAAAAAAAACCTCAGTGTTTAATGATAATTATCATCTCTTTCTTGGAATTGGTTGTTAACCCGCTAGCTAAACCAAAGGAATTGTAGTAGTAGTAGCAGTAGTAGTATAATGTATGTATGACCCAGCCAGTGTTGCTTGCTGATGATCCCTTCTCTCAATTCAATTGTTTGAGTATTGCATCTGCTGCAGGTGTCTACTGCAGTTGTAGAGCCTTACAACAGTGTCCTCTCTACCCATTCGCTTCTCGAACACACCGATGTGGCTGTGCTCTTGGACAATGAAGCCATTTACGACATTTGCCGCAGGTCACTGGACATCGAAAGGCCTACATACACCAATTTGAACCGCTTGATCTCGCAGATCATATCCTCCTTGACTACTTCTCTGCGCTTTGATGGTGCCATCAATGTTGATATCACTGAATTCCAGACCAACCTTGTGCCGTATCCCCGCATTCATTTCATGCTTTCATCCTATGCACCTGTGATATCAGCTGAAAAAGCATACCACGAGCAGTTGTCCGTCCCAGAGATCACTAATGCAGTGTTTGAGCCGTCTAGCATGATGGCCAAGTGCGATCCGAGGCATGGGAAATACATGGCTTGCTGTTTGATGTACCGAGGAGATGTCGTCCCCAAGGATGTCAATGCTGCCGTTGCTACCATCAAGACCAAGCGGACTGTCCAGTTTGTTGACTGGTAAGAAAGAAAGAGAGAGAAAGAAAGAAACAGAACAAACAAGCATTTGTTGTTATATATGTCTTAGCACGCAGTACAGCTTAGTAATGCTTTGTTTTCCCGTCTGATCCGATAGATAACAACAAGTCTGTATTTAATTAACCAGGTGCCCCACTGGATTCAAGTGCGGAATCAACTATCAGCCGCCGGCTGTGGTGCCTGGAGGCGACCTTGCCAAAGTGCAGCGAGCTGTGTGCATGATAAGCAACAACACAGCTGTTGCGGAGGTGTTCTCAAGGATCGACCACAAATTTGATCTCATGTATTCCAAGAGAGCCTTTGTGCACTGGTACGTGGGGGAGGGAATGGAGGAAGGGGAGTTCAGTGAGGCCAGGGAGGACCTGGCTGCGCTTGAGAAGGACTACGAAGAAGTGGGTATGGAGGGTGTGGATGATGAAGAGGATGGCGGGGAAGACTTCTGAGTCCACCCTCCCTCCCTCCCGCCGGCTGGCTGTGGCTGAATTTAAACCAACTTACCTCTCGCGGTGGCTGATGCGTATGCAATTATGCCATCATGTTATGTGTACTACTCTAGTATTTGTTATGATGGCTCATGTCGTGTGTATTTGGGATATGTTTTGGCTTTTGGTTGAGGACATAAATTGTTTTGCTGTTGTATGTATGTATGTATGTTTAAGTGCGTGTGTGCGTGCTACTGCTGCATTTCTGCTACTTGGTGTGACATTTATTAGTGCTACTGCTTGCTTGCTACTGCCTGCCTTTGGTAAAATTGTTCACAATGTGTGTGTGTGTGGTTGGACTGGATGGAAGTCTGAGCATATTTTATTTATATTACACCAACCATTCATACCTAATCATTAAGTGACGAATGTCTCCCCAATTGATCTATAAATGTTGTTTTGCTGCTGCTATGCTAGGGAGGGGGGAGTTGTAATAATTCATTTCTGCCGACAGGTTGGAGATGCATGCACATCCAAAACGAGTTGCATAGTAGATTTGATGACTGACATCAACTTTACTATGAAACCTTACCTCACCACAGCATAACTAACACACGCGCGCCCGCGCCCGCATGATCAAGCTTCCTTCTCAATATTATCACCATCACTCACCCAGAAGAAGAACAATTAAGAATCATAATGCATCATCACATTCACCCCTCCCCCCCCCCCCCCCCCCCCCCCCATCATAATGCGGAGGGAAATTAAATAACCGATCATCAGGGTGAGGGTAGGATGATGTCGGAGGAGAGCCAAAGATCGGCTTCGGACAGCACAGTAGACCAACCCCTCTCTATCCTAACCTAGCCGACAAGTCACATTTAAACAAAGAAACAAACAAAAGCATGTCATGTGCATGCATGCATTGTTGCCGAAGCAAAAATGGACCAGATAACAATCGGGTGGGGTGGGCGTGGGTCAGTCCTGGCCCTGCAGGGGGGCCCACCTTTGAAGTCTCTTCTCTTCTTGTCCATATTGTATATCATATCTATCCCGATCCCATATATCCAGCCAGCCCGAAAACACGGAAGTTTAGTAACGGAACCGAGAGATGGAAATGACTACACTCAGCTCCAAAATGGATTTTACTACTACTACTATGCATATCATTAGAAGTCTTTTCTTTTTTATTTTTATTTTTATTTGTTTCACTTAAAAATATTAATTTTTTATTATAGTATAAATAATTACGTATTAATATAAAAAAATATTTTTACTTTTATGTGAATTACCAATGTATTATTATATATATAATTAATTAAAAAAATTTATTATTTTGTATACTTCCTAATTAATAAAATTCTTGATCTATTGCAAAAATATAAGCAACTACTTTAGATTGATACAAAAAGAATATTATACTATGTTATTTATTATTATTGTTATTATAAATAAAATAATAATTTAAATTTTACTTATTTTCTAAAGCACCTTGTTAAAAAAATATTTTTAAAATTCAAAATTACTTAGGTTTTATTTGTTTATAGTTTTTTTTTTTTTTTTTTTACATTATTTCCAATATATATTTTGGATGTGTTTTGATTTTGAATTTGGAAAATAAATTTGAGTAATTATATAATAAATATAAATGAAAAATATTTCATGTGATATTTTTTATTTTTTATTTTTTTAAAAAATTAATAAATAATAAATTTTATAAAATTTGATAAAAAAATACACGCTTGCTTACTAGTAATACCGACCAATGATCGTCATCGAATCGACGAGTGTGTGATGGGCTACAACTGGCCCAGCAGCTCGCCTATTTCCCCTGCAACATAGCCGCTCAACTTCCCCAATTCCCTCCTCTTATTCACCTCTCCTCGCCGAGAATTCGCTGCTTTTTATCCACTTCAACCCCCACCCTTCACATGCGACGCTTTTTGAATTAGATTTAGGTATTTCTCAATTCAGCCTAGCTCCTGGAAGTGTGCTCCCGGGTTGATATTTTAGAATATCTCTGTCTGTTTATCTATCCTTGAGTTCACTGGATTATGCCCTCAAAGTATGCACATCAGTGAAAAATGCTCACGGGCAGAAAAGTTCTCAGACGCTGCTTCTGCACTGCCACCGTGTTCCCAAACCCACGGCCCTGGCTTTTTGTGGGCTTAGGAAATCCCGGGGATAAATTCTCGGGCACCAGGCACAATGTGGGGTTTGCACTTATCGATGCATTTGCGAAATCACAATCCATCTCAATGGACTCTATCCATTGCAAAGCTAGCTTTGGAAAAGGCCTGTTCTTCGCAGTTGCTATATATATATATATTCTTGTGAATGTGTGTCCCCATAACTAATGAGGAATGTTGGGTTCTGGATATTATTTCCTTCAGGTTTCGTGGATGGGAGTCCAGTATTGTTGGCAAAGCCTCAGACTTACATGAATTTAAGCGGTGAATCTGTAAGCAAGCAAGCAAGCAATCGGTTAAGATTGCTGTTTAAAGAGTACTTTTTTTGTTTGCTTGCTTTTTCTATGTTAGCGGACTTAACTATTTCTCATTTTTCTGTCCAGAGTGGACCTCTCGCAGCTTATTATAAGCTCCCTCTTAATCGTGTGCTAGTGGTATTCTGACTGATGAACTAGTATTTATTGTCTCAGCTTGTTTGTCTATTCAGTTCCAAGAGTGTTGCTCTGATGATTCACTTTTTTCTTTTTTTTTTAAATGTGGTAGTTTCATGATGACATGGATTTGCCTTGTGGAGTTCTGCGTCTTGTCCCCAAGGGACATCATGGATGTCATAATGGGTAAAAATTATCAAAAGAGCTTATGTGACTATCTGTCCATTCTGCTGCTTTTAAGCATCCCAAAGTGTATTATATATAATGTTTTTAGTCAGAACTTCTAACTTTTCTAATAGCACATCTTGTCATCTCTACAAGTTTGACAATCCACGTGCTAAAGTTTTCGTTTTAGAAAACATCCTAGAGTTTGTAAATCTTAAGGCTTTGTTTGGTTTGTAGTTTGAAGTACTTATGTTGGTAAAATATGGCGTGAATTTATTTGAAACAAATCATGCTTATATTGATTATTTTATTTAACTTTTAAATGGAAATACTGATATTTTACACGACAGGTTGTTTGGTTGATGGTTATGTTTTGAACATGACTAAAATTTCAATCTGAAATTGAAAGAAGGTATCATTGAATAAATATTATGATTATGATTATTATTATTATTATTATTATTATGAGAAAATTATTGGGGTGACACTATGTGTTTGCATGTGATTTTTTGCTTTGTGGGCAAACTGGCCAAGTGTAATATTCCTTGAGTCTAGTACATGATATTGAGTGATCTAAATTTTAGTTTGTGATTTTTGCTAGGTTGAAAAGTGTGATCTATCATTTCCATGGGAATAAAGAATTTCCTCGTTTGAGAATTGGTGTGTTTGGATCTGCAAGTTCAAATTTTACTGCTTGAAACCTTCTGTTGGCTATAAATAGCCTGATCTGCTTTAATGTATATGTGTTAGGTATCGGAAGGCCTCCCAGACACATGGACCCAAAAGCGTACTTACTCCAAAAATTCAATGCTAGAGCTCGAGAGAGGGTATGCACACTGCTTTTGTTTCACCGTGATCAGATGTTACCATGCCACCGAAAAAATCACTCTTTCCACTATATTGTTGCTTTGTGTAACTTGGATTGAAGGAAACTTGCTGCTATTCTAGCTAATGTGAGATTTTACTTTTGGTTTACTCATTCTAAAAAAATTTTCTCCAAAAAATATCAAATCAAACACCTATTTTCATTTATTATATTACATTAAAATTTAATTTTACATTTAAAATATCACATTAATATATATTTATACCATATAAACAATTATTATAATTCAAAATTTTACTATTCAAAATCAAAATCCCATAAATAAACACACCCACTAGTTTCATTTTCTTTGACCATGATAAATTTAAGTTGGATCTTTGACCATTAATGGCTCTGGGTTGGGTGAAAGTGCTTCCAACCTAAAACCAATTGGTGATAACAGATATATAACTTCTTTTGTTTTTTATCCGACTAATCTTCTCTACTAATGTTATCAACTACATCAATAATTCACTTGGCGGCTGACCAAGAACTAGAACTGTTTCTTTGATGGCTTTCTTGTTGGCTCATGAGTCATGCAATAAATAGTTATCACCAATGCCATTATTTATTTTCTTTGGTGACTTTCATTTGTTTTCTCATGCATATATAATATTCTGATCACCTAGAAATTAAAACCATTATGCTATATTTATTTATGCACCATTTTGTGGTTAGCAGATTGATGCTGCATTAGAAGAAGGTATTGATGCTCTGAAACAAGTCTTGGCCAAGGGCTTGACTGAGAGTGCGAGATGCTTCAATAAGGAGCAGAAGTACAAACATATAAGACTGCAAACAGTGCCTGTGTGACTTTATCAAAGGTACTCTTAACTGGATAGGTTGCATTTTCTTCTATAGACCATGGTACACACTACACACACATATTGTCTATTATTAACATCATCCAATTGATTATTCTTTTGGAGACCTAGGTAATGAATGGGCTTTTCCCCTATGTGAGTGCTTAGTTGAATGCATTTTTATCTGTATAATCAGCAATTCTTAGCCAATATTTGTAGGTAAATTGACATCCCACTTGGATTTGGATATGCTCATCAAGTTACAACTAGTGAGCAAACACCATTCTGAAACAGTTTCGCTTGGTGCAGATTACAGCTAATATATGTGACTAAGATTTCCCATCACATGACCGATGCCTAGGAGGATTTGGCTCATAGCTGATTCTTGCTCATGAAAGCTGCTTGTTAGCTAGCTCCACCTGTGTTGGTCTCAGGTGATCATAGTGAAGGAGATAATTTGGGTCAAATGAAAGGGGCTGTTGTTATATATATAGCTGCGCATGTAGATAGAGATGTTTTATAGCTAAAATTTCTGTAGTGATCACATATCACATTTGTTGTATTACGGCCGATATTCAAACAAATGATGACCCTTTGATATTTTTCAACTGCTCTATCAAATTTTGCTTGTTGGAATCTACTGAGATCGGGCATTAATGTTTTTGTGCCCCCTTAGTTTTAGCTCTCTCTCCTTTCCACAATTATGGCTAGTCTTTAGGGTTATCAGTTAATGAACTATACAACACTTCAGGGAATTACTGCTGGCAGTTCCTTTCCACATTGATTGCCATGTGCCATTGCTTTAATATCATGTCAGCTGGAACCTGGTGATTAAAAATGCCATAATTTGGCGTTCAATCCTCCGTGAAGACACCCCTGCATTTCATTTATTTTATTCATACTGTATTTAATTGAACACTAAAGTCCCATATCTCTCGTCTAGCTATGTGATTTGGCCAGAAGAGTGAGAACTAGTTAATAAATTGAGAACGTCAAGTAAGACACTATGGTAGTGGGCAGCTTTCACAATCATACGTTATGATTCACCCACACTTACCCTAACCCCCATGGATGCATTGCAGATTTTGGAAACAGAATTCTCATACAAACTTCCCCAAAGTGATCTCCAATTCTCCTCCTTTTACTTTCTTTGGCTACAGTGTGCTTTTGAAATCCACAGTCTGGTATAAACAAATTAATTAGCTTTTATCCAAAATATTTACACTATGCATCAATAAATCCTGCATACCATCCTTCAATCTTAATTAAACCTTTACCAAAAGGAAGAAATATTAAGCCCCTTTGCAATCAATAAGATAGAGAAGGAAGAGCCAAAATACAATAAATAGGAGGAAGAGAGAACAGGAAGGGGAGGGGAGGGGAGGGGTGTTCGAGAGTGACACACTGACAACACAACTAATGAGAAGCCCGCCGCAGTCTTCCTCCAAGAAAACTGTAGCAGCAGAAAGTGGTAATGGCTGTAGCACAGGAAAGAAGGTGACGGTGACTCCATGTTGCAGCAGCCGGTTAGGTCTGAAGAGAGGACCGTGGACAGCTGAGGAGGACAAGCTGCTGGCTGATTACATAAAAAGGGAAGGTGAGGGGAGGTGGAGAACACTGCCGAAGAAAGCAGGGCTGCTTCGCTGCGGGAAAAGTTGCCGCCTCCGCTGGATGAACTACCTCTGCCCCTCCATCAAGCGCGGCCACATCACTCCTGCTGAGGAAGATCTCATTCTTCGCCTACACCGGTTGCTTGGAAACAGGTCCGTATCATTGACTAAAATCCCATCAATGCATTACAGAGATACATGTGAAAGATCAGCTGCTGTTGCATGATCACTCTGGTAGTGATCTTTTTTTTTTTTTTTTTTTTTGTGTGTGTATTCATCTCGATTATATCAATCAGATATGCGGCCATTAATTTGGATTAAGGGTACCACTGTTTCTGAAATGCTATGCCATCCAGAGTCTTAGAAGTTGCTCCTGCAGGTTGTCTTTATATATGTTTATAAGCTGAAATCCCAAAGGTTTGTTGTAATTGGGGAGTATAATTGATATTTGACTCACATGTTTTGGTAATGCTGTGTTGATTGATCAAGGCATGTGGTTGTTTCAGATGGTCTCTGATAGCTGGAAGAATTCCAGGGCGCACAGACAACGAGATAAAGAACTATTGGAACACTTACCTTAGCAAGAAGCTGGTCAGCCAAGGTATTGATCCAAAAACTCACAAGCCATTCATCCACCCGCCTTATAAAGATTTGACTGCTCCATCCGAAGCAGCAGGCGAGAACAACCCATCGTTTTGCAGCCCGAATGATATCGGTGCCCCATTTGATGACCCCTTAGAAAATGCGGTCATAAACAGCACTCAAGTACCCGAAGATGGGAAATTGGTTTGTCCAGTTAGTATGGATGAGGAATTGATGAGCAAGTGTTGGGAGGGAATGAGCGGCGGAGACAAAGACATGGCGGATTGTTGCATGGATGATTTGTTCTTGAATTCTCTGATTAATGATGATCTCTCTGTTCAGTGAACCGATCCAGGAGGAGCATCAGCAGCAGCCGCCGCCGCCTTTATATTTGAACTGCCCCATCAATTAGTTTTTAGCCTTCATTGTTTCTGCAATTTAATGGGCTTTAGACCTGAAAGGATCACAATCCAATCCATTTCGTTAGTGATGGTTTAAATTTCTTACTTTCATCAGCTTTAACTTACAACTAGCTGAGAGAGATGACCAGCTACTTCATATATGAATCAAAATGGTTGGTCATACTCGTATTCTCATGGCCATATTCAATGATGATATGATAGTCGAAACACACACACACTCACACTCTCCTTTAATCGACCGTGGAGTAAGAGTCCTGTGATCAAAGTTGTACTCATCGAGTAGAAACACAAATCTAGTACTGTAGAAGTGACTGTGTAGGAGACTAGTCGAAGAGATTGGTAAGAGAAACAAAAAATCCTTCTTTTGTTCACCATTGTTTCATTCTTGCTGTCAACACACACATGGTTAAATTTTATTATGGCAGGAGCAGTTTGGATGATACTCTCTATTTCTGAACTTGTCATTTGAAAGCCCCAAACCAGAAAAATTTCTTATAATTCACAAGTTGTTTGGAAAGTCATGCGTCATATTCTCCTATAATTTTAAAAATTGTAAAGGTTTTTTCATGCTTTAAAAAATATTGTACAAAATTTTAAAAAATTGCACGAGACTCTTTTGTATTTTTATTAATATTGAATAAAATCAAAAAGAAATATTTTGTGCAATGTTAGGAATACTATTAAATTCAGAATGAGCAGACCGGTCATAAGAAGAAGGCTATGCCGGTGTGATTAATTAAGCACACCATCCATTCATCCATGATCCATGTGAAGCGAATATGGTTGAATATATTGTATATATGTGTGTATGTCTGTATATAGATTCATTATTACACAGCCACTCCACACTAATCAACTCAACTATATATGGATCTGCTGAAGAGGAACGGATGGTTTGCTTTTAATTAGCTGCGGTCGCCCCTAGCTGCTTCTTCAATCTAACTGTCTATATATATACATGTGTGCGTGTGTGTGTGCGCGCGTGTGTAACTCCATCGCCCGTCTCATCATTGCCTCTATTGCACGCTTGGAACTCAACTCGCTCATCATTTATATACTATTATTATTTTTTTGAATTGATGATTGCTGATGCTGCTGAATTGCATACACACATGCACACACAACATCCATCCATCCATATATGTTATTGTTATTAATACTATCATGACCAAAAAGTAAAGGGAAGCATTGCAGCCTAGCTAGCTACAAATATAAAATGATAATCCAAAGATTTATGTGGGCCTGAGAATCTCCCTTTCCCAACTTACAATGGAGTCGACTCGACTCATTCAAATTTATAGTCCTTGTTTCTAGTGGATCATTATATATATATATATTGCTATTTTTGCTATTTTGATTCCATTCTTCAGTCTAATTCTAATATTAGCTAGCTAGCTGATCATTTTTTAATTAGTGTGGACATGCAATCTTCAGCCTTGATTCCTTTGCCTAATTGCCTGCTTGAACAAGATAAATACTTCTATTCTATATCATCATCATTGTTGTTGTTGTTGTTGCTGCAGTGCAAATCCGGTGTTAAGAAACCACCAGCGGTCCTCCTAATCTGTGTGTCTTTTGTGTGTGAGAACCGAGAATGAGACCAGTGATCGAGTGCTTTCCTAAGTCATCAATCCTTGGAGTTAGAGAGGAAGAAAGTTAGTTAATTAGTTTAGTTGTTACACATGCATGATAAGCTAGCATATTGGTAAGCAATCCAATTAGGAAGCAACCAGAAATGAGAGGCTGATGGCATTGGCATGATGAACTTGTTTCATTCATACTGCTACTATCAGGCAGGCAGGCAGGCACGCACACACAGCAGCAGCAGCTACTTTGCAGTCTTCTTCTTCTTTTGGGTTATGTTAGGTAAGGTTAGGTTCAGATCCAAGAAGTTGTGCTGGTGTAGGCTACTTAGTACCACAAGTACTCCCTCCCCCCAAGTTCCAACACATTCAGTGTTGATATACCACTAGCATACCGAAAAGCAAAGCAAAGCGAATCAATGGGATGGGAATGGCTGGGTGGGGTGGCAGAAGCAAATTGAGATTGCTCTTTGACCAATAAAAAGACAATCAAGACAGTACTCCTCAGAATGATAGATCCATAAATGGAGTAGGAGTAGGAGTAGGACCCTCAAAACTTTTCACGTGGTAATGGTATGCATACAACAAGTCAATCAAACAGTAGAATAGAAAGGACACTTTCCTTTCTCCCTTTGGTTGAGTGTGGGAGTGGGAGGGAACATATGTTACAAGTGTGTGTGTTTAAGATACTGCCTGCCTGCTATTTATAAAGCCACAGCCATAGCAGAAGAAGTAGCATTCAATTCAGTGAACAGAGCAGCAGCATTTCATTGATTAGCTGGAGCGGCTCTCTTTAATTTCTCACTTGGGCTTAGCCTTAAAGAATAAGAACAATGGTCAATTTCAAAAGGGTTTGCGTTTTCTGTGGAAGTAACTTGGGGTATAGAAAGATATTCAGTGATGCAGCACTTGATCTCGGGCAAGAACTGGTTGGTACTCACTCATTTACTCACTCAGTATATATGCACGGATGCTTACATGCCTTGTCTTTGTCTTGTCTTGCCTGGTTAGAACGCATTCCATTGGCAATGAATGAATGGCATTGCATGGTGAGATCAATTTTATTTATTTATTTAAAAAAAATAAAAATCAAATAAGGTGTTGGATGGACTTGGACTGGATGATGGTGTGCAGGTAAGGAGGAAGATGGATCTTATATATGGTGGAGTAAGCATTGGCCTCATGGGTTTGATTTCTCAGACAGTGTATGATGGCGGACGCAGCGTTCTCGGGTAACAAACACCGCACCTCACCCCAGCCCGTCCCCTCACATTTAATTTCTGTCCCTCCTCCTCCCTCTCTCTTCTTCCATTAATTACTCTATACAGCAATCAGCACTGGAATGAATCAATGTTTGTTTTGTGTCACTACCACTACTGCTGGTGCTGCTGTCTTCTTGGAGTGGAATAGAGTTATTCCCACAGCTCTTGTCCCCATAGAGGTGTGAACTTTCTTGTTTCCTTTTGCTCTTTTTTAACCACAGGATCGGACAAGAGTGATGGACTGAACTGAACCGTCAATGTCATGTTTGCAGATATCAGGGCACGCCGTGGGAGATGCAATGGTTGTCTCGGATATGCATCAAAGGAAGGCTGAAATGGCTCGTCGGGCCGATGCTTTTATTGCACTGCCCGGCACGACACTACTCACTCACTCGTTCATTCCCTCCCTCCCTCCATGAATTTAAGATGTATTATTGGTTAGGATAGGAGGTTTATCATCCATCAATGATCCTCTCCTCTCTGTTTGTTTGCTTGTTCGATTGTTGCTGGGTTTTGAATGAAGGGGGCTATGGAACTATGGAAGAGCTGCTTGAGATGATAACTTGGTCACAGCTTGGAATTCATAACAAACCAGTAAGCCCTCTAGTCTTCCCCTTCCATAAGAAAAGCCACACACTCTCACTCTCTCTCTCTCACTGCACTAATAAAAACTGTGATGATATAAGTTAAATCCCATCCACCCCACCCCACCCCACTCACTAATTCTCTATTATTATGGGACTCACTCAACTTTGACTGCCCAAATTTAACCCATCTCTTTATTTGCTCAGTCCCAGTCATCTTCTACACTTGTACACATGAAAGAAGAAATGTTTATTCATTCCTTCCCTTCAGTTTTCTCCTTAAAAATCAATTCATTTCATCTTGTCTCTCATCCTTTTTTGTCTGCCAGATAGAGCTTTGTATCTATCTGGGAGGGACAAGATAGACCCAATCATGCATACAAGTAAGTATAGTCCACTTTATTGCATGTCCAGGGAATCTAATAAGGATGCCTTGGCTGTGTTCTTACCATATATAATTCAATGGCTGTTACATACATAAATTTATATATATATATATATAGATTATGATGATGCCATATTTGACTGCTACACTATTCACGAAACTGACACTCCAACAAATTTTGCCAACACAGATTTATGAAATCCCAACTCCAAATTGGATTTTGTCTTCTGTCTTGGTGGGTTGGTGTGGGGCACTGCATCTCATTCTATGATGTATGGCTGGCTGGCTGGATGCACTATAACATGATATATCCCAAATGAGCACATTGACATGCATTTCATTTCTGCCATGAATGAAATCTATCCGCATCTATCAGCCAAGCCAGGCTGCTTCTTACTTACACTCTAGTTTTCAGCAGAGTAACTTCAAAGGTGTGCGCTGATGTGGAACAGGTAGGACTCTTGAATGTTGATGGTTACTACGTCTGCTTGTTAGGAATTTTCGACAAACGCGTGGAGGAAGGATTCATCAAACAACATTCAGCAAGAAGTATTGTGATATCAGCCAAGACTGCCGGAGAGCTTATAGACAGGATGGAGGTACTACTGGCTACTGCGGTGGTAGCTTCTTTTACATTATTCTATGCAGCAGCGATCCCAGCGAGATTTAAGTTTAAAACATTGCATGCATCCTAGCCAGCAGCGACTAGCACAAGACCGTTTCAAACAAGTATCTACAATTGGGAGAAGATCTCAGCAAGCAAAGCATATATATCAGGAAAAGGGAGATTGCTCGGCAGAGTCAGCAATCATAAAACCGAAAGATGATAAGATACAAAAGCCACCTACACCTACACATCAAAAACTGATTTCTTGTATTAAATTGATCGAACTGAACCTCATCATCTAGCATTGAGTACTCATAAAATAATAAACCATACACTGGAAATATAAGCGTAATGGTAGTCTGTTGTATGCACTGTGCTGCATCCCGAATAAAAATGCCATCTCACGGGATTTACAACTTGATGCAGGAGTACACACCATCGCACACTCAGGTAGCTCTGAGCAGAAGTTGGAATGCTGAAGGCCCTGGAAGTGAAAACTTATAGCCATTGCCTCGTCGTGGATCACTATAAGATTGCAGCTGTGTTTAGAAGCTTTATGCCATTGTATAAATTTGACTGTGGAATGAAGATGCAAAAGCAGAAACAGATTGGATTATTGTGTCCAAGTCGTAATGTTCATAACTTCGTACTAAGGCACTATACTTCAAGCAACAATATATATTTTCCAAAGCAACAGAACTTCTACAGCTACTTCCCTATAACCCATTTTTTCCCCCGAATGCACGTGCCGGTGCATTTTAATCTGCATAGTATGTTACTTACAATACACAATGCAATAAACGGTAACAGGTTATACTGAGTAAATACATGCAATTTTGAAATATAAATGTATGCAACTTTATCGGACATATTTAATAAGGAAGTTCTATAACATGTTCGACACCGTGCTCCCATTTGAATACCCTATAAAAAAGGCCACGCCAAAACAAATAAAAGTATGGGAATTCATCCCTGTTTAGCACTTATTGATTCCATCCTTGCAATCTCTAGTTAAGTTATAGAATGTCTCTACCCTAGTCTTTGATCTATAGAGAACCTCATTGTCTACTGCAACTCTCATATAACCATCAAACTCGGCTGGGCGACCACCATTCAAACGAGTTGTTTCATTATACCATTCACTTGTATTCCCCCACAAATAGCAGTAATCATCGAGCAAATGAACATAGTATTGAGATCTCAGCTTATCAAAGAAATGGTAGGAATGTTCATTTGTTGCAATATATAGATGCCTCCAAGCCGGAATTTCCCCCTGAAGTTTAGCGAGAAGGGCATCGGGGGAAGTATCAGCATCCAGATTTGGCCAAAGCTCTCTGTTCATTGCCTTTTCTCCTCGAACTACATGAATGGCGTCAAAATCTGAGCCCATGCTTGAAATTATTTCAGTAGCTATGTTCTTTACTGTCTTTGATGTCCAAAGAGCATCCCACGGTCTCTTGACGTATTTGGATGCCGGACCATCACATACTCGATACCAATAATTCTCTGGCTCAGGAGCATCAAACTGCCTCCATAGTATCGTGCTTTTTTCTCTTCTTAGTTGGATCGGTGTCACCTTATGGTTTATGATCTTTCTACAAGAAATTTTCGATTTATGCTGCTTATCCCATCTCTTCCAGTCTCTTATAAACTCAACATCATCCACTACTGAAGCCGCCTCTTTCAAATGTTCGAAATCAAAATAGAACCTAAAATCTTTGCCTTCCACACCATTGTCGCCCTGTGTATCCGAAGATGCCAAACACATGCTCAAGTCCATCACAAAAGTCCTGTTCAAATACATGGCCTCACCAAGACCGCACAGGAGGCTCCAAGTGTATTGATTCATGTTCTTACAATAATCCCCTCCCCGCGAATAGTACAAATACCTGCCCTCCCTAAACCTCGACTCCAATCCCATCTTGTCTTTGATCTCATCATCCTGGACAACAGTATCCATTTCAGGATTTCGAATATTCACGTTGGCTCTTGCTCGATTCCTTGAACTAAGAGCATTGGAACCAGAATGCCAGCGCCCTGAGCGTATCACCGTGTAACTAAAATCCTCATTGTACCCCATCGTGTATCTTCGAAAATCCCTATACTTCCTCCATTTCGACTTCTCGAGCTTGCTTGTGAACCTCCAAGCCACATCACATTCGTTCGCTCTTGTCCCTTGTACCGGAGTCTGATATTCCAAGAACTCCAACCCCGTGAACGTTCTCAAATTGAAACTCTGAATCGCCATTAGAACTCCAGGATCAGAACAATTGACCACCTTCACAGCCGCTGGACGGTCAGATTTCAAGTTTGGCCTTTCCTCTCGATATCCCTCTAGGGTAGCTTCTTTAACAAATAAATGTGATCCATCAGTTCTTGCCAGAGGTGCTGTATTAGTATCCACACCAGTTCTGAGGACGTAAGCATTGGTCGTCAATGTGGCATTTTGGGGTTCAGCGAAAACCTCGGTGGGGGCTCTGGACGACTGCCACTGATCAGAGGATTGATAGGTGATAGAAACGACTGCGAACACGATAACAGAGGATGCAAACGCGGAGACACACACATTGCGTATAGCCTTTAGGATTTTTGGCCTAATCGGATCGACTCGATTCAAAGTTTTCATTATAAAGCTGGCAAAAACCGGGAATCCCAAAGTATTCTTAAAGTTGCCTTGAACAAAATCTTCGAGCTTCAAGAATGATGAGGCAACAAAGGGATCATTGAAGATGGAATGGAAGTGCAGTTATAGTATGAAAAGAAAAAGGAAGGCAGCAAGCAAGTAGCTAGTCACAACCTGTTTTCCGAGAGAGAAGGGTGGGCAAGTGTCTGTCCCATATGTTTCGAAAGAAAAAATGGCATCAATTACCTGATCCACAGACGCGACACAGGAATGGCGTCGAGTTTATGAAATTGATCGACAGGCTCTCAAGATTTATAAAAATAAATAAATAAGCAAACAATGGCAACAGCGAGAGTAACGGCAACGGCAACCACAACAGCAGAGAGAGATGGAACCCTCACTCAACTCAACTCAACTCAACCCAACCCAACTCGCACAAAACAAGAAACGAAGAAAGAACAAAGAACTGAAAGATTACAATTACAAGGCAAATCGGATAACGCAGACGAGACGGGATGAGAGAGAATCGAAGAAAATCCGATGATATTTATAGGAAGATTTCGCTCCCTGATAAGTATGAACGAAATCGAAGAAAATCCGATGATATTTATAGGAAGATTTCGCTCCTGCCTGCACCTGGTGAGATTCTCGCCGGCCGGATGGAATGGATGCCACGCCACTTACCATTTTCCCCCGCTTCAAAACATACACGCTCAAAAGTAAATAACTCACTCCGAGCACATAAATAATCGGGTTTGTTAGTTAACATTTTTGGTTTGACACACGTTTAACCCAATATATACATATATATATATATATACTCGTGGAATTAATTCACTTTTTGACCCACAGTTTAAAAAATATTATATTATATAATTAATTAGTTTGATTAGTTGACCTAATTAAACATTTTTAAATATTTTTTATTTGATAAAATATTAGATTAAAAATTTAAATATTTTTTTATTTTAATTTGTAAAAATTAATTAATTTTTATTTATTGAAATGATTTAAAAATAGTAATAATACTTTATCTATTGTAAATCAACATATGTAATTAGATAAAAGATAACAATTTAAATATAATTAATACAATAAAAAAAAATTGTATGGTTTTGTTCTTTCTAAACATTTTGTCAGTATATTTTTAAAAACGTTAATATATTACATATATTTATTATTTTTATATTCCGTATACAATTTCTTATACTTAATATAAAAAAATTTTCTTTTCAACAATCTCACGCAACAAAACACATCTTACATAATAACAATTTTACATAAAAAAAAATACATAAAATTTTTTAAATTTGATTGTTGTTAGAAATAGTTTGTTATGACACATCAAATGTAATATCACATTGTATATGGTATCAAAGTTTTTGGTATGATATTTTACCGTACCAATGCCGTATAAATATTTTGGTATACCGAATTTACGAATAAAAATACTCCATCCGTCCAATTTCTATTGTCGTATATTTATACGATTTTTTAGGTAATTATTTTTTTGTTATGAATCGACAAATTTGCCCTTAATTGTATAGTCGAGATGAAAAGTAATAAATGAATGAAGGGTAAAAATGTAAAATTTGTGTTTAAAAAAAAAGAAAATAAGACAATAGTTGTTGGACGTCCCAAATAGAAAAGTAGGACATTAGTTTGTGGACGGAGGAAGTATTAAATTGTGTAAAAAACATGCATACTCATAAAAAAAAATAAAATATATATATATATATATATATAAAAATATTTAATTTTCGGTAGAATAAGTTGGTCCCTAAATTAAAATTAATCAAACAAATAGAGTATAAGCTTATTTAAGTACTTTAAATTCCAATCCAATCAAGGGCAGAACTCTGCAATGCCAATGGCAATACTGCACTACAATACAATGAACCTCTCTCTCTCAATACAATGTACCCTCTCCCTCCTCCCCTCTCTCGTCTGCAGGCAAACAACAACATATTGTTGTTGTTATTGAAGCTGGTGCACGTGTGTTTTCTAATAATAGTCATATGACTGAGTGTCTTAGTCTGTTTTTTTAGTTTTGAATAAGTATTAGAGTTGGTCATATCTTTTCTCTTTATTTCTATGTTAAGTTAGTTGTTGAGTCCGGTTAGATGGTGAAGTAGACTGGGTGACATTGGGCATTGGTTGTGGTGGTGGGTTCGCCCTCGTGACCTGCGGATGTGCCTTGTGTCGAAAGTCTCCTGGCGGTGTTGGGTAGGTCCCGATTGAAGTGGTCAGGCAGCGAGTCCCTTTGTGATAGGCGGTACAAGATGAGCAGGGAAGGTCCATTGGTTGGTCCTTGGTTTGAGGGGAGGATTGTTGGGGTGCAAACCCAAGTCCCACATAAAAAGTTGTGAAGAAAATTCTACACCTTATGAGTCCCAAGTGAACTCCACTAGTATGAGGCCTTTTGGAGAATATCCAAAAACAAATCCGTGCGGGTTTAGCCCAAAGCGGACAATATCATACTAGTGTTGAGTTAACCCAGTCCCAATAGTGGTATCAGAGCGCATTGTGTGATCCATTCAAGAAGAAGGCAACAAGATGACGGAAGGGAGTTCATCTCAAGGTTTTGCTATTCCCAAATTTGATGGGGATTATGACCATTGGAGTATGGTCATGGAGAATCTGCTTCGATCCAAAGAATATTGGCGGGCAATTGAGAGTGGCTATGTTGAGCCGAATGTTGGGGATCAGATTTCAGATGCAAAAAGAAAGGAGTTGGATGCCATGAAGCTTATCGATTTGAAGGCCCTGAACTATATATTCTACTCAATCGATCTCGCAGAAGGACACATCAAAGCAGTTGTGGGAAGCGATGAAGGTGAAATATAAAGGGAATACACGAGTAAAGAAGGCCTAGTTGCAGCGGTTAAGAAGAGATTTTGAGACATTAGAGATGAAAACTGGCGAAACCATCGTGGAGTACTTTGGCAGAGTCATGACTGTGTCAAATGAAATGAGCAACTTTGGTGAAGAAATGACTGAGGTCAAGGTAGTAGAAAAGATCTTGAGAACACTTACACCAAACTTCAACTTTGTAGCATGTTTAATTGAAGAATCTAAGGATATCGACACATTCACCATTGATGAGTTACAGAGCTCATTATTGGTGCATGAACAGAAGCTAGTCAAGAAGGAAGTAGAAGATCATGTACTAAAGGTTGAAGAGCAGAATTATGGTCATGGCTTCGGCAGGGGAAGTCGGGGTGGATTGGTGAGAGGTAGAGGACGTGGCAGTTTTGACAAGTCAACAATAGAATGTTACAAGTGTCATCAAATAGGACACTTTAAATTTGAATGTCCACAAGAGAACAAAAGGGTAAATAATGCAGAATTTGATGAAAATGAGGAATTGGTTCTTATGGCCCACATGCAGGATGAAGATGTTACAAGCAAAAAATATTGGTTCTTAGACTCTGCATGTTCAAATCATATGACAGGTATGAAACAATGGTTTACAAGACTGGATGAGACCATCATACACACTGTGAAATTAGGTAATGGGTTGCAGCTACAGGTAAAAGGCTTGGGAGATATTCGTTTTGAAATAAATGGCATCACTCAAGTCTTTACAAATGTTACTATGTTCCTCAGTTAAGTTCAAACTTGCTTAGTATTGGTCAGATCCAAGAAAAGAAAATAAAGGTGTTGTTTGAAGATGGAGTATGTTACGTACATATCCTACAAGAAGCCTGATCATGAAGTCAACAATGACCATAAATTGAATGTTTATTGTGTATGGGTATCAAAAGAATGCTACTGGTCATTGCTTACAAGTAACTGATGATAATGCTACTTATCTCTGGCACAAAAGATTTGGACATATGAATCACAAGGCCATTAGAACTATGCAGCATCAAAACATGGTAAAAGGAATACCTCAAGTTTGTGGAAAGACGGTGGTATGTGAGACTTGCAATGTTGGAAAACAAAGCATAATAGCAATTCCAAAGAAAGCTGCTTGGAGGTTCACTCAAAGGTTAGAGCTTGTGCACACTGATCTTTGTGGGCCAATTGCACCAACTTCTCAAAGTGGAAAAAGGTATGTGCTTGTCTTTATTGACGATTTCACACGCAAGACATGGGTTTACCTAGTGGGAAATAAAGGGGAAAGTTTTGAACACTTTAAGAAATTTAAAGCCATGGTTGAAACTGAAGTGGGTTCTAAAATTAAGACGATGAGAAGTGATAGAAGGGGAGAATTCACTTCACAACAATTTACTGAATTTTGTGAAGTAAATGGAATCAAAAGACAATTAACAGCGGCTTACACCCCACAAAAAAATGGGGTGGCTGAAAGGCAAAACCGAACGCTGATAAATATGGTAAGGTGTTTGTTGGTGGAAAAACAGGTGCCCAAGTGCTTCTGGCCAGAAGCAACTATATGGGCTTGTCACATTATAAACAGGTGTGTGTCGCGAGCTTTAGACAAAAAGGTTCCTGAAGAATTATGGACAGGAGAAAAGCCAAATGTTGATTATTTCCGTGTGTTTGGATGTATTGGACATGTCCACATTCCTTCAAGTGACCAAGTTAGATGCAAGAAGCCAGAAGTGTGTACTGTTTGGTATTAGCATTGGATCTAAGGCTTACAGGCTCTATAATCCAATTCAAAGGAAGATTACCATTAGCAGAGATGTTATTTTTGAAGATGATCAAAAATGGGACTGGGATAAAGAAATTGCAAAGGAGGAAGAGCTAATGATAGAAGAAGATCTTAATCAGCAAGTTGCAGTTGAAAATAATAAAGAAGAATGTGGGATCATGGAACCACAAGTTCAAGAGCAAGTTCAAGAAGGTGAGACACTCATTCCTGATGAAAATTCACAAACCAGCATCACAGCTCAAAGAAATGTAGCAGTCAGGTCCTCCACCAGAAATAGAAAACAACCAGTTTGGATGCAAGATTACGAAACCAGTGAGTTACCAGAAAATGAAGATGAGTTTGCTATGTATACGGCACAAGTTGATCCTACTACCTTTGAAGAAGCAAGATAAGAAGCCAAGTGGCTAAAAGCCATGTAAGATGAAATTGAGTCAATAGAAAGAAATGGAACCTGGGAATTGGTAGAAATGCTTGTTGAAACTGTGCCTATTGGTTCGAAATGGATTTACAAGACAAAGGTGAACGAAGAAGGGAATGTAGACAAGTATAAGGCGAGACTTGTGGTTAAAGGTTATTCACAACAAAAATGGGTGGACTATGAAGAAGTGTTTGCACCAGTAGCTAGATGGGACACCATTCGAACCATTTTAGCTATCTCTGCTCAAAGCAATTGAAGGTGTTCCAACTTGATGTTAAGAGTGCATTCTTAAATGGCGAACTCAAAGACACTGTGTATGTTGAACAGCCTCTCGGGTTTATCAAACAAGGGGAAGAAACTAAGGTGTACAGGTTGAAAAGAGCTCTATATGGATTGAAACAGGCCCAAGAGCCTGGTTCCAACGAATAGAGAAGTATTTCAAAAAGGAACGATTTAAACAAATTAAATTTGATCAGACTTTGTTTATCAAAAGGGTAAGGAACAATACATTGGTGGTAAGTCTCTATGTTGATGACCTCATATATGCAGGAACAAATGTTATGATCTGTAAAGGTTTTAAAAATTCTATGAAAAGGGAGTTTGAAATGACCGATCTTGGCATGATGAAGTATTTCCTAAGTGTGGAGGTAAAGCAAATTGAAGATGGAATTCATATCAGTCAGAAGAAGTACACCAAAGAAATTGTTGAAAGATTTCAAATGCAAGAAAGTCATCCCGTTGATAATCCAATTGTACCAGGTGCTGTCCTTACCAAGGAAGGAGAGGGGGAGGAAATTGTTCCAACAAGATACAAGAAACTAATAGGAAGTCTTATGTATGTTACTGTTACAAGGCCAGATTTAACTTATGTAGTGTGCTTGTTAGCAAGATTCATGTCAAGGCCAAGGTTGGAGCATTTGAATGCAGCGAAAAGAGTGTTGAAATACTTGAAGGGAACAACCACTTATGGGATACTTTATGGGAGGAACTCAAGTGAAAAACTAAAGGTTTTCACTGACAGCGATTATGCAAGAGATGTGGAAGATAGAAAGTGTACCTCTAGCTATGTATATTTGTACGGTGGAGTTGCTATAAATTGGAGTTCAAGAAAACAAGAAATTGTCACTCTCTCATCTACTGAAGCAGAGTATATAGCAGCAACTAACTGTGCTTGCCACTGCTAATGGCTCAAAGGTTTACTTAAAGATTTGGATGAAAAACAAGAAGGTGCAATTGAAGTTATGTGTGATAACACATCAACCATAAAGTTATCAGAAAATCCAGTTATGCATAGGAGAACAAAGCATATCGATGTTAGATACCATTACTTAAGAGATTTGGTTAATCAAGAGGAACTGAAGTTGGTATTCTGTTGCACTAAGGATCAGTTAGCTGATATAATGACGAAGCCAATCAAGTTGGAAGATTTTTGCAAGCTGCGGGGATTATTGGGTGCGAAGGAAGTAAACTGAACTAGACTTGGTTCAGTTTAGGGGAAGATATTGAAGCTAGTGCACATGTGTTTTTTAATAATGGTCGTAAGACTGAGTCTTAGTCTGTTTTTGAGTTTTGAATAAGTACTAGAGTTGGTTCTATCTTTTCTTCTTATTTCTAGCTGTTAGTTGTTGAGTTAGCTGTTGAGTTGGGTTCATGTGTATGCCTATATATATGGCAGTATGCTTCTTCAATAAGATCATCTGAAGTAAAATTATTTGTTATCACTTGGTTACAACAGTTGTCACGTGAGGTCATGGAATAATCCCGATGGTGCATGTAACCTGCCACACATGATTCGTCTAATGTGACTTGTCGGGCCTAATTTGTAGGGTATTAAGTTCGATTGAAGATTTACCCGGTGCGCATTTTCGATAGCAGCTGCGGGTTCTCATGTTATAAGAAAAAAAAAAAAAAAACACATATTGTTGTTGTAACAATCCATCGATATAACACAATAATAGTCCGAACATAAACAACATCATGTGCATTCCATCTTCTCCATGGCATTCACCGGAAGGCATGGTCGTAGTCGTGGTATCGGAAAGTTTTGTACACAAAATGCGACAGCCACTTCGACGCCACCAGGCATAACACAGCCCCAAAACCCAACCCATATCTCGCAGCTACCGACACAGAACCCTGCTTGGCCGCTGCAACTATTACGATCAAACCAATGGAGGCAACCTGCAGTACATGCTCCATTACGCTCAGACTTTTATATGCAGCATCGCAGCTTCTACACTTCACAGTATGAGACCAGAACCTGGCGAATCAGGAAGATTTCCAGTTTCAGGAAAATGAACAAGTAGATAGATAGATAGATAGATGTCAAGAACATGGGACACACACCACCTTGGATTGGGACTCACCTGTCAAAGAGCTGTTCTCGAGGAGGGGTGGGTGGCAACACTCCACTGAATTTATTCCGCCAATCGACTTGAGTGCCCCCATACTTGTTTAGCCACCTCCTGAAGGCCACCACAAGGGCGTCTGCCTTGGTTGGAACATAGCAAGATTTATGCCAATTGATAGACCCAACCTCCATCAGCTTACGCTCCTGATAGATCGATCATGCAATATTTATCTAATCAATCCTCAATCAAATACATGATCAGTTCCCAAATTTTCAGTCATGTAACGAGCAATGCCAAGATTGTACTTCTTAGTCTTCTCAGATCTACATGATAGGGCTGAACCATGTAATTGTAGGCATGGTGATGGAGGCCTCTAAACATATATATCTAATCTAAAATTAAATTCATAAAATTTTCACTTCTTTCATACCTATTTGAGTAATCTGTTGGCTATAGCAAATAATCAAACTAAATATTCTTAGAGGTCATAAAAACAATCTGATCACAGCCTTCCAGCTAGTCAAAACAAAGTAGAAAACCCAAATATAGCAGTAAATGAGAGAGAGAGCTTCACCTCAACATGAAGAAGATAGAGATCTGAATCTAGGATTAAGTTTTGTCCAATATGAAATATCCAACGTGGGAAAATTCTTTCTACCCAAACAGCAAAATTTCTAGGAGACGCAAAGATCACTCTACTATTTCCCGGACTGACAGGCACGCAATAGAAAATTAGAAGAGCTCTTTTCTGGGAGGGAACACTTGGAACTAAATCCTGCACACATGGCAATGTATACTGCTAAAATCAGGAAGAAAAATGACATAGAATACTAGTGCTTGAAGAAAGTTCATTAATTCATACTTTCTTGGTTCCAGCAGCAGAAGTTTTGTTCATGTTTTGATTCCCTCCTGGACTGAAAAATCCATAGTAAAGACAAGGTGGGATAAAATAGTTTTCCCCAAAAACTTGCTTTGCAGTAAATCCATTTACATCTAGTTTCTGAATGCTTATTTCCATAGGTCTGCCCCCTTCTCTATCGGCCTTCAAAGTGCAGAGCGAACACTTACCATCAGCATACCACCAGCAATATGGAATACATGTAAGCTAAAAATGTAAATCAAAAGGCTTGCATAGATTTACTTATCTCTCAGGCACTTTTGCCATTCTCATGATGCCATAATGTGCATATGGAACGTGGGCAGGATCCATAAGATTCTCAATAAGAACTTCATACCTAGAATCTATCCCAAGTTAGAATTACAGCAAATGTCATTTTGCTACTGTTTTTTCACCATTCAGTTCATGGTAAATGCAGGGAGAGCAATTTGCATGATGATTGGCAGCTTAGTATTTAGTAAACAGGTAGTATTGGATTAAAAATGGCACAAGGAAAAGTTAGAAGAATACCCATATGGGATGTCTCTGCAGATCATCAAATCCGTGTATGATGGATCATCCAGTTCAGGAATGTAGTGAGGCCTCTTCCTAGATAGTATGTCTTGGTGCTGTGGATCAGAATTTGGCCAGAACCAAAGGATGCCATTTTGAACACAGCTTGGGTAAACAGCTACGCACGCTTTCTTGGAAGTGTGAATCTGGAAAACAGTGGAAAGTTAAGAACAAACAAAAACAGAGTAAAATGAGGATCACTCAATCACCTCATAGAAAGAATATATGTAGGTATGGTTCACGTCTACTTATCTATCTATCAACGATCAATCCATAGAAAGATAGAGGTGAATACCGGAGGGCCATCCCGAGGGGCTTGAGGAATAAATTTGCAGTCACCGGAGCCGCCGAAGCACCACCCGTGGTAAACACACTGCAATCTGCCCCACTGATCAATCCTCCCCTCAGATAGTGGAGCCAATCGGTGAGGGCAACTGTCGTCGAACACCTTCCACGCATCCTCATTCCTGTCGTACCAAATCACTATATCCAATCCCAGCACGGTTTTAGCGTGCGGCCTCCTCTTGTCCAGGTCGCATATCGGCACAACAGGGTACCACTGTGCATACCAATCAAACTTCTCACCCTCGCTTTCGGGTGAGAAGGACTCTTGGGTCGACGGGGCAGTGGGAGTAACGGCGGTGCAAATCTTGAAGCTCCTTCTATTGCGACGGATTGCGGGGAATGGGAGGGGCGTGGTGGATCGGCGGTGTTTGATTGATGGAGTGTGCAAAAGCCAAACGGGGATCGGTAAACGGGGGGAGGTGGGACAGGGAGCAGCAGCTATTGGGGAGAAGAATGAGCGGTGTCGCGGAGGAAAAGCGGAAGCTTTGAGAGCTTCCATGGCAAACGAGATGATATCGTTGTTTTCACTCTCGATCGTCTTTAATTAATTAATTAACTCATTCCTGCTGCACGAATAAATAAAATAAAGACGACGGATATCGTCGGCGACAGAACAGCATCGTCGTCGTCCACAATAAATAAATAACTTATATTAAATTATTTTTTTATATTTTAATATAAAAATTATTCAATCGATTCAATCAAATCACTATAAAAATTAGTTTAAATTTGATATAAAAATAATATTTGGTGGAATATTTTGAAAAAGAAAAACATAATATATTTTTTTTAAAAAAACGATAAAATTTAAAAAATTTTAAGTAAAAAGAACAAACCCTATATTTATATAAAACAAATAATATATTAATACAAATGATATAATTATATATAATAGAATATAATTTTGAGCACAATATATTATATTTATTTAAAAAAATAAACTTATTAATATAATATATAATAAATATTTTAATACCAAATTATATAATTATATACAATAAAATTTTATTTTTTAATTGTTACTCAGTCAAAAATATATTTTATAAGAAGAAAATTGTAAAAAAAATATTCTCTATATATATCCGTCATTCGATTATTATTTTTGTCATTTATTTATATTATTGGCAAAATATATCTATATGTTTAAAAAAATATTTATTTATGTCATTTGACCACACGTTTACATCACGCGTGGTCATGTGCGGCCAAACGTACATAACGACTTCTATAAATATGTAAAATATATTTTTCTGACGAAATAAATAAAATATAAAAATGATAACAAGGTATATATGAAAGAAAGTCTACTTGACGAGGGCAAAGAGAAAGAGTCTAAGGGTTGCCGGAACAAAAGTCGTGGTTCTCAAACTTATGAAGAGAAGTCTATTGATGACAAATAATTTTGTAAAAATAAGGATATATCTTCTTATTTGGTGTAGAAAGGTCTTGAGTCTTCTACCTAATGTCTCGGAACATGTGGGAAAATATATAATTTTTTCAAAAGATAAGGATGTAATTATTTACAAGTTGTGGAAATAGTGCAATGATAACTAAAAATTGTGATTATTTAATTTGTACAATTTCAGAGGAAATTTATATTCGAAAATGAGTGAGTGAATGTTTATAGAAAAGCGGTTTAAAAATCTTTCATATATTTTCTCTATCTCTGTTTTGGAACAATTAATTTAATGATAGTTAACTATTATATGCATATATATATTTTGATGTAATTAGGAATATTGATAATTTTAAAATAAATTGACTATATATAATTAAAAAAAAAATTAGAATATATATTTAAGTATTTTAAAAATTATACTGCAAACCAACAGACCTGGCTCCTCCGATCCTTGAGACAGAGTATCGTGGTACATACACATACACACACATAGTGTATTTATTATATTAGTAATAATCTACAGAATACATGTATCAATCTTAAACAACGAGGGATAAACAAGATGTCAACAATCAGAGAAGGGCGCTGCGTAGAATTAATTGATAGTTGCAGTGCAGTGCGTGAATGATGAATGTGCTGCCTGCCATGCCATGAGTATGAATCCTCCACAAGTGCAACTGTACAACAGCAGCCCTCTCTCTGCCTGCCTTCACTCACTCACTCTTTGCACTCCTACCTGTAAGCAAAGCAAAGCAAAGCAAACAAATTTACCAGATACCTCTTCGCTTGACAACGAAGACTTTTAATTCCTCTTCCTATCTATTTTATCTTGTTACCATGCATTTCACATTAAACCTTGAAATTAAAACACATATATAGATAGATATAGAAGAATTATGCAAAAATCCCAACATGGTGTTGTTTTACGTACGCACTGCCACACACAAGATTAGCAAGCAAGCTGGATGGATGGATACGCATGCATGTACATTCATTCCACAATTCCATTCCCTTCCTCCCAAAAACACTAAACAACAAAACAATCAATCCCTAGGCTACTCCTATACATAAAGAACAGAGTCAATGCCTGAGGTAGCTAAGCTAAGCTAGCCTAAATGGGATGGCAAGGGAAGGTTTCATTTCTATTTCCATTTCCATTAGCACTCTGATTCTATTTCTTCGGTGGTATCAATCATCACACCATTGTAAGTTCGAGCTGAACATGACGGCGGTCGATCCACTGACAGCGTGCCTTCCAGCACCTTCACCACTTCCCCTATCGAAGGTCTCAGGAAAGGTTGGTCCTGCATGCACCAGAAGGATATTCTGGTGATCCTCTCTATCCCACCTTGCAAACTGTCGCTGCTGCTCCCCAGTTTCTGCTGATTCGCCCGCTCAAGTACTTGCTGCACATTCTCCCCCACAACCTCCCTTTTCTGCGTAACTATTTGGAGGAATACCAGTCCCAGCATGAAGATGTCTCGCTCCGATGGGGACTCGGAAGCCGAAGCAGCAGCAGCAGCAGCAGCAGCAGTTTGCTTCATGACAAGGTCCTCAACTCCAAAATTTGTCACTTTTGCAACCATATTTTCATCAAGGAGGATGTTCTCGAGCTTCAAGCTGCCGTGAGTGATGCATTTCTGACATTCTGTGTGCAGGTAAGCGATGGCCCGAGCCACCCCGAGAACAATCTCAAGCTTTTTCTGCCAAACATATCCACTTTGGTCCTCCTTCGTCCCCAAAATCCACTCATCTAAAGAACCATTTGGAACATACTCATACACCAACAACTTGTTCGCTGGTTCATAACAAAAGCCCTTAACAGACGCAAGATTCCGGTGATGTGTCCCATTAAGTGTAGCAATTGCAATGCGAAACTCCTTCTCCGAAACGGCCACACCCTTGATTCGTTTTACAACCACGGGTGCTTTGTTTGGGAGTACACCTTTGAAAGCTGAGGTTCCCAGTGGAACTGCAAAGTCGTTAGTCACTTCCTTTATTTCTTCATATGATAACCGTATCAGTATGCTGTAGTGCGGATTCATTCGTGTGTCCTTCCCGAAAGGAATCCTTGCCCGAGCCTTGAGATTTCGTCTCCGATACAGAAGCCAGAAGAGCAGCACCTGTATGCTCAAGATTACAGACACAGTCAGCAAGGCTATTAGTGCTATAGCCCCGATTAAAGTTCTCATGCTCGGCCTTCCAACGGAAAGCCCGGAAAACGAATCCGACCCTCTGTTTCCATGACCTTTATTATTGCCTTCAGTGGCAGCAGCTTGTGGAACAGAGCATACCTTCAAGAAAGAGACAGCATGGATATAGGGAGTCTTGAACCCACTTAAAAAGCTAGTGCGCTTGATGGTGCATAGCCCGGATCCATCATTCATCGAAGTGGCTGCAATGCACGTGGTGTCGTTGGAGCAGTACTCCCTGCAGGCGGGTTCGCTCAAAAACATCCCATTGTCATGTGAAGGGTACAGACCGTAGAGAACCGTCTGCTTCATGGTGAACATGCTTGAATGCATCTTGCAATTACTCAAGTCCACCAATCTTCTGCAACCGGAATCTGCAGCATTGCTCACTCCCATGTCCGAGGGATCAGGAGACAAGCACTCACACACAGGGCCAGAGGAGTTATATCCACAAACACTGAACAGACCACACGAGCCAAAAACATTGCACTGATCTTGGACAGCTTGCCATACACCTTTCCAAGTGTGACTTTTGTCATCCCACGAATATATTCTCAAATTTCCATCACGGTCGATCCTGAGGTGTCTTAAACTCACAGAGGTATCCTCGTAATCGATCGGGGACACAGACCAGACAGTGCGGTGGCGATCATCATACAATGCGAAGAAGCCACTGGATTCAAACCTCGCTTCCTTGGAGCTAAAGCGACTCCTCCAATAAGTCACATTGTGCTCCCACACCAGTTCGAGCTCTCCCACTGGGCTAATCACCAAACTATAGTAACTCGAGATTGATCTAGTCGAAAGGGCTCTAAGGCTCTGAGGGTACCGCAGAGTCTGGCCTGGAAGCAAAGTGTTTGTGGGGCTGCTAAAACTCTCCCAGAGAACTTCATCTTTGCCACTCAACAGAACTAAATTGCCGTTGTTCAAAAGGGTGGCCTTTTGGACATCCAAATTAGATGTATTACTGCTCCAAAGGATGATCCCACTAGGGTTCTTCATCAACACAAACCTCCCATCCATGGCAAGGCTGAATGAAGCGTTGGCAGCGACTCTAAGGCCGGCCCCAACAGTCCAGACAGGTAAATTTACAGATCTATCACCTAAATTATACTTAATTCCAACTACAAACTCATCACCAGCTATCTCCAGGAAACCAAAGGTAAAAGCCCCATTTTCAGACAACCAATACTTGTCTCTATCATAAGCATGAAGCACGAAACCGAGAGGCACAGAAGCGGTCGTAGAACCCCCACAAACCCCCCCGGAAAACACACAAGAGAAAAGTAGCAGCAGCACAAGAGGAGCAAAACAGTAGTACCTAGTCGCATAGCATTGGGTCAAGCTCTTGCCGTTGAAATTCTTGAAAGAAAACACAGAAAGCATGTGGTTGAATCCAGAAGCCAACATTTCAGCTGCAAACGAGAAAAAAAGCAACTTTTACGGGGCGTCGTGGGCGTGCAAGAGGGAGGTGTCGATATAAAAGAAGTAACAGAGAAGAGAGTGAGTACCTCCCCCTTCCAAGAGAAAAGTCGAAACGAGAAAGGGCTAGAAAAGAGGGAGTTTTTTGTCAAAAAAAAAAAGGGGAAGAAGAATTGAATCTCGACTGGAAGGAGATTTGTAATAATGGGGGAGGAAGAAGGAAACAAGATTCAAATACTTTTCTGAGAGAACCAAGATTCTCGTAGAGGCTGAGTTTGTTCCCACTAGCAACAGTGGGAAACCAACCCTATCCTCGCTTTCCATGTGATGTATACTTTTATTTCTTGGATTAAGTACATCATTAGCGTGCTGTTTAGAAAGTGGCAACCACAGTCAGCTCAGCTGTCCAGGCCCCCTCTTAATTATTAAATTACTTGCGATTCGCGCGAAATTCAAAGCATTTGTTAAGTGTATCATATTTAACTAATCGAGAATCCAAGCAAACAAACACCTTTAATATATAGACCGGGTCTAGTCCATTTGAGGTATGAAGAAGATCGTTGTGGTTGTGATGGGGGATGACTGTGAGTAGCTTAATCCATCAAACCTTTAATTAGTTCATTAATGATCAATATAATCTTGAAATCTCACGGTGTGGTCACATGGAAAACGACAGCGCGATTGCAAACCGATACAGCAGCAGCGGAGTGAGTGGAGAAAGAGATTAATTTGGGACCCATCCATGAAAAGGCTAATAAATTGTGCAAAGGCCTGGAAGGTGAGCAGCCGGCAGCAACAGCCATAGGCTTCTGCATTAAATGAATATGGTGTCTTAGCTAAGCTAGGCTAGCTGCCCTAACAAACATTCCAAATCGAGAAATCAACGTACTCGCTTGTTGTCTCCCCCACAATTCAACTTCAGATTGAGAGCCCATTGATTGACATGAAGAGAATTTTAATAAAAATGCCCCGAAGTTAATTGATCAAGGGATCCCAAAGGATCCAATGCAGTGAATAAAATAAATATATAACAAGGGCTTTCAAGGGCAGGAATTTTCACAGGTTTAATTTTCAAGGGATTTCTTGTTGGATGTATGCCAATGGACAAGCCTATACTAAAGTGCCTCTTTGGTGACCACTTGCCTACCTCTCTAGTTGCTATCACCTCTGACTCCCATTTGATTGTATTATTATTATTATTATTATTATTATTGTTAGTTTAGTATTCTATGATACCACGAATGCACATATTCACTCTCTCTGCTTGCTGCAGCAATCAGCAATGATTCATTGTTTTGAAAATATTAGCTGGACCTGGATGTAGTGACATGCAACAAAAAGTGAAGGACATCAGCACCTCTCAAGCAATTGGGCCTGGAAATGGATCCCAATATTGTCCGGCCAAGCCCATCAACAATCAACCTAAAACCCTATAGCCCAGCGGCAGTAAGTAAAAATATATATAGGTCTGCAGCCTACAATTTATCAATTTCCCTTCGGCTAATGAAGTTTTTTTCTTACTTGGAAAACTTTTGTAACATGGAAAAGAGATCTGGCTTGGACAAGAAATCTACCTATATTCCACATTTAGATTTTGATGTTTCCTCTTTCACCAACCTTGAGATTCACCGATCCAATTCCCACAAGAAAAAACAAAAATAGCACTTTGATTTTTTCCCCCGCTGATAAAATGATACAGATGCATCTATAGATTACAACCAATCCAAGAAAACATAGTGCACAGTTCCAGCAAAGCAAGTCTCAGTTAAAATGATTGGAGCTGGAATCATCTAAGAATATGGATCAATCATGCAGTGGATTAGAGAAAAACTCTTAAAATAACTTGCAAGCCGCAGGTTTTGTTTGGGAATAACCCTTTACAATGATGATGATGATAATAATAATAATGATATTAATCTCCATGGCAGAGCATTCATGTACTGAGCCTCTCTCTCTCTATATATGTGTGTATATCCATGAGGTCATACACATTTTGTGTATTAGTGCAGCCTGCAGCAGGCAGATTTTGATGATATCTTGTACTATATGTGTACTTGTGACTGTCCTTGGTTTGGGATCTGCTTGACAGTACAACCTGGTCTGTTTCCCAATAATTTACTATTTAATTTCTTTAATGAACGGTACACTTTAATGTTGTCTCATCCTCCCTTGACTTTGCATTACATCTTTCCATCAGCTGATAAATTAAAATGGGGAAGAAATCATGCCTATTGCATGGGATTTTAAACTTTTCTGTCTGTACCTTTTGCGTTTTTGCGGCATCACACAGCTCTCAAGAATGTGCATCGTGAAGTAGGGGAACCATGACAGTTCTTGAATATAAAATTGATGTTTGGTTGTAACTTCTCAGTCCCCAAGAATAATACTAGTAGTAATTGATTAAAGAAACAGCAGGGAGGGATCTGCAGGAGTTCTGTTTGTTTGTTTAGTTTAAACTTGTGGTTCTTGTGAACTCCCTCCATGGACTCGAGGAGAACCACATGGATCCATCCATCCACACACACGACTTGACAAAACTTAATTGGAAGCTGTAGTAGTAATGACAAATAAAAATTGGATCTTCTCCTTTCGAGAAACAGGCAGGCAGGGAGGCAGGGTTTAATAATAACCAACCCTGCAGGCCTCTAAAAGAATTTACATCCCTTAACATGAACGTGAAAGAAGGGGAAAACTGTGTTGTGTTGCGTACATCAGTGATTAGAAAAAGAATGGCCTGCCTATCTCCAAAACTATAGTATTAATTAGTGTCAAAAGAATTCTCCCTATGAGCAACAACTAATAAAGGAATAAAAAATAATAGTAATAAGAATGGGTTCACGATGTTTAAAGAAAGGAAACCGGCGGAGGGCTGCGGCTCAAAAACTGGAGTGATCGATGATGATGATGATCCACGGACGAGGAGGAGTATTGCATCACATGACTAGTGCTGCAAGAAAGATAGGTGCCAGTGGCAGTAGCCGGAGCAGCCTCGCAACGGGTATGGGTATGGGGGATGATGATGTCTAATCTTCTTAAAGAGGGGCTATGGCGATATTTACTTCTGGGACTGGGACTGGGTCTGGGAGACAGGAGGAGCCCGGACGGGTTGTAGTCTCTCAGGCGGGCTTCCCCTCCTCCTGAACTGCTGCACTGCTTCCCTGCACCTGCTGCTGCTGATTCACGGGAATTATTTATAATTATAACTTCTTGGTGTGGGTGTGGGTGTGGGTGTGGCCGGTGAATCATAGCGGCGGCGGGGGGCTCACGGGGGATATTGATGATGCTGGTTGCACTACTGTCAGCAGCAGCAGCAGCAGCAGCAGAAGAAGATATGCTGCTGCTCGGACACGGTGGCACTGGCATCCCCCCTACTGTTGCTGCTGCAGTGGCAGTCTCTGCTTCTTCTTCTTCTTCTGCTTCTGCTGTCTTGGCACGATGACCATCGTCTTCAAAGGAGTTACTTCTCAGGTATACGCCTCTTTTGTTTCCGTCGTCGGATTGCTCATCCTCTTCATCAGTGGATTCGAGCTGGATGTGCAAATTAAAGATCTCATTAGTTAGTTTCCATTTCACAAAACCAAAACGTGCATATGATGAATGGATGGATGGATGAACCCAGCAGAACAAGGAGAATCGAATCTACCTTAACACCAGTGAGATCCACATTGTTGTCCCGTAGAAACGACAAGAGGTCCTGAAAATTCTCCGGAGTTGGCCTGTAATGACCGCTGTGAGGCCACACTGCCTGTTTATATCAAAACAAAAACAAAAACAAATTCAAATTAGTAGAGTATTCAAAGGCTACCTATACGTATACAATACACTCCTCATAACACAAACAAACAAATAAAAATCAAAGTTGCAAATAATCTATATACCGACCTTCAAGACTCCATTTTCAGCAACGATCCTTCCAGCAGCCAGAGTAGCTCCTCCAGCCAAGAAACTGGAGTGCTGAAACGACCCCTTCTTCTTCATCCCTGCGTATAAACTCCCTGATGTACTGAGGACAAAGATCCACTTGGAGCCCTTTGGTTCTTTGGTGGTGTCGAGGGCCTCCCCGGTTTGCTTGTAGAAAAGCTGCCCGCCCTCCACCACAACCTCATATGCCTTTCTCTCCATCTGCATCAACAAAACCAATGGGACAAAAACAGAAATTCTCAGTAAGTGATCATTGCTGTCTAATTAGAAATTTGGGATTAATTTCAGGATGATGATGAAGAAGTTTATATATAAATAAATAAGAGCATATATATACCGGGCCAAGATACTTGATGCACTGCTGCTGAAGCTTTGCCCGAGGACATTTGTCGACCAGATTAACCTCCTTTCCTTCTCCGATGTCAAGCCTGCACATGAATTGATTTGAAGCCACTCAGTCAGCATAAATATATATACACACACAAATTCTTGAATAGAAATGCATTTTGATTAGCCAAGTAATGATTGGTTACCAGTAGAAGAAGGGCTCCATGCTCTGTGAATTCAACCACTGGACATAATAGAAGTGCAAATTGTGGCCATAGCGATGTCGAGGATCAATCTGCTCCAAGTGAGGACATAATCAGTCAGCAATGCAGATTTAACATACAAATACAGTCATCTGCTATACTTGCAGACGAACGAAGGAAAAAAAAGTAGTACTACTACAACTTACAGCTTCTAGCCAATGCTGCAGAGCAAGTTTCTGAGCCTTCCCATTCTTGGACAAGCCCTTGCCAACCTGCACCAGACACAAATGCCCATCAGATTAACAGAAACCACGATGTGAACGAGCGAACAAACAAATGATCGATAGAAGGGAATATTAATAACAACGAACTGAATTGAATTTACCTTGGCAGCCCTTGTTCTTGCTCTGGACCAGCGCGAAACAGCGGTCTCACGCTTTCCGAGATCGAAGAAGGAGACGGAACTATGCTTGAGCTGCGCGAAATCTAACAGCTTCCACCACCAGCAGCAGCAGCTCTGCTCGATCAAAACCGCACAATCTGCTAAATTTCTCCTCGTCCGAAAGCTCTTGTAAACCTTCTGCAACTTAATTGCGGCCGCCTCATGTTTTGGTTCCGGTGTGCTTGGATCCAAACCATCACCCATTACCGACGACGGGGGGTCCAAGTCCAACTCCAATAATGCTAATGCTACTGCTCCTCTGGAATCATCTACAGATTGCTGGTGCAAGCACTCGTTCTCATTCCCACCGGATTCGAAGCCATTTTGAAGATCACAGGGACCACTGTGCCGCGGGCATAGAAAAGGTACCCCCATGCAATGCCGCAATGCAACGCACACTCAGACAGGCGGGGCTTTCTTTTGGTATTGGTTGCCTCTCTCTCTCTCTCTCTCTCTCTCTCTCTCTCTCTCTCAGCTCTCTGCTTCCGGTAGGTATTGTTAATTAGAGGAATATGAGTGCAAGGTGGGGCTAGGTAGAGAGAGTTTTCTCTACACCTTGGATTGGATTGGATGGAATTGAATTGAATTGGCTACAGGAATATGAGAACGGGATCGGGCTAGTGTGTGTGTATATATATAGCAGTGCATTCATAGGAATTAGGGAGCAAGGAGGGGGAGAGAGAGAGAGAGAGAGAGAGAGAGAGAGAGAGAGAGAGAGAGAGAGAATCCGGGTCTGAGGGAGGGAGAGAGGGGCATTGACATGACATGCTGGCAGGCACGTGGTTGGACTCGCCCTTACTAACAACAACAATAATAATAATAATAATTATAATTGTTTGAATTGTATGGACAAATAAAAGAAGAGAAAGAAAGAAGCATCTCTCCCATAAATAAACTTGTTTTCCAAGTTTCACGAATATCTTCCCTTTGGTCTACAATATTCACTTTTTCTTTAATCACACACCCACCCTTGGATTGGAGGAGGTCAACGAGGAAATTCTTTTTTTCTATAGAGAGAGAGAGATATATATATATATATATATGATATTTCCCTTGCTTACCAAAACTTAAAAACACGGTATTAGATAGACAGATAGAAAGGTAATAAATCAATAACTTGGTTTGCTTCTCTTGCAAGGTTGATTTAGTCATCCATCCATCGTCTGTCTAATTTGAGGGAGTCGAGCTATAACCAATTCAAAATTAAATAAATAACTTCAAACATTACATGACCGAACTGGGCAGAGAGCAATTATATAAAGCCAGGTTGACCTGTGCTGATGTGTATGTGTGTGTAGTAAGTAAATGCAATCGGTCATAGGTCTAGGAGATGTGCATGTAAGTTGGTGAGCAAGTTTTGTTTTTTTGTTTTTAATATGAACTTTCATTAGTCAGGGAGTATATATGTTGGAGGTGCTGTTTGACTTTGGCCTCGTTCAACGACAGGACATACATACATGCATACATACATACATACATACATACATACATACATGATACATAAACAGAAGAGAGCGCAAGAATGGATGAATGAATGAATGAATAGCTCCCCCAAAACAATTGAAATAAAAGTCAACACCAGACCAGAGTTGACCTACTACAAAAAAAGTCGCATCCCATCCCATATATTCCCATTCCCGTGGATAAAAATTATACACATAGTGGTAGTTGCTCTTCTTAATAATAATAATAATAATGAGCGATTAGGGCAGGCAAAGAGGAAGTAGTGACGTGGTGCGGCTGCTGCTCAATCCCCATGCCAGTCCAACGAGCTGTCAAAATGCTTGACCTTTTCTGGTGCTTATAGTATATGGATTAATTATTTATATATTTCTATACTACTACTTATGTGTTAGTTGTGGTCTGCAAATATTTCTATGATTATGTGTGACTCGTAGATATATAATAATAAGTATTGAATAAATAGGGCAAGTTTCGATCATTAAATTTTTCTACGAAATAATATTTTTTTAGAAGACATATAGAACTCAAATAGTAAAATTTGACAAAAAGAAGCTCACTCGTAGTAATGAATAAGGGATGGATGGATGGATGGATGGGCTTGGCGGGGCAGTAGTGGAACATCACAGATTCACAATGACTCCTACAAATACAATTGATTGTTTATTAATCTCGTGGATTGAATTATATTGATTGTTTATTAATTTGTGATTAATGAGATCCTTCCATCCATCCATTGTTTATTATTGATAGTGAGTGATGAAGAAGAGTCTCAATCAATCAATCAAATCTATATCTATCTTTCCAGCAAGTACAACTAGTAAGTAATAAATGTAAAAGTAAAAGTAACGCTGATGCCGTCACCCCAGTCGTAGTACGTATTGCAATTGCTATTGCATTCATTCCAACGTTTTGTTTTGTTTTGGCTTGGCTTCTACATCAAGTCTCAACTTTTTCAACGTCATCATCATCGTCATCATCGTCTCCTTTTTCTTCTTCCACGTCTTATCTTCCCTCCTCTTATTCTTATATCACATTCTCTCTCTCTTTTTTTCTTCCTTATTTTTAATATACTTTGTTTACGTAATTTAATTTTGATGTATTTTTAGGGTGTGTTTATTCAAGGGTGTGTTTGTTTGGGGAATGGATTTAACTTTCATTATTCATCTCATTTTTTTCCCCAAAAACATTAAATTAAATTCATTTTTTTATTTTTTATATTATACTAAAAATTAATTTTATATTCAAACATCACGTCAATATCTATTTATATCACATCATACAACTATTTAAATTCAAAATTTTTACTATTCAAATCTCAACTCAAAATCCAAACCTCCAAACAAACACACCCTTGAAAGATTTGTGTGAATTTTTACTATTTATACAATTTTTTTTTTCAAAAAATATCAAATCAAACACTTAATTTTTATTTTTTATATCATACTAAAAATTAATTTTACATTCAAAATATCATATCGATGAACCCATAGATGAACCCATAACCTCACGATCACGTATCCATCTTCATACCACCTAACTATCTCTTAAGGACTTAGAGCTTGTGTATAATATGTTTAGGAAAAAAATCATTTTTTGTCTCAATATAACCAAAATTGATTAATTTGAATTTTGGTCCAAAAATAATAATTTTAACAATTTTGATCTCAATATAATCAAAATTCTATCATTTTTTGTCCCAATATAACCAAAATTCATCATTCTTGGTCATAATATAATTTTTTTTATCAATTTTAGTCTCAATATAACCAAAACTCATTATTTTTTGTGTCAGTATAACCATAAGTCATCATTCTTGGTCATAATATAAATTTTAGTCCCAATATAATCAAAACTCATTATTTTTTGTCTCAATATAACCAAAACTCATTATTTTTTGTGTCAGTATAACCATAAGTCATCATTCTTGGTCCTAATATAAATTTTAGTCCCAATATAATCAAAACTCATCTTTTTTTGTCCCAATATAATCAAACCTTATCTTTTTTTGTCACGCCGTCAACAAATCGACGGAAAATGCTAACGTAGACTTGCAAGATTGTGCAATTTCTTCAAATATAAATACAAGGTTTGATTTCTTTTCACGTCAGCATTTTCCATCGGTTTGTTGATGGTGGGACCACAAAAGATAACGTTTGATTATATTGTGACAAAAAATGATGAATTTTTATTATATTGCGACTAAAATTGATAAAAAATTTATATTATGACAAAAAATGATGAGTTTTGGTTATATTTGGATAAAAAATGATCGAGTTTTGGTTATATTGAGACCAAAATTGATAAGATTTTTATATTGTGGCCAAAATTGATGAATTTTAATTATATTGAAATTACAAAAAGATTTTTTCCCTATGTTATTGTTAATATAGTTTGTGTATTGTCATTGTATTTGTTGTATAAACTATTGTTATATAATATTAACTCATGTGTTGTTTCGTATTATATTAATATATTTTTGTCGTTTTAATTCAAAATTATCAAACTTATTATTTTAATAAAAATAATTATATGCTAATATCAATTTTTTTAATTTTTTTTTATTTTAATTACAAATATAATAGATATGTGAAGAAAGAGAATACATATACTATGTTGTCAATTAATATTTAATGTATTACTAGTATATTGTTTTGTATTGTTACAGTCAATACAATAACATTAGATTTTGTTTACACAATACCAAATCAAATATTAATATTTTATTTTTTTATCAAACTTTCAATTTTTCAAAAATTTTTAAAAACTCATGTCTAAACAAACCCCTAGTCTTGTAAATGATATTTGTGATAAAAAAAATAAAATAATTGTTAAATAAATATATCTTTAAAGGTTGTAGTTTGAAGATTTTTTTTTATTCGAAATAAAAAAATATATAAATATAATATAAAAATAATAAATATATTTATAATATATTAATTTTTTAAGAAGATACGTAAAAAAAAAGCAAACACCCTTAGACATATTCAAACAAATTATTTGAAATTCGAATTTTTGATTCAAACATATTTGAACAAATTGAAATATTGCAGTAATATTTAAAATGAAAAAAATTAGTAAATAGTAAAAAATTCAATAAAAAAATACATCCATACTATTTATGAATTCAATAATTAATCCGTGAACCAAGAACCAAAAAACTCACAGACAAGCAAACACAACCCTTTCCCAAAAAAAAAAAAAAAAAACAACACAACCCTACCCCTACCCGGCTACCCCCAACGCCAAACCAGCCGCCGTCCTCCCTCTTCTTCCCCCTCTTCCTCCTTTTCTTCTTCCTATCCTTCTTGTTTTTTCTTCTGCTCGTCGGCTCTTCTTATTCTTCTTCTCCTCTTGCTAGCTATCGTTTCATACTCCATTCCCTAAACCCTAAACCCGTGACTTTATTGTCTTTGTATTGGGCTTAATCTCCGACAGTCGCAATCTTGTAAGTTTTTGTATTTTATTTACTAGTATATTTTATTTTTATGGTTAAAAATGGCAGCGTGAGATTAAAAGGCTTTCAAGTTCTTACAGTAGCAGAATATTTATGCATTAATTTTTCATTGATGAATTGATTGGTATTCGAGAATTATGATTATATATTTTCAATATATCAGGGTTATTATGTTAAAGTCTCTTGCATAGAATGTATTTTACAGAAAAGTTATATGTTAAGTGCCAAATCTTTCTTAATTAATGGCAAGAGAAAGGGAATTTCTGTTTTTTTTTTTGGATGTCTTCACTGTTTGTTTTGAATTTTCTCACAAAACATCACTAGTTAAACCTATAATTACCAAAAAAATACCAAGTAAACAGTTCTACGAATTGTTACAACTCAAGTTTTTCAGTGCATACTAGTACGCTACATATTTTTCTTGTTAAAAATGATCTAATTTGATTGAGGGCGCATAGCCATTATCTTGACGATAATAGTACGTGAAGATGTTGAAATGGCCAAGCTGGGCCAAGTCATTGAAATGAATTTAATTTTATTAAGGGTATGTAGGGTTAGGGGACGAGTTGAGACTTGAGCGTCTGGCTATATATATATATATATATATATATATGAACGTTGAGGTCATATTTATGTTTATGTTCATAGCTCGAACGGAATCGACAACCTAGAGTCACATGGCCGAATCCTCTGACATAAACAACGACCTCTATGGCGAAGGCAGCGAGAAGCCTCGGGCCAAACACAAAGGTAAGCATGACAAAGACAAGCCTTGGGATGATCCTTCCATCGATCACTGGAAGATAGAGAAGTTTGATCCTGCATGGAACGAGGGTGGAATGCTTGAAGTTAGTTCATTCTCTACACTCTTCCCCCAGTATAGAGGTATGTATATTTGTTCCATTTTGTACTGCATGGTTGAATTGTGAATTGAATCATCGATAGTTGCCTGACTTGTATTTTAAATCTCCTTAGAGAAGTATCTGCAAGAGTGTTGGCCAATTGTCAAAGGAGCACTGAAAGAGTACGGAATTTCTTGTGAATTGAATTTGGTAAGTCCCTTCATGCATTTATGTACATTGGGCTGGACTGTCATCCCTCTTATTCTCTTTGTATTACGTGCACTAAAATGTTGTTATTCGGTTATTCCTATCACTATTAGGATAGACTGAATTTTTTTTTATCATGATTGATTTTGTGTTGCCATTGTCTAGGTTGAAGGAAGCATGACTGTCTGGACTACCAGAAAGACACGAGATCCTTATATAATAGTAAAGGCCAGAGATCTCATAAAACTTCTGTCAAGAAGTGTTCCTGCTCCACAGGTAGCTAGCATAGCATGTCTTTTTTCTTATGTAATTGCTTATTTTCATCCTATTACAACATCCTCTGCTTTTATTGCACGACTTATAATTTTCTTAACTATATAGCCTATATGGAGAATTTGCCGAGAAGCTTTTAGCAGCTTATTGTTAAATGATACTTTGTGATAGCAATGCTTTTCTTAGCAAGCGTTGAATATATTTTCTTAGTATTAGATTGAATCAATACGCGATGATAGCAATTGGTTGGTTTGTTTGGTGATAGCAAGCTTTGAATCTATTTACTTGGTGATAGTTTACTTCTTGAATGTTTTCATTTGAACTCATGATCTATGTTTCTTACAGGCAATAAAGATTCTCAACGATGAGATGCAATGTGACATCATCAAGATTGGCAGCCTTGTTCGCAATAAGGTTTTTTTCTCCATTATATGATCATCATGCAACTACTAACTATTCTTTATCATAACAATAATAGTCACAACTGATTTTCCATTTATTTCCAAAATAAATAGTATATACGTATAAAAGCATGTGATTCTTAGGAATCTAAATAAAGCGTGGCTAAATGAAAAAATTAAATGATATTGTCTATAAGAACCTATATCTCCAATAATTCAATATATTTGTGGACATAATAAATGTTCTTTTTCTTTTCTTATATTTAATGCAGGAACGGTTTGTGAAAAGAAGACAAAACTTGCTTGGTCCAAACTCTTACACTTTGAAGGTTCGAAATTTTTCTTTATATGTAGCGATCTTCTGAATTTTAGTAAGGAATAGAATCAATAAAAGTACTGAAAGGAGGTTGTGGAAACTGGAAACGGACTATAATGTATATTGATTCAATGTTTGCGTTACAAATTTGGCATATTAATTTTCAAATTTTCTTTTCATATCCAATTGTTTTCCAATGACTTTACAATTTCCAAACAAATGCAGGCACTGGAAATTTTAACTGAATGCTACTTGCTGGTTCAGGTCGGTATTCACGATGCTGAATCATTAATTGGATATTACAGTAAAGTGTTATCTACTACAAATTACTTGTGTTTTCATTTGTAACCATAATTTGGTAAAACCTAATTGAACATTTTCACTATTACAATGATTAGGGAAACACAGTAGCTGTCATGGGTTCATATAAAGGTATAAAACAAGCGAGAAAGGTTGTTGAAGACTGCATGCAAAATAAAATGCATCCAGTACATAGTGTCAAGGTAACGTTTTCTGCCAAGTGAGTGTTTTCCTGTATCTACTGAAACCTCACATTCAATGGTGTCAGATTCTAATGATGAAGAGGGAACTAGCAAAACATCCTGAACTGGCAAACGAAAGTTGGGATAGATTTCTTCCATCTTTCAAAAAGTATGTCATCTAGTCATTGCTGCACATTTCAAATGTGATGGTAAATTAATTCTTCCATTAGTTAGAAGTGATTTGACATCCGCACCCTTTTACTTCCCAGGAAAAATGTGAAACAGAAGAAAGTTAAGGCGAAAGAGAAGAAACCTTACACTCCTTTCCCTCCACCACAGCCACCAAGCAAGGTATGTGTCACTTGGTTTGGCTTGTGGGCGTATATGCTTATAATATATGACATTTACACAACTGCCATTATTCCTTGTTAATTGTCTAGCTGAACACCGTGTATAGACTTGACTTCCCTGACATTTTTACTGTTAAAATCTGTTCTTCAATCTACCTGACTGTTGTTCAGAATTTTGCTTTTATGGCCTTGTACAATGGTGTATGAAAAAACTGTTGGTACTTTCTGTGCTGTAATTTGAAATGCCATTTGCTTGCTTTTGCTTAGTGGAATGTGGTGTCAATTCTCCGACTACAATGTATGGTGGACTCTTGAAGTGTTTTCAATTGTTGTTTATGAGATTAGGGTATCAAGAATTTTTTGTCATGGATTTTATGATGACCTGTTTCTCCTATTATTTATTTATTATTTCTCTGGCTTTTTCGTGATTTCACAAATTCAGATTGATTTGCAACTGGAAAGTGGAGAGTATTTCCTTAGTGATAAGAAGAAGCAGACCCAAAAATGGTTGGAGAAGCAAGAGAAACAGGCAGAAAAAACAGCTGAAAGTAAAAGGAAACGTGATGAGGCATTTATTCCACCCGAGGTTCGATCTATTAATTCCATGCCAATCGTAGCTTGTAATAAGCCCTATCTTTTTAATTTAATTCTAATAAGAGTTTTTGATTTGGTTTTTCAGGAACCCACAAAACAAATGGAGCATGCTGCTGACAAGACTGATGTGGCTCAAACAGCATTATCTCTGAAGGTAACTGTAATTTCATTATTTCACATTTATCTGATTATTGGGATAATGTGCAATAATTTCTTCTGCTTTCTGTGGTGAAGAAAAAAGCCAAGGAATTAAGGAAGCAGAAATCTTGTGAAAATATTGATCCAGAGGCATACATTGCTGCTACAACTTCGACTTCAGAATTGCAAATTAAAAAGAAAGCAAAGAAGTTTAGCCCAACCAGTACCTGAAATAGACAGATTGGAGGATGCCTTTTTGGTGGTTCCATTATTGACTGTATTAATAGGTGTTGTTATGAAGCAGCAAGCTTACATGAATATTGTCCCACCCTACTTTCTATGGTATTTTATAACAAAACTTGCAAGGCAGGGAGCTTGTTAGCATATATGACATGGCTATAAGGCATTGGTTCTTGTTAGCATTTTCTCATATATAACATGGCGATAAGGCATTGATATTTAAGGGTATGTTGTTTTGCCCAAAACGGGCTGCGACCATTGCAATATATATATTTTTAAAATATAATTTTTTTCTTTCAAATATTATATTTATTTAATATTTATAATAATTATAGGATAAAAAAATATATACAATATATATGTTATTTGGTAGATAATAAATTTTTTTTTATAATGCAAATAAATAAAATTTTAAATATATGATTATAATATAAATTTATAATCAAATTATACTATATAAATTTTATTAATTAAATTTAATACACATCTATATTATTTTATTCATTATACATCAAATTAATATTCATCAAAATCCCTTAAACTCCAATCAAATCTAAACACAAAATTCAAACTAAAAGCACACCCTAAATCATTATACCGAGGTTTGCCTCAGACAAGACCCTTTGGGTACTCTAGTAAACTATCATATATATTGATGAGTTGGAACCGATAAATTTAAAATGTCAAAAATAAAAGCAATTATAAGCCACATAAAAAATTAATTGGATATTATACTATATAATAGATTACTCACATTTTCTAATAAAGTTTAAATTTATTTTAGTAATTTTCTTTTTTTTAAAAACAATATTTATTTTTAATTGATTATTATTGTTTAAGAAAGTTTCTTGATTACCTCCACAACATAGCTTGTACCGAGGACAATAGCACAACTAAAAAATAATAATAATAAAGCTTTCAAACTTGTAATAAGTAACTTCACTTCATCTTTGAAAAGGAAATTGGAAATTCCAATAGATTTGAAAATTAACTTGGAAAGTTGGTCGAAAAGTTTCTTTAGAAGAAAATTGGAAAAGAGATTTGAAAATTAGCTTGGGAAGTTGGTCGAGAAGTTGATATATATATAAATATATACTTTTTTTTTTTTTCATTTAAATATTGATTCTATATATTCTTTGCAATGTTTTTCTTATAATGATTTGAAATATTATTGCTTGGTATTTGGTTAATGAAGATTTGATTGTATTCGTATTAGAAAGCTTTTCTTAAGTAAACTATTGATTTGAAACAAATTTATTTTATTTTTACTAGTAATCGATTTTTGAACCAAAGTATTATGCGTTAAATTCTTTATCATGATTTTAAGTATTTATATTTAAGTTTGGACACAGGATTTGAATTCTTATATACATTTAAATTGGGCACGGAATTTTAGGTGATGTGATGGAGAGAGAAGTGTATATTTTATTTTTTTTATTAGGGTGATGTGATCGAATAAAATGTAGAAATAGAGATTAAATATAATTAATTATGACATACCAAAAAGAAAATATTGCACGGTGTTTGGGACGGAAGGATTCATTTAAATAGTTTCCTGTATTACTCAATACTTATGTTTTCTAAACCCAATCTACATACACACAAACTTGAAGTACGTGTTTCACTTGCTACCATGCTCTGCTCATTTACATAGTTGATTCTGTTTTAACTATTGATTGATATGCCATACAAAAAACCAGCTACATCACTTTTCCTTACAGTTTACACTAATATTGCCTTGCGACTCAAACATTTAGTTTTCTCAGAGCTCAAAGAACAGATAGGTCCCACGTCATACCAATGATGGTAATCAAACAAATTTGACGTCCCAAATTTCCAGATTGCCATGGCTTCAAAATGACACGTATTGATCGATATGCCAATGCCATACTATAATCTGTTTACATGTAAATGTATATACCAAGACAGTATTTTACAATACTTGCACAAATTACATCCCACATGGTTTTGGCATTCTTTGGCGTTCTCCTATCCTTATCTTACACAGGCACCCTTTTTCCACGGTAGCGATCAAAAAACTGAAAATATAACATTAAAAGCATCAGACAAGTCATCAAACGTAACTAACTGCTCATTCCTAATAAATGACGAAATACTCAATAATACACATGTTCTTTTATACAGCTTTGTAAATATTTTTGATGGGGTGATCCATATCTAAATTATTATACTCTTAGGGGTGATAACATTAAAGACAAAATGTGGCAACTACAAAACTTCAAAAAGGTAAATTCTACTTAATTAATAGAGTAGTTCAAACAGAAGATTTTAAATGAAACCAGGACTTGAAAGCATAGTTAAAATTCCCAATAAGGAAAGTCTGGACAGCACACCTGTTAGTCTGAGTTAGTCTGAGTTCATGCCGAGGCTAATGTGCTCTGAAGTTATATTAGGATCGAGCAAGGTCATTTTCATTGTGGGTAAATGCTAAACTCCTAAATGCAAATTGAGAGATAAATAAATCAGCTTCCTTATGTTGATAAAGAGAACATCTTATTAAGCAATAATCTATCGGCTACTGGGTGTATCGCATCTCATAGGAGAATATATAAAATCTCCATTTTGGCATCTACAGGTTCAATGCAACATCAATTTTCATAATAAATCTTATACGAGTTTACTGATTTTTTGCACATTGATCATGTTGGATGCTTTAAAGGTCAAGACTCACTTAAAAATTGATATATGAATTTCTTGTGAAAGATCATTAAGATAGAGTTAGAACTGAGAACATATAAAATTCCAAGTTAAAGCAACCACAAGCCCCCACAGCACTTCACAGCAATTTGAGTATATCATAAATTGCACTGTACATTGCAAAGCACGACATACACAGTGGCAATGCAAACATACCGATCTGATGAAAGGTTGCTGGAACAGCCATCCAATAATGGGGATCTTTTGGAGAAAGACAGCAAGTGTTGGCCAGAAGCCACTGCAAATAACATAAAAGTAGTACTAGTTAACTCGTACTATCTTAGATGGTGGAAAGTGAACATTAGTTATACCAATATTTTGTCCAGTATACAAAAGCAAGACTAACCTGAACAGCACAACAAATCCATATGCCTCAACAATCATTCCAATTATTGGCCATCCAATTATAACCAAGAAAAATCCAACACCAAACGAAACTGTTCCCTGCAATTAATGTGATGAATAATCAAGAAGTTTAAAAAGGAAAACAATAAGCAGCATAAAAGAGTAACTCGTATCAACAACAAAAAAAACATGGGGGAAGGCACCTTAAAATTAGAGCGTTTCATAAAGAACTGCATTGATGACTTGAGACCAATGGTTAACATCACCCCTGACAAGAAGAGGATCTGTTTCGAGTGAAATGGGCAACATTAGGGAGATGGATAGATGAAAATTATTCAATTGGAAAACAATCGTACATATGTTTCAACAGCATACTTACATTTCCCATGGCAATTAAACCTTTATCAAAGAAGAAAATGATCCCCAAAAATGAAAAGAACACTCCAAATCCAGTCAAGCCGAGCCCAATTTCTGTTGTAACAGCAAAAAGGAGATTTGCATCAATCCTTTGGTAATTCCTCAAAAGTAAAACATAGAAGCGCAATTGACCAATGCCAATTTGCAGCACAAAAAGTAGAAATCCAACATTTAAAGAGCAAAATGCATTACCATGAATTCAAGTTGGCAGACAGAAAAAAAAAAGCGAATAAAGAAATCCAAGATAACTCATATTCAACTACTAAGAATCGAGAATAGCATGCAAAGACCTCAAACCGTTTGAGTGCTTACAACGGTTCCATTTAGGCACTTGTCAAGAAAAATACCTAAAAAAGGCTGAATAAGAAGATGGTGTGCGTTCGATGAAAATAGTGCAAAGTGGAATCTGACTTACTTTTTCGATCGTTCATCTCGAAGGACACCATTTTTGCAGATTCAGATTCAATACAAGCAGCAGCAGGTGCGAATTTGGCTAAAGAACGAAATTGGGATCCTACACCAATCCAACCTATATATTATAAATCACACAATTCAAAAATGAAAAAGATACAAATTCAAGCAGATTGACAAATCAACACGTTTCTCCCATTCTCCAAAGTTCATTAATTAATCGGAAAAAACAACAACTACATTTAGATATACTGACTAACCACAAGAGATCTCCCGAAATGCCTTCACTCAAGCACCTCCTCCAGTTCTATGAATTAAGTAAGGGTAATGTTTCCTTCCGAGATAGTCCCAACAAACGCAATATAACGAACCTTAGATTGCACGTAATGAGAAGGGAATCATCGATTGATTACATTTACTACGAAGACTATACAATTTTCAAGAATCGCCTCGCCGAAGAGAAGCCGCTCCGCTCCGCCGGAAATTTCACTCCCAATCCCCCAAATTGGGAACAAAGAAAACTGGGCTTACGTTAGGTCTGGTAGCCCGCACAGCCCAATCAATATGGGCCGTTAGCTCATCGTATATATGTATGTTCCTTGGGCTTTATTTTGTACTCCAGACATTAATCAATCTCTGTCTGCACGGCACCATCATATTCATGATTCATCAGCCTGCCAGATGCCTCCTATTTTCTGATCCTTCCCCCTTTCCAAAACCCGTCTGGTGCTAGCCTTCGAGCTTGAGAAATGGAGTTGCTTTCGTCGAGAATCTATTGGGCACAAACAGAAATCCCTACAGCGTTTACGACGAAGTCACGCCGTACCACAACTCCGGGAAGGACGTTTCATCATTCTCGACTCATTATTCGTTGCGGAAAGTACAAAAACCAAGGTGCTCTCTACTTTTTACACTGGAGTTTTATAAATGGAAGTTTGGGTGAAGTTCCTTAGCTTGATTAGTTGGTTGTTTGTTCTTGGTGCATGCAGAGAGGGACATCATAATCTGTTGGTTGAGGTTTTAGGATGATTCGGTTTTAGAAATTTTCGAAATCACAATTAGTTAGCCTGATTTATGTTATTGGGAAAGCATGCGTTATTTCACTAGACTTTGAGGCTCGAACTTTTTTTTTTCTTTTGTCAACTGTGAGACTTGAAATAATCAATTTCGAATGGCCGATAGCGTATTCAATCTGGAGGATATGATCACCAATCTCCTACTGTCGTTGGTAAGAAATAAGTGCAAATGAGTTAAACTAGAAGTGCTTGGATTAAGTTGTCTCAGTGTGATGCAATACTTTTGAAATTCATTCATCAATCTAGTTGATGCAGCAAGCAAGAGATTATGTCGTATCATTCTTAAGGGATATTGGGTTTAAGCTAAAAGAGGATAAGCAATTGAAATGATAGCATATGTTCTATATAATATTAATGGTGGTAGTCCGGGTGGATAAGTTATTTTCGAATCATTTACGGTAAGAATTCTCACTTCTTAAAACCCTTTGTGGATGATATTGTCATTCTCAGGAGTATCCATCCCAAAGCACTTCAGCAATGAAATGCTTACCTAAACATGAGAGTCCCTGAGAAACTGTTGGTGCTAGATGTGTAATTTTTTCTATTATATGACACTTGGATCTATTTGAATAATCACGTCTATATATCTGGGGCACTGCTCTTTTGGCTGGCATGTAGTTTTAAATTGGTTTTTACCGTCATGCCTTCCCAGTCCAACAGCTGGGGTACGTTTAGATTTTCAGGAATATGCGAAACCGTCAAGACTCTTACCTGCAACAGAAGTGAAGGTTATCCCAGATGCTTCAGTTGGGAAGGCACTGGATTCTTTCCCATCCGGAAGATTGAAGTCCTTGTACAAAGTAAAACTACAAACAAGTAAAATTTATGGATCCGGTCTCACTGATGTGAACTCTGGAATATTATTGTGTTTGATTGACGAGAATGGAACCTCCATTTTACAAAGGTTGCCCACTGTTTTGAATGAATCTGATTCAAGGTCAGAAGACAAGGCCATGGGTGATACCATGCACTTACAGAGAGGCTCTGTTGATCAATTTGCTTTTGAGGGACCTAACCTTGGAAGAATTCTAGCTGTTTGGATTGGCTTGGAATCAGGTTGTTATACGTTATAAGAACATATGATTATCCATTTTCAGCTCAATTATGATTGCATGGAATGATAATGCTCTCCTAATTTAATTAATTTATTATTATTTATTTTTTTTCAAAAATTGAATGTGGGGAGGCAGAAGATCTTGACTTAATCTTTGTATGTTTCATGAAATCAAAGAAGCACTGACTCTGCATAAACCTTGCAAAATTGTTGTTTCAGAACAATCGTTAGTAAAGATCAATATAAATTTCTTTTTAATTGTAGATGGTAACATCTTGTCTGCTAGTTTCAAGTGTTTTGTATGTCGTGTTAAGCATATACTTTCATGATTGTGTAGGAATGCTGTAACATCATTCACTGATTTGAAGCTTGTTCCTATTCGTTGTGGGAAATATAGAAAGGGTAAATTAGTCGACAAACCAATGTAAGATATGGAGCTAGTTCTGTTTTTTTTCCATGATGAGCATGCTCGGCTCTTTCCTTGTCCTTGAATGATAAAATCCCCTGCTGTGTTGTACCATGTGAATTTTCATGTTATATTTGGAATTTAAAAGGTGTCATTTTGAACCACTATTGGCAAATGGCAGGTCAATGGAGAATAGCTGGTTTAAGTCTGGCTATTGTTCACGATTCTCTGCCTTCTTCCATAGAAGAATCCGAACAGCTAAGTGGGTTACAGTACAGCTTTGAGTTTGAGGATGTCTTGCTCGGGGATTCAGGTGACTTGTCTATGATGGAATTCAGACCCCAATCAGTTACTGCATTATCTGGAGATGCATCTACCTGGATGAACGATAAGTCCGAAGAAGATTTATCTGCCTCTCTCAACACCTCTTTTGCATCCAACGAAGAAAGCATGAAGGAATACACAGACCTGAAGTTGTCACTATTATTCTATGACACCCTACTTATCTTGGCTGGCTCCTCCATAATTGCATTTTTTTCAACTGAACAAAATGCTGCCTACACATTCTTAGCAGGCGGATTGTTTGGGTTTATTTACCTATTATTGCTGCAAAGGTCGGTCGATGGACTAGAAGTGCCAGAAGTCATAACAAGCAAGAGCAAAGGCAGTCGAGATCAAATTCTTGGGAAATTAAGAGGCCCCATTTCAGGTCTGGTGCTAGCATTTGCATGTCTCTTCGTAGCAGTGAAATACTACTCTTTGTCTGGAGAGGATGCAGCTGTTAGGCTTACGGGCAGAGATCTAATATCAGGAATGATGGGATTCCTTATGTGCAAAGTGTCTGTAGTTTTGGCAGCATTTAAACCTCTGCCTCTTGGTTTAAGAGAAAACAAGCAGATATGATGATGGTTTCTTTGGATGTCATATACTTGCGCGGTTGCGGCAGCATTTCGGTGTCATTGTGCCAGCTGTGTCGATTGTATGTGTATGGTGATGAAGAGTAACAACCTATTTTAGGATTACATCCAAAGTGGTGTGTGTTACTGCATCTAAATATAGACTAAACTTTCTAACAATGGATATTATGGTGACTATCTTCATCTAACCCTTGGACAAAGCAGCAAAAGCAGCAGCAGTAGTAGTAGTTAGGAGGAGGGTTGATGTAATGATTATAGCAGCAGGTTTGAATGGAGTTAGCTTTTTGTTCATTGCAAATTTGCCCAAACAATCAAGAATGGAATGATAATGACAGTAAAACAAGGCTTGACACTAAGTAGTATAGTAGGTTGTTTCAGGACTGATTGTAACTTGTATGCACTATGCTCTCCTATCCTCTCCTATCCTATGCCATGTAATGTGTTTTTAAAAGGTTCATTGCCTTATTAGTAGAGTAGTAGATGGATTGGTGGGTGTCAAGAGTTATTGCATGCATACATTTTATTTAACTGATACTCATAATAATATCCATTTGATTCTTACATTGCAATTTGCATGTAGTAAATATATCACCGTACCTGACCTGTACCTAAGCCCCGCCCCAACCCGACTTGACTTAATTTAAATGGCAACTTGAAAGAGATGACTTACAACAATGCCTACTGCTACACTCGTTTTCTAGCATTTCACTAATCTACTTTTTGCTGTCTTTAGTTTTACATTTCCCAATTTTGTTAAATCAAAGTGTACTAGGAGATTTTAAAATATATTTCTATTAATGATAAAAAAAAAATAAAAATGATGCAGCCGTGACTGAGCCCCGCATGCCTTTTTATTACTCCCACGTACCATGGTTGCCGTTTATATGCGTTTTGAATTTAATCTCATTTTAAAATTAAAATTTATTAATTAAATTTTAATTAAATTAATTATCTTAATTTTAATTTATAATTATTTATATTATATGATAATTATTTTTACTAATATATTTTTAATTATCTATTAATTATATTTTTTAAAATATCATATACCAGACACTGCATATGGGATGGAGGTATTATTATTATTATTATTATTATTATTATTATTATTATTTGCCTTAATTAGATATTTCGTGTTTCCTTTTAGTCTGATACTCTGATCTGTGTGATGTGTATTTTATTTATTTAATTATTTACAGGAGAGAGAGGAGAGGAAGGGCCGCGAGGTAAAAAGTCCATATCGAGGAAGGATTGTTGTTCTGTTCCGTCGCCCAGCTGTAACTTTCAGCGCTGGCAGTGACGGGCACAGGCATAGGCATTGGACTCCATCTCTGCTCGGTCAGACTCAGACCAACGGAAAATAGCAGCAGCCTGGCACTGCGCCTGACCGGTTGGGCTTGGGCTTGGGGGTGTATGGAATCAGTCGGATGCCCTAGCCCGGCCACGAATTCGTTGTTTGCTTTTGCAGTGGTGGAAAGGGGACGGGTTGGCTCCTATTGTGCGAATGGGGTTTAGTGTTTTTTTTTCCTTCAGCTTTCGTCTCGTGATTTTATGAATTGTTTGAATTCGATTGTCGGTTTGATCTGAATTTCGGAAGAGACGGGGTACAATTTTATGTGATATATGGCGCAGACGACTGAGAGGTCCCCAAATGCGCAGAGGGGTTTCAGAGTTCAAGCTCCGCTGGTGAGTCTGTCTGCAATGGTTTTTCACCTTTTTTATTGTTTAGCCTTGTATCGCGATTTATGCAACGCTTATGGTGTTTTATGGCCTTGCCTGGGTGAATGCGATATCAATTGTGAAAGACCTTGTTTTTGAGGTGCATTTGTACTGTTCTCGGTGGTTCTGTGCTTCCGTGATTCTTTTCTTGAAGATGCATTGCGGAATCCATGAACAATGGCCCTTCGAGTAAATAAATATACTCTCCACTGGCCTTGGGTGTGATTATTCTAGGACCTGTTATTGTGGAGATTTGAAGTTTAAGAATATTAGAGCTGTTTTGGAATGTTCTGCCCTGACTCATCTTCCATTCCTCTGCTCACTTATCGTTTTCTTAGTGCTTGAATTTGTGAGATATTTCCTACTTTTATGCTTTTGTCAATTGCTAGGACTATGCTGTCACGTTTCTGTTGAATGAGCTTGAAAATAAGCACAGCACACAACTCAGGTTCTAGTTGCATGTGAACTACTTCTGGGTTAACGGAGCTAGTTTCACTAAATGCCTGGATTAAAATTTGAAACTTCACTGGTCACACTTAGCATGCTTTTGAGAATTGAATGGGGCTACTGCTTACTGGCCTACACCTTTGAGATGCATGTACATTTGATAGGAAACCTAATATATGATTTTGTAATGTGGGGTTTTAAAAAAAAATCAATAAATAAAAATGAAATGTTTCTCAATCACTCATGTTATGGGACACAACCTAATTCTTTTGTATGTTTTAGTGGTTTATTTGTCAGTACATGGGCAAAGCCATGAAGCTAAGTGTTAAAAACTAAGTTTTGGGAGCTTAATCTTGGATTGAGTAATACTAATAAGACATCATAATGCTGGGCTGAGTATATTCTATGTTCTATAGTTAAGAAAAAGAATTGATACATAACTTTGAAGTCATACATATCTTACATATGTATATATATATTTTCCAGTTTTTTCTTGCAATGTAACACCTGAAGGCTTAGATTTGTTGTCGTTTGAGATGTAGTATGTCCAAAACCTTTGATGTGCATCCTGTCTCATTTTGGAATCTGTTTGTCATGTAGAACAGGCACGCACATAATTGGTACTTCTTGTTTTCTTAACATATTCCTGCCAACTAACTATGTTGATCGGAAAACTTTGCAGGTTGATTCTGTATCGTGCTATTGCAAGGTAGATTCAGGTTTGAAAACAGTTGTTGGGGCGAGAAAGTTTGTCCCTGGATCTAAACTTTGTATACAACCTGATATTAATCCCCGTGCACACAAGACAAAAAACTCCCGTCGGGAGAGGACCAGGGTGCAGCCACCACTCCTACCTGGACTTCCTGATGATCTTGCGATTACTTGCCTGATTCGAGTCCCTCGTGTAGAGCATAATAAACTTCGTCTAGTTTGCAAAAGGTGGTACAAGCTTCTGGCAGGTAATTTTTTCTACTCTCTAAGGAAGAGTCTTGGCATGGCAGAAGAATGGGTATATGTGTTTAAGAAAGACCGTGAAGGAAGAATTTCATGGCATGCCTTTGATCCCACCTACCAACTGTGGCAGCCACTCCCGCCTATTCCAGTGGAGTATAGTACAGCTCTTGGGTTTGGCTGTGCGGTCCTTAGTGGCTGTCACCTGTATTTATTTGGTGGAAAAGATCCTCTGAAGGGATCCATGAGGCGAGTTATATTTTATAGTGCTCGGACAAATAAATGGCATAGAGCACCTGACATGCTTCGGAAAAGGCAGTTTTTTGGATCATGTGTCATTAACAATTGTCTTTATGCTGCTGGAGGAGAATGTGAAGGGATCCAGAGAACCCTGCGCTCGGCTGAAGTTTATGACCCCAATCGAAACCGCTGGAGTTTTATTGCTGATATGAGCACAGCGATGGTACCCTTTATCGGTGTGGTATATGACAACAAGTGGTTCCTCAAAGGACTCGGTGCCCACAGAGAGGTTTTGAGTGAAGCCTATTCCCCATCAACCAATACATGGAGTCCAATAAACGGTGGAATGGTTTCCGGATGGCGCAATCCAAGCATCACTATGAATGGAAAACTTTATGCGGTTGATTGTCGTGATGGGTGTAAGCTAAGAGTATATGATGAGGCCACAGACTCTTGGAACAGGTTTCTTGATAGCAAGCTACACCTCGGGAGTTCTCGCACCCTGGAAGCTGCTGCTCTTGTACCTCTAAATGGAAAGCTCTGCATTGTCCGTAACAACATGAGCATCAGCTTAGTTGATGTCTCGAATCCTGATAGACGAGTGGAGACCAATCCACAAATCTGGGAAAATATAGGTAGTAAAGGTAATTTTAGGAACCTGTTCACAAACTTATGGTCGAGTATTGCTGGAAGAGGTGGGCTGAAGAGCCACATCGTGCAGTGTCAGGTTCTTCAAGCATGAGAGAGATCTCATTGCTTATGTTTATTCTTGAGAGTGCTTGTTCTCCTCCAGCATAGAAATGGCACCGCAGATTATTGGTGCAAGTTTTGCCCTTTGGTGACTGGGGATTGTTGTCTTTGTCTTACCTCCTGATGCTGATGATGTTATTCCCCCTGGATTGATTGGTGTATGCATGCCCATGGATGGTGGCACATCGCCGTGGTCAAGAAACTAGCTATATATATATCTTTGCTAAACATTAGGACATAGGACTTTGAGGCAACCCATATTCTTAGATTCATGACAGATTGTTTTAGTTGGCCTGTAGGTGTCGGTTTTCTGTTCTGTGAGGATATCAGCAAGCATGCATGTTATCTCCGAGGATAAGATACATTGTGAGAAGACAGTCGGCTGTTGTTTCTTTGCATGATTGCACATATTTGTTTGTTATGCTTTGATTGGATGGCGTGGGGTAATAAGTTGATTATTGCAATAGGGGTGTCTGATCCGACTGCCAACTATCAAGTTGTGATACTTGTGTTATTGTATCTTGTCCTGCTGCTGTCCAGGCATTTAAAAGAATTGAGTTCCAAGCATGTCCTCATTTGCTTCAGGTTAAAACTTCATATGTATGGAATATTCCACCACATTTATATGCTAAAATTGCTATGAAATTGATTCGTATTCCAGGCAATCATCTCCATATAAAAAGTAAGAAGAGAATTTATTCATTTGTTGAGCAAATGGAGAGTAGTTGCTGATGATTTTGCAGCAGAGTGATAACATTGTCATTTCAAAGATGATCATAGTGACGTAGTACAATCGGAATTGGAAGTTTATTGCATAAAAAGCAACTTCCTTGCATTGCATTGAGGACTTGAGCTAGGCTAGATGGGATGGATGGAAGGAATACATACATACAGGTAAAGGGGGGGTTTAGGTCCTTAGGCCGGCCATTGAGCGAGCGAGTACCACATGTTACAACAACAACAACATTGCACAATCACAATCACAGTTGAGAAGCACAGCCAGCACATACACGGGTGGCTGTCTAGTCAGTGACGAGCATTGGGATGCCATCCACCGGAACTGGCATCTGCAAAGAAAAAGAAAAAGAAAACAGAATGGGTGGTAGCAGTAAAATAACAGAGAGTAAAGAAATTGCTTTCACTGGACAAAACAACATATCAAAGGAGGATGCAACAAAGACATGTGTTCTAGTGCATGCATGGAATATGGATATCTATTATGGGCAGCAGGGCTTGGATTCACCAAAGAAGCATGCAATGCATGTTGTAACAAAAGAGCCGAGGTCCCCATTGAATCCTCCTCCTCACTCACTTCTTCGGCAACAGCATGCAGGGCACACACACGAGTACAAAAACAAAACAACACAACTCAACTCAATTGTGTTTCCAACTAACTTAATAAGTTGTGGCAATCAGGAAGGACAGTTGCCAAGTGAGTGATGATAATGATGATCAGAGCTCATCCAATTTGAGGCCAAAGAAATTCCACAACTCTTACACGCACACTTGTTACATACACTCCTCCCTACCAGCCCGCCCGGCCCAGCTCAGCTCCATTTTACTAATTAAAATTGACAACAAGTCCCATTCGCTCTACACTGCAAACCCCCACATGCACAAGAACGAACGAACGAACGAACCAGTTTGGGGAAACCAAAGGCCTCTGAAGTAAAACCAAAACCCAATTACAGGATTTTTGAACAAGGGTGGTCAAGTTTGCATCCATAATAAATGCACACGAACATCCATCCATCTAATCTTTGCCCCCTCATTTGCTTTTGTAGACCCTCAATTCTTCATCATCATCGGATTCACCGATGCCACAGGCTGCATATCCTTACAAGTTAAATTAGCCTTTTTCCCACAAAAATTAGGAACCCTACACTCTCTAGTAAACACACAAGGAGATAAAAGAGTCAGTCGATGCGAAACCCTAAATCCATAGGAAGAGGAACGACAATATATCAATATCATCAAGAAACGGGTATATCTATCATGAACAGTCAAGAAGAACCAGAACCGGAAAAAAATAAAAATAAAAAAATAAAAACTGTTTGTTGTGTGTGTGTGTACCTCAAGGACGGGCTGCCTCAGGGACACGGCTTTATCCCTGCACGAACGAACCGTCAAGAATTGATCCACATCGAGCTCCTTGCTAATAATCCCAACCTTGAAATATATGCTGTCGGAAGGCGGCAAGTCAACTTTGATCTCGTCGACATTGAACCACAGGAAGTAGAATCTCTGCACCTGGATCCCCTTCAGGTCGGTAATGGAGCCCAGGTTCAGCACCCCGGAGATCTTCTTGTCGTAGTAGACCAGATAGTCGAACTCGATGTAGCACTCCTTCTCCAGAGTGACCTCGAATCGACCGTCATCGGCGAGCGTGTAGCTGACCACAGAATCGGGTAACAGTCCGCGGGGGAGACCGTACAACGGGAGGATCTCGTACACAGACGGTGAAGGTGGGCTTGGCGGGGCCGGTTCTTGGAAGGAAGAGCTCACGGCGAGGAGTGAGAAAAGGAGGAGTAAGAAACAGTAGCAGAGCTTGGAAGCAAACGCAATCACAATCGCCATCGCTTTTCTTTTCTTTGATTTGCACCCAATAAATTTGCTTGATGTGTGTAGATATATATATATATATATATACACACTTTGACTGGAGACCGGACTGCTATTTTTTTCTTCAGCGATCCCTCCATCCCCGCTTGCTTGATTAATTGAGTAATTCATTTCCACGCTTACCATTTTTCTATGCAAACTAAAGCTCTTCCAAGTCCGAACTGCATTCAATGTATCCATATCTATCTATCTATGGATTCCCGTTCCGGATCCATTTTCAAAAGTTTTACTTCATAATCGTCAATTTACGGTTCATTATTTTATTTTACTTTTTTCAATTTCGACTAATTTAATTTAGCCGATCTTACTTTCGATTTTGACTAATTTAATTTATCCCACCTACCTTCCGTGGCACAGGCACATCCAAGAATGATCCGGCTTTAGTCCGAGCTATTTTCTTGGTTGATCCGACTGGCAAGAAGACATCAAGCCACACATGCAAGGCCTCTTCAACCTTTGTTCTTCTATAAATTAGATATATTTATTTAAATTTTAATGTAAATAGTAAAAAATAGTTTAATTAAAAATAAATTTTTAATAATAATTATATACTATTAAATTTTATGAAACAAAATTAAGATCTACCTAACTCCACTCTAATTACATTTGAACCATGACCCAAGTTGCTTTCTAATACATCAGTTGAGTATGAGAACAAATTGAAAAGAAATGTTGAAATATTTTGATATATGATTATATTTTATTATTGTTGTTATAATTTATGTTATTATATATATATATATATTTTTTATTTTGTGAAAAACTAAAAAATAGTGCACCCACCCATGATCGAACCTGATGTTTCACCGCTTGATCTATAAGGGTTTGACGACTCACTTTTGGCCCTAACTTTACAAACTTGACGGAAGATGCTGGCAAGGACAAACGGATCTGACTTAATATCCTGGGGTGAGATCTGATGTGAGTGCAGGCCAAAGGTCAATTTGATTTCTGTGTGAGGGAGTGGAGACGCCGAGTTTGACTGGAGCTGGCGCGCGGGAGGAGACGGCTGCCGGAGTCCCGTGGCTCTGCCGGTGGCTGATTGTGACCACCGGAGAGAATGCCGAGGCGGAGTGCCAGCAATTCCGGGATGAAATATGTCTTGATCTCTTGCAAATATAATGCTACGTTGCTAGTTGTCTGAGATACAATACCAATTGTAATAATAATTCTCATTTAGTTTAAGTTCTTCCATTAATTCGTTGATGATCTCTTGTCTGTATATATATGTTATTGGCTGATAGAAAGAAAGCTTCGATCACTTTCATATGCATTTCAATATACAAATAAATTAAATAATATTTGATGGATCGTCTCTTGTACGCGGGTTTCTGATCATCGATCTTGTCATTAGCCCTAAAAATTCCAAAAGGTTTCTGTAATTTTCTTCTTATCGTATAATATATATTATATATATATATATATATCTACTTTGTTTCACTCGATCGTGTCGCTTTGTCTATTCAAGAGAGGTCCATCCAACACAGAATTATCCCCTCGTACTTTCTACTATACTTAAATGTAGCTGCTGATTATGGTGTGTATATATATATATATATATATATATATCCACAAGATGAATAGCTTTGAGGATTTTTAAAGTTGACCAAATCTTGTTATTAAAAGGGAAAAAACATAAAGGTTAATAGCAAAATTTATATAAGTTAGAGCATGCAAGTAGATTTGTAGCATCATGAAATGAAATTAATGGCAATCTTAGAGTTTCTTTCTTGTATATATTTCTCGAGTTTCAGCTTCACAAAAGCTTCCTTTACAACTCCAGTAGCTACTATGAGCATATATTGCAAAGTAAAAACAACATATACAGACACAAACTCTCTCACACACATATTTTGTTTTGAGCAAGAACAATAGAAACAACAGCGTTGTGAATATGTACGGGCAACCACCTTTCAATCTAAGGAAAAAAATATCGAATGAGCATAGAGCAGGAAGTCATTAAAAAATAGGTAGAGAACATCAAACTCGACCTTTCACAGAAAAGTCAAATTGACCAATGAACTTGTGATATATGCGATATTAGATAAATATTTTGCTATATTTCAGACGGTTTTTGGATGCGAATTTTGTATATATGCTTCTAATGGTGTATTTTTTAATTTTCTACTAGGCGTTGAGAAGTTGATAAATTTTGGGCATATCGAAGAGAGAAGCCAAACGCAGAAAGTCCTTAGCCATGATCACGAAGCAAAATCAAAATTGCAAAAAGGTCCTCCGACATTAATTAATAATTTTAGAATTGTTTGGTTTAAAGTGCAAAGGGGATGATAATTGAAAAGAGAGTTAGGACCAATAAAGAAGGGGAAGAAGAAACGCAAAATCACGATCTCACCTACAATCTATTTCTGAAAGAGAAGGGAAACGAAGGGCAACGCAGAATAACTTCCGGGCACATTTTTCTTCATTTCTAGAATTGGTTTGTTGTCGATTTTTAAACTTGAAGGCATGATGAACTCTTTGATTTATTTTATGTTTTTAATTGCTATGGATTGCGAGTAGTTTCATTTCTAGTGTAGGTATGAATTGATGTTCAGGATTGAAATTGTGAGACTTGGTTTCGATTAAAATTGGTGTTCATCGATGTTGGGTATTTTTAATTCTTCTAATTGATGAGTTTAGAAATCTTAAATTGATTATTGCGCACGTATCAATTTAGAATTTCATAGCTATGTTGGGAATTGACATACGTAATTGTGTAATTTTCCAATTGGCGTAGCAACATAGAGAAGAACAACTCTAGGGAAGAATTAAAATCAATTTTAAAAAAATCATCGTATGAGCTTATTAAATTGAATTGGGCATTTCTAGTTTTTTTTTTACTGCTGTCGAGTTAGAAAACTAAGGTCGTACCTAGGATTCTTTCCCAATTAGAGAAATAGCTAACGGTCGTACCTTAGCTATCGAAAAAGTAAGAAAAGGTTGGTTGTGAACGCGTGTAGATCAACTATAACCAATTTATCCAACTAATTGATGAATTTGACTTTTAGTCGATGATCAAATTTCATATTTCGAATGAAAAATTCATGTCTGTGCTAGAGTTTAATCATATTTGGTAAACAGCTAATTTTGCATTCTAGTTAGCTTGCGTAAATTTTATTCTTCCTTATTTAGTGTGATAATCAAATCCCCCGATATATATTAAATATAATTATAATCAATCAAATAGAGAAAGAATTACTGTTCCCCTGCGGAGACGACCGTACTCACTACTGCTATACTGCATATTGTGGCACGTTGGAATTGATATTTTATTTTGCAACTGTACTGCAGGCTAGCAACTTGGCCTGCACCCACGTCGGATCCTACCCCAGGATGTTACGTCAGATTCGTTTGTTCTTATCAGCATCTTCCGTCAAGTTTTTAACGTTAGGATCAAAATGGAGTAAAATTACTTGTAACCGGACCAACCTTGATCGATTTTTTATATTGAGACCAAAATTATTATTTTTTATTTTAATGGGACTATTTTTTATTTTTCCCTTTTATTTTTAATAAAGATATCTCTATAAATATTTCAACAAAATGCAATAGATATTATTTAAAAAATAAAGATATCTCTATAAATATTTCAACAAAATGCAATAGATATTATTTAACTAAATATTTAAATGAACATTCATTTCGAATAATAGCAAACACACCTAAAAGTGAATCAATTTCAAACTACGGGCAACACAACTTAAAAGTGTAGAGACGAATAATAAAAATAATAATAATAATAATAATAATAATAATAAAGATGATGTGAACGTTGTTAAAACGCAGGAAGACAGACACAAGCAGCAGCAAGGACCACAGCCAGGCAGCCGCCCAACGACCAGCCAGCCTGCGGCTTAATTACATGAATAATGGTCGAAATATAGATAGATATAATATGTATATCTATCATCTTCTACTACGCACTAAATTATATATATAGAATCAACCACACGCACACTAATTAATGATATATATATATGTGTGTGTGTCCGTATTAATTAATTAATTAATTAATCAAAAGTATTCTTCTAATCGGGGGATGAAATTGAAATTGAGGAAGAACTGCTGCTGGTGCTACTGAGGAATAGCGAGTAATAATGGTGCAGCCCACACGCACACCACTTCAATCCCCCATCCCCATCTGTTCATATTCATAGTCTTTGATCTGCTGCCTGCACTGCTGAGATCATTGCCGCTCAGCGCCCCCGACGACGACGATGGATGATTCCCTTTCATATATAATTAATTCCCACACAATCAATGAATTAATTACTTCATTCATCAATTAAGCAACACAAATAACAAGAATTAATTCATTGTTACCAGAAGCAGAAGCAGCAGCTGCAGTAGAGGCCTCGGAGGAGGAGGAGTTGGTGGCACTGTTGGCGAAGTCCTGAAAGACCTTGGCGTCGGGCGAATCGGGGGGCAGATGCAGGACGGCGGGGCAGTCGGTGACGTTGGCCGGGGAGGAGGAGCGGCAGAGCGAGGGCAGGGAGAGCGCCCGCGTGGCGTTGATCTTGAAGCCGACGCTGGGGTCGTTGCGGTCCTTGACGAGGAGGCAGATGCAGGCGGGGCTCCTCTGTAGGACCTGCTTCAGCCCCGCGCAGCACTCCGCCCCCACCGACCTCGCCTCCCCGCTCACGTACGACAGGCACGGCGCCAGCCCCACCAGCTCGTTCGCGCACTTCTCCTTGTCCTTGTCTATGCCCCCCGACGCCGATGATCTCCCCACCCCGAATAGCACTATTGCCGACAACACCGCTACCACCGCCGCTCGCCGGGGGAGGAGGAGCTGCACCACCGACTCCATCGAGAGAGAAATAAGAGATGGAGAGAGAGGGATCAGTTCAGTTCAATTTTAGGGTTTGAACACCACTGCACTCTACTGTATTACATTGCATTGCATTGCATTGGGTCATATATACTTGCTAGCTCTCTCTCTCTCTCTCTCTCTCTCTCTCTCTCTGTGTGCGCATATATATATATAAAAGAATATAATCAACAGAGAGACGAATATATATATATATATATACACATAATAAATGGGGCCGGGGGAGGTTGGGGAGTAATAAATTGTGTAATGTACTAGTAGTAGTAGTAGTAGTAGTAGCGGAATTTAATGTGAATATAGCTACCATTGCTTGCTTGTTTGCTTGCAAATTAATAATGTCATACTACTACTACTACTAGTACTTCAAATTCCGATTCCAATTAATATAGCTAGCTAGCTAGCTAATTTGTACATGTTGTGTTTCTACATGGGACTATATGCAATATTGCTATCCCGCAGAGCAGAGCAGAGAGACGTCATGAGGCGAGGTAAGGTTGATCAGATCAGATCAGATCGGTCGATCTCCATCCCCCCTCCCCTCCCCTCCCCTGTGCGCAGTCATCCAGCTGGTCTGTCTGTCTGTCAGTCCGGCCACTAAATTTGCAGCTGGCAGGGCAGGGCAGGAGGGCAAATAAGTAAGTAATCCATCTCATAGCTAATTAGTATTCTAAAACAAATTCTTACTATATTAATATCCAATATCAATTAACGTAATCCCCATGGAATGGAATGGTTATGGAAGGATGGAAGGCAGGCAGGCAGGCAGGCAATTAAAGGACAGTTGGAACATCAACCCAACTACCACCAACCTATACACTTTCACATACAATACTAGTATAATACATATATACGCACGCCGGTACTCATCAGTCAGTCAGGCCCCTCACCGCCATATATCTAGCTAACTCAGGAGAATTACAATAGACAGACAGACAGAGAGACACACTATGTATGTATGTATGTATGTATATACACATAGATAGATAGATAGATAGATAGATGATGTCGTCTGTCCTGTGTTGAGATATAGTAATTGTGAATTGTGAGCCCAACCCCAACCCCAACCCCAACTCACCATTATATAGTAACATTTATGGGGAATACCTACCAGCTCCACCTGCCTCTCCCTCCCACTTTTAATCAATTTTTCGTGCCCCTCTCTCTCTCTCTCTGTCTCAGTCTGATCTGAGTCTGTCTCCACACACACACACACACAACTAACATCACTTATTACTAATTTGTACCCTAACTAACTAACTAACTAACTAAACAAGCTATATATTACTGTAATGAATTACTACTTATTATACTATTATCAATAATAAAAGATTTAAAGAATTAGAAACACACTCATCGATATATACTCCTCTGCTGCAGCTGCAGCTGCACCAATATATATTAATGTTATATGGCCCCAAATTAATTAGCTAATTAGCTTAATATGTATATATATATATATATATTGTTGGTGGGACTGGGTAATTGATTGTATTTGCAATCACCAATCACCAATCACTGTCTCTCTCTTTATTTCTTTCATCACATTATGTTGTTATGTTTTGATAGAATCTGTCTAACAACAAAATTATTCATCAAGAATGTGCATGTTCTAGATAAGAAAAAGGAGCAATGTAATTTCCAAATTAACCAAACTTCAAAACAAAAGCTATCGATTTTCTGGTAAAATGCTAAACTTCCTTTTTAATTTTCTTTTAGTGAGTTATTTGTCTACTGATTGCAAAGTTAGAACCTGATTATATTGGTTATTTGTTGGATTTAATGTTGTGATCTTGACATTCTTGCAAGTATACTTTGTGTTCTCTCTTGGTTGTTGATTGAAAATTACTTAGTTTCTTGTTGTTGCATGCGTTAATGTGAGCAAACCTAGCTATATGGCTATGACTTAGCAGCGTAGTAATTCTTTGTGAGTAAATCTATATGTTTAGATTCTTTGTGGCTGACCTTTTGGATGATTTATACATCCTCGTATGATTCAGAACGATCAAGCATGCGAGAAGATCCTTGATTATGTTTGTTTGATAATTATTTAGATTTTAGGTTTCGTTTGATTTCATTTCATTTGATTCAATTTCCAATTTGTAATTTCTTAATTTGATTCTATATGTTAGGCAAATTCTATTTGATGAAATTTTGTTTTGAAAAATCATGCACATTAATTATTATTATTCACGACATAATTCATTATAAACTCATTGTAAGGTAAATACATCACATACAGATACACAGACGCATACAGGAACATTTTTTCAAGCAACCATTTCATCTTCTCTTACAATAATTATTAAATGAATCCATATATATTCATATTATTTGAGAGTACCATATTGTAATGTCTGAATTATTATTGTATATATAATATTAATTAATTAGGGCAGGCATGCATGCATTAATTTTGTTGTCATCATTCACCATGATATGATATGCAGTGTGTTTATCATGTTCATATTACGAAGGAATTAAAAATATTATTATGATTAGGTTCACTCAAAACTAGTATGTCCGGTTTAGGGCGATTTCATACCTATACTAATGGGGTTAAATGTAAGATCTAAAAATAATAGGTTCTTTTTCTGATATATATATATATGTATTTTAATGTAAAATTTGTTTGTATTTCAACCATTTTTCCCTCAAATCAAAGATTATATAACCTATAGTCCCTCCTTACATCAAGGACTATATAACTCATGTCTCTTCTCTAGTGATATTCTAAATTCTCATCACACATAGTAAGACCATTACAACTGTTGGCCCAAGAAACGATTAACTCACGCATAACAGTAACAAACTTAAAAATCAACACAGAAAAATCTCTCAGCACAGACAGGTTGTTCGTTGGACACTGCGCCTGGTGACTAAGAACAACAGAAACACAACAAAATAATAACGTTCGGCTGCACCAGCCTACCTCTGGGGGGTTCCAACCCAGGTGAAACTCACTACTGAAACCATTGAAGTACATGATATGTGGATACAATCGAGCTACACCATCAAGAAATCTATCTATCCATTTCTTGACGATTTCCCGTACTCAACCTATCCCCAAATCCCTCACTCTCAATGTTTGATTTTTCTCACCCCTTTTTGTCTTTCTAATTATCTTGCTTATATCACATTTTCATAATCTAACAAACTCTCCTCACGAATTCCCACTTACCCATCTGTTGAAACCGAATTCTTTCTGTTTCACAGGACACCTCAGCACTTGGACCACACTAATCATCATCAATCTGATCCTGGGACACTGGCTAAAGGGGCCTCCTAAACAATTGGGTTGAAATGACGAAGGCTTAGTCTTCAATTAAAATGACGAAAGTTCAATCCTCAATTGAAGTTCATATGTTGTCCAGACTGCCTGCCGACATCAACCAAAATCCAAACAAACAACCAATAACAACAACAACATCAAAAAAATTTTCGATACAAGACTTCACCACAAATTTTCAATCATGATGTTAACTAGATCTTTTCACAACCAACATGGTTTGGTACTCCAATCCCCCAGCTAACTCCATCTTGACTCTAATGACCCTTGTTGGGAAATAGAGCTCACATCGCACATATTATCCCTTCCTCGTGCGAACCAACGAGGGTACGAGGAAGATAAATAATTAGTACAACCACAACTAAACCAACAAAAATAAATGAATATACAATATTTTATGTGAAAATTGTCTCTATGTGAAGAATAAAATAATGAGACTATAATCTATCAAACAATCTATTATCCACACACTATCAAAATAAGATATAAGATGCAATACCTCGAAATTACAAAGTTAAACATCAAACTTAAATTACCAAATTAAGGAAACATAACATAATACAAAGACACAAGTTATAGACAAAAGACCATATAATTTGTGATTTCGGCACACAAATTGAAAGAACACTGTACAAATCAAAGCCTTAATAATTTGAGATTATGCCTTACTAAATTTATGGTTATTTGAGAAGAATCAGCTAAGCAATTTACCAAAAAATTGACTTTGTGCACTCAAGAATATGTCCAATGCAATTTCCATAAAATCTTTATTTTTTCAAATTTAACTATTAAAATAAAAAATTTACTGTTCAAAATCAAGATCAAGTGAAGAAGTTCTCCATAAAATTTCACCCCAATTAGACAACTAATAATCCTCCATCAACCTCCCGTTTTATTATGACGTGGGAATTTGCAGCCGCCGCTGTCCGAAAATGTGTTTTGGATAAATACAGACAGAACCTAATACCCTACAAACTAGGTGATCCGAGACAGGGTTTAAATCCATGATCTCACGATCACAAGTTCAACTCTTACGCCACCGCCGGACCATCCCTTACTAGACTTGATTTCTTGGTTTTTGGTAAATATAGATTTTGTTCTATTGTAAGTAAATCAACTAATATCAAAACCTTCCAAATTTATTTTCCTCACTTAAAGAGTAAAGCGCAACAAATGCGGAGGCCAATGATATTTAATATTATATGCTTCGATTTAGAAAGAATATTATTATTTTTTTTAAAATAAAATTTTATATAATATAAATAAATAAAAAATATAAATATTTATTTATAGTTAATATAAATTTATTTATTAAAAAAAAATAAATGTAAAAAATTGGATTATAAATACCAATTTGAGTCCCGACCACGGTTTTGCAATATTCTACCAAACAAACAAACACCCACAATTAATTAAATGATAAATATAAATAAATATTGGGAAAGAAAGAAGAATCCCTAAACCCAACCCCTGTGCCTGGAGCTGGAGCAGCAGCAGCCATCGGAGAAGAAGAGCCGATAATCGCTGCTCTGCATTTGTCTCTCACAATCTCTCAAGCCCTGCTTGGCTTGGGATCCTCAATTCCGCACGTGCAGCAATTTGGCATCCTTGTACGTTTTTTATTGGGACAGTATTGAAGCCGCTGGATTGGATACCTAATCCAGCATCTTCGGGTACGCTAGCTAGTGTAATTGAATAGAATACCTGGATTGTATGTAGGAGTGCATCTGTTTTGGAGCGAGCAAACGGTAGGCAAGTTGTCGGTTTGGGCATTCTAAGAAGATGATGTAGGAGTTTGCTATCAATTTCGACTTCTGTTTCCTGCCGCAAATTGAACTTTCAAAAGCTTCAATTTTCAAATTTTGTCTTCATTTTTGTAATGGAGTGTATCAATATGGCATTATGGATTGCGCACGAAGTAAAAAGCTGTTTAATAGCTCTTGTTGTGTTGGTGTGGGATCGCTGTTCTTTTTGTTTTGACTATTTTCGTGAGAGCAGTGATTATATATATATATATATATATATTTTTGGGATCATGTGTGTTTTTAATTCGATGGGATGATAGAGTACATAGTATTCGATTCCTTAAATTTTGGATAGTAGTAGATCTTTTGCTTGCATGCATCTCTGGTGCTTAATGAATGTTCTTGATTTTTCCGATCTAGTTATAGCTACACCCCTTATCGAGAAAGTAGTCAATGTTCTATGTTTTTTGTTTTCTTGTCAGTCACACTCTTTTTTCTTGGTTATACACCTTCATGAAAAGATATGCACCATAAAATGCATCATTCAGCCTTGGACAAACATGGGGTGTGAAAAATTAGGAGAGTGTGACTGTATGCACCGATCCAGCACAATAAAGAAATAAGGGTCATTTATTTTTGTCATTTTTTATCCTTAATAAATCCATCAATGTTAGGTTGCTAAGTTTTGAATTTAGCGATTTGTTTTCACATTTTATGTATTTCACATTGACTAATTATTCAAGCAACTCGTTAGTAAATGTTCTCTTACACTGAAGTATATGCATAGCCAGTTATCCTGGTGTTGTTTAATGGGTGAAGCACCCTTGCCTTGCAGAATAATATGGGCACAGAGGTTGAGCATGCATCTGACAATATTACCACTGCAAAGACCCCTTCATCAACACCATTGAGTGGTCCTAAGGTATCCATGTTTGCAAAAAAATCAGGATTTGTCATCCCCAAAAACAAGTTGTCAGGTTCGCTGGTCCCTATATTTCGAGGCACCAAAAAGGGAGATGGTGATGTGGCAAACGTTAATACTACTAATCAGGTGCAGAGAAAAACCAAATGGGGGCCTGATCTAACCCTGGATACTACTGTTCGAAAGGGAAGAGCATCAGCATATCAGGTATGTTGGGTATAATGTCCTTTTGACATATCTGGAAGATTGATGCTGCTGATATTGCATACTCTTTGTTACATTGTTTGAGTCCTAGGATTATTCTTTCTTATCAAGTGAGACATTAATTGATTTGATTATGTTGGAGTTATTTATGGCCTCAATATGCGAGAGGTCTTTATTGCGCAATGCAATATTAGAATTTCCTTATGGCTCTGGGTGCAAAATTGTCAGTGGCCTTCCCTGTGAATGGCTTGCGTCACACCTTCGCATCCCAGGTGCCATAAAGTACTCATATTGCTACCTATGTGATGCAACAAAATTTGGACAGATTCGGATAAATCAAATATCACAACAGCTGACTCTGGGGAACCTGGAACTTGAGGATAATGAAGACTTGCAAGCTTCATTAAATCATCAGCTTAGCAAAGCGGTCAGTGTATATTGCAGGATGCTTTCAATTTGATCTCTTTATCGCTAGCTTTCTTGCTGTTTACAGTGTGTGATATTGGCTTTCAGGATTCGGAGATGCTGGAGATTGAAAAGCAAGAAATTATTGGTACGAAGAACTCTCCAGATATCATGCTTTTTTCCACCATTATCTTCTTGAACCTCCATAACCATTGTATATCTGACTTTCTGTGCAGGTGAACTGCTAAGGTTAAATCCTACTTATAAGGTTCCTTCCGATTACAAACCTCTGCTGAAAGAGGCAAAAGTTCCAATTCCTGTAAGTGAATATTTTTATGTGTTTTACTCTGTTTTACTATTTACCCATGCTTTATTTGATTCTGTTCGATTTGAAGAGTGATACTGCAAACTGATGAAAAATATCTTCTCTGTTCTATTTTATCTGTGTTCTAACCTTACTAAATATTCTTTCTCAAGAATCCCAAGTGGCATTGAACTTGTGAGTGTTTAGCATGTGCATCTAACCTTATTGTAAATTGTGTAATACAAAAACAGGATAAAAAAACACAAACAAACACACTGTAGCTATGAAAAATACGAGAGACAGGCTCATTTCTCTAGTGCTGGTTTATGTTAATTCTTCCTTGACAGCAATAATTTTACTTCATCTAGACTAACATTCGTTGGGGGTTTCTGGATCTAACAGTTAATCATTTTTTTTTTATTTGATAGGGTTAATTTGGTCAAAAAGTAAAATTATTATTCAGATTTAGTTTAGATGATGATTGTCAGGTGAATTAGTGGGATGGTACCAATAAAGGTTTTATTGAAGTCATGAATTAGGTTCTTGTACATGGAGATATATTAATCATATCAGTATGCATTTTCTCTTTAGATTTTTAGTGTAGATGTTCTTTTCTCTTTTGTTCAATGTCAATGGTAGTTTAATGAAAATTTATATATATCTATATACAGAAAAGGATAGTTTTTGCTTGTAGCTCCATCTTATTGATAGACAAATAACTGAGCTTAGGATGATGAAAAATAACTAAGCATGAAAGTTATTTTAAGATACAGCACACGTGGATCTTTAGTTGTCAATCTGTCCATGCAGATCAAGGAGTACCCTGGGTACAACTTCAATGGTTTAGTACTTGGCCCTGCAAGCGATACTCTAAAGCGGCTAGAGAAGGTATATATATATAGATATAATTGGTAATTGCCTTCAAGCTCACAATCAAAATTATACACAGCGTACATAGCATAAAATGCTTTCCCCTTTGTTTGGTATAACAATGAAAATCAGGAAACAGGAGCCAAGGTACGAGTTTATGGTACAAAGGCGGATACAGGTGGGAAGGTAACAGAAATTGGAAAAGCAATTTTAGTACCGCTCATCATGCATAGCATGCAGTAATCTTCATGCTTGCTCTCTGCATCTTTTTTTATACCTTTTAGGTTGAAGTCACTCCTACTAATGGAAAAGAAGCAGACAATGACTATGAGGATCTGTATGTACATGTATCAGCTGAGACATTTGAGAAAGTCGATGCAGCTGTTGCTTTGATTGAGCTTTTGGTCACCCCAGTTTCAGTATGTACTAACCCCCAAACTTCAATAATTCGCCGTTCTCTTTGTGCTCATCTTCACATCACATGCTCTTTCATGGAATTAGGTGAATCCTGCTCCTTCGTCAACAACAACCGCCTCATCTGGTGACATTGTGAACGCTACTCATTTGAGTCAAAGCGGGTCCAGCTCCGTCATTTCTCCTCCTGTGATAAATCAAGGAGCGTCTCAACCTTATGCTGGATCCATACCGCCAATGCAAGGTCAATTTCCACAATTTTCTCAACCATGGTTTTCTGCAGGTCCAACTCAACCTCCAGCATATCCACAGTCTGGAATGATCGCCCCTACAAATCTGATGACGCCATCATCCAGTAGTAGCACCTCCCATGTGTCTTCCATGCCTTTTAATCTTCCTTCTAACATGCCATCATTATTTGGAGTGCGACCGGTGGTAGGTGGTGCGAATTTTAATCCTGTCATGCAGAATTCACCTGCTCCTGCTGCAGCACAGCAGCCGCCGCCGCTTTCTGGACAGCTGCCATATGCACAGCAGCAGGGCCAACCCGGCGGACCAAGAAGCACTGGGGTGCCAGTTTTACAGCCACCTTCCCCTACAATCTCACTAGCCGGGCCTCCTCACTTGGTAAGGCCAGTCGTATCTGCACCGCTCCAACCGGCTGCTAGTGAATCTGGGAGATGGTTGGTGCCACCAGCATCTCAAGGACCGAACAACAACAACATGATGCTGATGCAGAATGCCATAGCTTCGCACAATGGTGTCTCTGGAGCGCCACGGCCAATTAGCTATTCTGGCAATATGATTACACCACTAGCCGGTGCGCCTCGACCAGCAAGCCAGCAGCAGCCTCATGGCGGTTTCTCTTCAGGTCTTCCATCGGAATCCATCCCGCCAGTGCGCGGTCCATCCCCGAATGCGAATGCCGTACCAGCAGGAGGCGTCCCGGGACCTAGGACTTTCCCAGTGCAGCCTTCATCAGCAGCATCACATCATCCTCAGCCTGGAATGCCCACTAATCCCTTCCCAGGAAGTGCTCCAAATTTCGATTCTGTAAATTCTTCAGCTATGGGAGCTCCGCGGCCTCAGCACCCCCCCAGTTCTGGTGATTTCACGTTTCAGCCTCACCGGCCGCCACATCCAGCTGCTGCTCAGGTCTGGTCAGGTAGTCAGCCTCCTCCTCATCATCATCACAATGCCAGACCTCCTCTTCCTCCTCCTCCTGTTCAAGGTGGGCACGGACCATTGGCGGCGCCTCAACCACAGTTCAGACCTTTGGGACATCATAATAGTAACAACAACAATAATCCTCCTGTTCAAGGTTTTCCGACGAGGCCTCCGGTGAATGTGAATCAAGCAAGAGCACCGTTTCCTCCGCCCCTGAACTTTGCAGGTACTCCCCCAGGCCATCTGGTTCCTCCTCCTCCTCCTCTACCAAGGCAACCGGGCCCTCCTCAGAATGTCTCGGTGAGAATGTTCGCTCCTCCTCTTCCTGTTATTAATAATGCTCCTGGTCTCGGTCCCTTTCCGCCAAGACCAGCAGGGAGTCAGATGCACATCCAAGAACTTCCTCGGCCGCAAAGGTTTGCAGTGCCGCCACTGCAGCAGCATTTTGGGAGGCCGCCATTTTCTGGTCGTCCTCCTCAGCAGCAGCAGCAGCAGCAGCAAGTATACGATCCATTCTCTCCTACTCCTGCTCCTACAGCACCATCGTCTCAGATGGGAGGTAATGCGGCTGCAAGACCGCATGGTGAAAGTGACCCGGAATATGACGACCTCATGGCTTCAGTAGGAGTAAAGTGAGAGAGTGATTGTTGATTGTTGATTGCTGTACTGTACTGTGTTGGAATTAAATTTGAAGATGGATGGATGGATGGATGGATGTGTGTGGCCGCGGTTCTCTCTCAGGAAGATTCAAGTAACGGGCAGGGCAGGGCAGGGAATGAATGATCGACCTTTAGATGTTTATAATTGCTGGCTGGCTGGCTGGCTGTTTCCTTCCTTCTTTGTAGTTTAGTATAGAAGAGAATAGATGATTAGCTGGTTCGATAAACACTTTATGGTAATGAAGGCTAACAGTTTCTTCTCTTCATTCCTACTGCTCATTCTCCGTCACTCTAGACTAGTGTGGAATAGATATAGGGCATTTGGATCAGACGAACACCCCTTAACCAACTCAACTCAGATAAGACGACTCTGTCAGAATTCATTCTCAATGCTACCATTTAATACTCTATAGAATTATTATTAGCTTACTAGTATTTTATATGAGTATTTATGCATCTCTTTGTTTTGTTTTGTTTTTTAGTTTGTTCTTTCAAATGAATAAAAGGAAGATTTTGATAACTACTAGGTAACATAGTTTGTGATGGTAACTTTGAATAAAAACTGTTGAAAATGATCTGATCTGATCGGATCAGAACCGAACCAACTAACTGTCGGGGCACAGATCTAGCTAGCTAGTTGCTTAATGTTCACGTTCAAGAAACGATGAATTGAAATACTGTTTAAGTTGATCGGTTCCAAAAACATTTGGCGCAGAATCAAACGCTTCCTCTCTACACAGTATGTACACCCCACCCCTCCTAACATGCAGATACATAGATGGATAGATAGATATATTCAGACAGAAGGACCTGATCGAAGCACCCTCTCCAGTCTCTCGGCCTTTGCATAGTCTTTCTCCGAAAGAGGGCCAGCAGGGAATGCCGTGATCTCCACAATCAAATGTGGCGTCGGGAGCTCATCAAACAGCGCTCGTATATTGTTGCAACACACACTTTCTCCATGGGCACTTTCCCTCCTAATCTGGCACCCCTGCCAGAGATAAAATACACTAGCAGTAAAACATTATCACAGGCAGCCACAATTCGTTCGTTGCCAGCCGCATATTTTACAAATGATTTACAATCAATATTTCTCAGAAACAGGCAGAGTGGGCACTCAAGCGATCACTGTAGTGCCCGTAATATTGGATGGTGATGGAGGAAGCGACTCATGAGTTTACTTAGATCCTGCAATGGATACTTGTTTCAATGAACAAGGAGCGAATTAAGCTTATTCGAATTACCTTGTGTGATGTGGCATCTCTAAACTGATCATCATCCGACAATAGAGATGCAACAGCTCTAAGCAGACGCTTGCCCTCAGTTTTAGAGGGCACTCTGTAGTTGCGCCTAAGGGTACCCTTCGTCGTAGGATGCCATTTGCTCACTAGTTTTCTTCTGTCAGCTGCCTCTTTTTCTGAGAAAAATAGAAATAGAAATAGACATAGAAATGAAAATTCAATTTGGCAACTGTTTGATGTATTTTTTCAACAATAAAAAGTAAAATTCGAAAATAGAGAAATATCTTCGAATTTGATAGATGAGTGCCTGAGATTAGGAATCTCTAAACACTATAGAATATATAAAATAAAATAAAAATACTAGAATACATAAAATAAAATAAAAATAAAGACCGGAAAATAAAGTAGTGATCCCCAAAAGCAATTCTCTTGAATTTTTTGTCGATTAAAGATGATTTTTTAGGTAAAAAACAGACCTATTTAAAACCCTTTAAAGAAACGGTTCGAACCGCTATCTGGTCGGTTACAATAACCGCTGTCAACCGCCCCAAAAGTCCTATTCTGCTGACACGTGTGTCAACCGACCCACCAAGTCAAACCTTCAGAAACCGCTCACCGGTTGAAACTTCCCTCGACTATCAGAAACTGCAATCTCACCCGACTTGCACATCCACTGCCATGTCTCTTCTTGCCCGACTTCGTTTCGCCCGACCTCTGTGCCACCCGACCAATCTAGAGACTAACTGGTCGCTAAATCAAACGATTCCTTGGCCGCCCCGTCAAGCGACCACCATCTGGTCTCTTGTCCGACCACGTATTGTCCGTCTCATTCTTCTTCGCCCGACCTTACTTGGTCCGAACTCTGCATTAACCGACCTCCATATCAGCCGACCTCCGTGTCGTCCGACTCAACCGACTGCGGACCGCCCGACCTGTTCAACCGACTTAGGACCATCCGACCTATTTAACCGACTGAGAACTAACCGACCGCAGACCAGCCAAATGTGGTCCCGACCACGGACCAACCAACCTCGGTCCCGACTGCAGACCAACCAACTGTGGTCCCGACCACAGAACAACCGACTGTGGTCCCGACCACGGACCAACCGACCTCGGTCCCGACTGCAGACCAACCAACTGTGTTCCCGACCACAGAGCAACCGATCGGCTCTATTTGCCTTCTCTCCTTAGAAGGACAGACTGTCCTCTTGACAGACCTCCGCGTCTGTCCATACTTTTTCCTTGCCCGACCTTCGTCTTGACAGACCTTATCATACCCGACTTTCGAACTCGGCCTAATTGCGCCCGACCTTTAAGCTTGGCCCGACCAGGTCCGACCTTATCGTACCCGACCTTTAGTCCCGACCTCATATCGTCTTACCTTCGTGTCCGTCCTTATACCGTCTCATTCCTACACCCGAACTTCGTACCCGTCCTGATCGTACCCGACCTTTACACCAGACTTTGTTACTTTTGAACTCCGTACCCGACCTGGTCACCACCCGATCTACCATTTTTTTTATGCTCAACAACTTGCCTCCTTCCGCCGAACGCCGAAACGTCACTCCCTGGAACTGCGGAAGACGTGACGTTTCGGGGTTTGCAGAGTGTGACTCCCAAAAGACAGAAGAACTTCGACATCTCCAAGAACAACTGAAATCCCTTGATGATAGCATTCAGGAAGGGAGTCGTCTGGTTGAGGCACATTGCCTTAATCAGACAAGTTTTTGCGAGCAACTCCAAACGGCTATACAAATGAAACTTGTCCAGAGACATCAAGAAGCTTACACCAACGTCGGCGGGCCATCAAATCAGAATTAAAGTGGACCGACCTCAGAACTGCTTTACGGGCCCTACTTTCTATGTAATCCACCACACCAAGTATATAGCTCCAGACTTAATTTATATATTTCCTATTTTCAGAACATAGATCCTATATTCCTTGCGCTTATACTAAGTCTAACATAAACATAGATCCATGTTTATTGCCTATTAATAAACCACTTAAATTAGAAACCACACCAACTATATAAACCTCATACCTCCAACTACAAACGTCATCATCGTTTCTCTTTTACTCAACATGGTTTCACCTCGCCTTCGCGTTCCTCTTTCTAACTGGGAAGGTGCTCTCCAACCATTCTTAGTAGGAAAACATCCCATAGGTCACCATGCTGAAGACATGATACAGGTTCTGAAACAACTGGACTTTAAATTTAGGTTCTCCGTAGAGGCAGGAGAACCATTCATCGTACAATCCGACTGATGGAACTTATATCCACCAGCTACGAACCTTACACCGACATACTTACACGTATATCAGATCTTGACCATCATCTGGACATGATAAATCATCATGTGACTGCCATTCTCCCAGACCTTAGTTGGAACAACGATTTCCAACCCCAAAGATCGACACTCTCCAGACTGAGTGTCCTTGCCGAACGAGAGAGTCAGTCCCTGCAAGATATGAAGGCCCAGACTGAACAAAATCTTCAAGACATGCAAGACCAATGGGATCGCTACCGCCTGGATTTGGATGACCTCTTGGATGAAGAACCTGAAATGGTTTCGGCAGGCTGGGATGATACCATTAACCTCTCTGATGACTAGAGAACCCTTTTACTAATAGGTTCAAACCCTTTAGAGGGTTCTTTAAATTTGAAAATAAGAAATTAATGACAAGGTTCTAAAAAGGCAGGGTAATACCTTTTCAGATACTTAGCATTAATATTCTTATGTACCATCTTTCCTTCTTGATTTATGATAATAAAAGCACAATTTCTAATTACTTTACGAATGATGAAGGGACCTTCCCAGTTGGGAAACCACTTCCCTAATTGATCTACTTTCTTGTAAATGGGCAGAATTGTCTTCCATACCAAATCTCCTTCTGCAAAGACCTTTGGGAATACTTTTTTTCCATAGTATTTTGCCCTAATTTCGCTCTGTTTGACCACTCGATCCAAAGCTTTCAATCGTTCTGTATTTACCTCCTCCAATTGTCGCAACATCTTTTGTACATACGCCTCATCAACACATGTTGTTGTATGAGTCACTCTAGGTGACGGCGTAACGAATTCTGCAGGTAATACAACATCTTGCCCAAACGTTAGTTGGTATAGGGAAAATCCAGTAGAAGTGTTTCTACTATTTCAGTGGACCCACAGTGCTTGAGACAACAAAGTGTGCCATTTCCTTGGATTTTCTTCTACCATTTTTCGGATAATGCCAATCACAATTTTATTTGCTGCTTCGGCCAACCCATTCGCCTGACGGTAGTATGGTGAAGAATGGTGCAACTTAATATTGAATTCGGCCAAGAACTCAACAAACTTTTCCCCAGTGAACATCAACCTTTGGTCGGTTGTGAGAGTGTGAGGAATTCCAAATCAATAGATGATATGATTGAGTACGAATGCAATCACTTCCTTCTGTGTCGCATTTTTCAGGGGCACTGCTTCTACCCATTTGGTGAAGTAATCAGTCGCTACTAAAATGAATTAATGTTGTTTTGACGAAGTTGGATGAATTTTTCCAATTACATCTAACGCCCAAGCTTTGAATGGCCAAGGTTTAACCATTGTCTGTAATTTACCGTTGGCAGAAGGTTCAATGGACCATGTTTCTGGCATTCCTGGCATCCCTTGGCGAATCTGATACAATCATAAAAATCTTCGGCCAATAGAATCCCATACGATGGATAGCCCATCGCATATTTAAACCTGCCCGATGCCCACCACATATTCCTCCATGGACCACCTCCATTATTTTAATAGATTCCTCAAGTCCTAGACACCTCAATAAAACTCCTTCGAAGGTTCTTTTGTACAGAACCCCTTCAATAAGTTCGAAACGTAACGCTTTCAACCGAATACCCACAGGAGTAGCAGAACTTGGTGATTCCAAATACACCATAATCTAAGTTCTCTAATCAGTCCCAGAATCGGCACTGCCAATTATTTCCTGACAAGCATTCTGAGCCAAATTGTCAGCCAACCGATTCTCTGTTCTTGGTACATGCTCAAAGACTACCTCTGCAATCCTATATAACAGATGGAATACTGCATCTCGGTATCTACGCAAATGAGGATAATTACAAGCGTACCGTTTCAACACTTGGTTAATAACGAGTTGAGAATCCCCATAAATTAAGACAGACTGTACTCCTTTAGCGATAAGTGCTTCCAAGCCCAAAATCAATGCTTCATATTCCGCAAAGTTATGTGTCATCTCTTCCATTTGAAGCTGCAAACTAATTTTGCTGCCTCCTGGTCCTTCTAATATTACTCCCGCTCCTGACTTTCCTTTCGAACGAGAACAATCAAAAAATATTTTCCAAGGACTGGTGCCTATATAGGGCATTAATTTGTTTTTCGATGACTCATCGCTTGCAAATTCAGCCAACAAATCGGCCACAACCTGTCCTTTCACCGCTTTGAGAGGTCGGTGCCGCAACGCAAAAGGAGCCAACTTAATAGCCCACTTCATTAATCTCCCCTGCATGGTTGGTCTGTGCAAAATTAATCTGACCAAATCCATTTTAGAAACCACCTCGGTTTCTCTTGGCAGAATATAGTGCTTCAACCATGTACATGCAAAAACTAAAGAATAGCACATCTTTTCGGGCATAGTATAGTTCAACTTTGGTCTTGCCAAAGTTTTACTTAAATAATAAATGGCTCTTTCCTTACCATCCTTCCATTCTTGCACCAACAGACTACTCACAACATCAAAACTGTTTGCCACGTACAACCGAAGGGGTCGGTCACCTCTCAGGGGAACTAACACAGGCGGATTAATTAATGCCACCTTAATTTCTTCCAACGCCTTCTGTTGCTCCTGACCCCAAGCAAAATCAGTGGCCTTATTCCGTAGCAACTTTGTGATAGGTTTTAATTTCCCTGTGGCATTTGATATGAAACGCCTTAGGTAATTGACCTTTCCCAACAAACTTTGTACTTCTTTGACCGACTGAGGCGACCGCATTGACATAACAGCCTTGGCTTTATTCGCATCAACTTCTATCCCTTTTTCGTGTACTAAAAACCCCAAAAAATTCCCTGCCGAAACTCCAAAGGCACATTTCGTTGGGTTCATTTTCAGGTTGTACTGCTTCATTCGTATAAAAGCATTTTTTAAATCAACCAAATGTGTATCAAAGTCGGTAGACTTA